ACTATAAACACACACACACACAATTATGGTGGTGGTTAAATGGGTATTACATTTATCAAACTCATCAGACACTTTAAATGGGTGAATTTTATTTGTGTAAAGTATACTTTGATAAAGTTGATTTTATGAAAGGGCCAAAAGCCAGTTCTTTTAAAAGACTAGTAAAATTGACAAACCTCTGGAAACACAATCAAGAGAAAAAGAGGATACAAATAATTCCAGGAATGAAAAAGAGAACATAACTACAGATAAAACAGAGATTTTAAAGAAAATAAAAAATATTTGACAGTTTAATGGCAAAAAAGGTAAATTTTTAGAAAAACTTTAAAGTTTGCAAGAAAATTGGAATAGCCCCTAAAGTCAATCAAAACACACACTACACACACAATAATCCCACTTTACCAGGCGAATGTGACTGTACATTTAAGGAATAGGAACTCTTCTAGGGGTGGGAAAAATCATTAAACCCCAGGATTGGGCTATCCTAGGACTTCCCCTGGGTAAATCACAGGAATGCAAGTACTCTTTTACATTAGAAAGTTTATCAATGTAATTTACCACATTAACAGATTAAAGAAAACCATATGATCATCTCAAAAGATGTAGATTTTACTACTGTTCAAGAAAACCTATTTTTTAAAAAAGATAAAAAGGCACATTCCATTATATTCATTGTCATTTTTATTTGGCTACACCATCATAAAGCATACATAATGGGCAGGTTATATAAAGGACTATATCAACAATAACAGTTATATAGCACTTGATAGCTTACAAGTTACTGTGCATCCATGATCTACCTAATCTAATCACTCCCAGGTAGGTATTACATTTTAAAAAATATATAAATGAAGAAACACTTAAGAGAATGAAGTAATTTGTCCCAAATCCCAATTATTTTCATTATTTTGTTGGTACTCTATGATATCATATATCATGTATCAAATTCAAATGAACAGATATCTGCATACAGATAACACACAATGGAAAAAACTCCCCAAATTCTGAATCCAATTTTCCAGTGGTTCTCACATGCTCTCAGAACAAAGATACAAATAAAAATGTTTAAATTAACCCCATGGTTTATATTATTAGTCATATCTATCTTTCCTTCTCAAATTTGTGATCTACAGTTAAACACTGGTGTTTCCCTAACTTAAAAACTAAAGTTTCTGTGAAGCTAGATGAAGCTTGCAGCCTGGTAGTTTCTACCCACCAACTTGGCAGCTTATCTTGGGCAAACAAGTGAGCATTCCTCTTGGTACTTAATCCTAACTGGTTACAAATGACATGTCTGCCACAAACCTTTGACACAACTTGACATGCCATTTCAGTGTCAAATGGAAGGAAGTCATGGGAAAGGTAGAGTAGTACTTTCCCCTATTCCTCTCCCTAAATACAGTTAAAATTCCTGGACATTACATATAGAACGACATAAGAAGATTCTGAAGCTGGAGAGAATACAGAATGTCTGAGGCCTCTGGACCTGAAGAACAACACAGCACTGCATTCCTGGAGTTTTCCTTTTGCCTCATCTATCCAAGACTGGGTTCTGAAGAAGCTGGCAACTCAGAAACACCAATAGGCATAGATAAAAAATGGCCCAAGAAAACTCTCCTCTGTCTAGCCAAAGGACTAGGAAAAAGCATCCTCGCAAGACAGAAAACTTCTGGACAACAATCACCCATTCCAGCCAAAGGCCATGGGAAAAACTGTGGCCCTGACCACAACAACAAAGGCTGAGTGGGGAGCCTACACTTCCACCCTCACCAAGCTCTAACAAGGTTCCTTAATGTCCCAACCCACTCCAGAGTGATATCAGAGAAGGTCAAGTGGGAGACAGGATTTTCAGAAGTGACCTCTCCCCCCATCCCACTCCAGTAGTGTCATTGGGGACTAGGTGGGGAGACTGGGCCTCCAACCCTATCCAGAGACAAGACATCTCTGCCCTTCCTTACTTGATTTCATCAGTAGAGGCCTAGTGGAGATTCAAGAGTTTCGCTAATGACAAACAGTAATGCAGTTACTCCCCACCTAACCCCACCCCAACCTGTGGTATCAGAGGAGGCCTAGCATCAGCAGTATTGAGGACCACCACCTCAGGTGTCAATAGAGGCCAATGATGAACCTGGACTTCCAATGCCAACTTACAGCAATAAGGCAGTGTCCCCCAAACGCTTTCTCCACCAGAGCAGTGTCAGAGGAGGAGTGCCCAAACAAAAGCATTAAACAGGATACAGAGTCTTGTAACATAAAACTCAAAATGTCCAAATTTCAAATGAAAATCACTCATCACACAAAGAACTAGGAAAATCTCAACTTGAATGAGAAGACAGTCCAGAGATGCCAACACTGAGATGACGTAGATGTTAGAACTACCTGACGAGGATTTTAAGACAGCCATCATAATAACGCCTCAATGAGCAATTGCAAACATGCTTGACATAAATTTAAAAAACAGAAAGTCTCAGCAAAATAGAATACACAGAGAACCAAACGGAACTGAAAAATACAATAAATGAAATAAAACCCGATGATGGGCTCAACAGAAGAATGGAAGGCACAGAGGAAAGAATCAGTGAACTTGAAGACAGAACAATAGAGAATACCCAATCTGAACAACAGAGAGAAAATTGCTATGGACTGAATTGCATTCCCCTCCCCCCTGCCCCAATTCATATGTTGAAGCCCCAATCCCCAACGTGACTGTATTTGGAGATAGGGCTTTTAGAAGGTACTTAAGGTTAAATGAGGTCATAAGTATGGGATCCTAATCTGATAGGATTGATAGCCTTATAAGAAGAGGAAAAGAGAATTCTCTTTTTCTCTCCACATGTATGCACCAAGGAAAGGCTGTGAGGACACAGCAAGTAGGTGGCCATCTGCAAGCCTAGAAGAGAGCTCTTACCAAAAACTGAATTGGCTGGCAACTTATCTGGGCCTTCCCAGCCTCCAGAAGTGTGAGAAATAAATTTCTTTTGAGTCATCCAGTCAATGGTATGTTTTTTACAGCACCCCAAGTAGATTAAGACAGATTTTGGTACCTAGAAGTGGGGTGCTGCTCCAACACATACCTAAAGATGTGGAAGCAGCTTTGGAACTGAGTAACAGATAGAGGGTGGGAAAGTTTCAAGGTGCACGCTAGAAATATGGAGGTTAAAGGCCCTTCTGGTGAGGTCTCAGCCAGAAACGAGGAACGCATTATTGGAAACTAGAAGACGATTCTTGATGTAAAGTGGCAAAGAACTTGGCTGACCTGTGTCTCAGTGTTTTGTGAAAGGCAGAACTTGTGAGCAATGAAACTGGATGTTCAACAGAGATGTCCAAGCAAAGCAGTGAAGGTACAGCTTGGGTCCTCCTTACTGCTTACAGCAAAACGTGAGCAGAGAGAGAAGGAATTGTTAAGCAAAAAGGAACCAGAACTTGGAGATTTGGATAATTCTATCTATCCATACTGTAAAATATGAGAAATCTCAATCTGAAGAGAAGAGAGTGTGGCTGAACAACCATTTGATAAAGAGATCATGAGTGAGACTCATAAACTTAATCAGCCATCTCAGCAGACGCCAGGAAATGTGATTATATCAGCAGAAACACCAACAGCTGGGACTAAAGGGGAATGAAAAACCAGACAAATGAAGGAGGGCCATCAGACTTCTTAGATGTTACAGGCCCAGACAACAGAGGTATTCAGCTGCAAACATGCCCTATGCTTCAAGAAAGTTCCAGAAGAATGACTCCAAGCTGATTCAGAGCACATCAGGTTGCCTCTTGTTTCAAAGTGGGGGGACACCAATGAGTTTCAACAATCCAGACAGCCTCCAACCACAGGGTTGTGCAGCAGAGCCTTGGTAGCAGGCCCATTGCACCAGTGGGTCTGGAAGGTGGGGCATCAAGCCGAGGAGGATTATTCTCACACCTTAAGATCTCATGGAGTTTGCCTTACTAGGTTTTGGACTTGCTTGGGACCCATCATCCCTTCCTTCTTTCCTGTTTCTCCCTTTTAGAATATCTGCACTATGCCTGTCCCACAATCCTATTCTGGAAGCACATAACTTATGTGGTTTCACAGATTCACAGCTGGACAAGTATTTTGCCTCAGGATGAATTATAGCTCGAGTCTCACCCATATCTGATTTATGTGATACTTAGATGAGACTGTGAACTTTAGAAGTGATGCTAGAATGGGTTAAAACTTTTGGGGTTGTTGGGATGGTGTGAATGTATTTTGCATGTGAGAAAAACATGAATTTGGCGGGAGCAGGGGCAGAACACTATGGACTGAATTACGTCCCCTCAAGTTCATATGTTGAAGCACTAACTCCCAATGTGACTACATTTGGAGATAAGGCTTTTTGGAGGTAATTAAGGTTAAATGAGGTCATAACGCTCGGAGCCTATTAGGAGAGAATCTCTCTCTCTTCCCATGTGCATGAACCAAGGAAAGGCCACGTGAGGACACAGCAAGAAGGTGGCCTTCTGCAAGCCAAGAAGAGAACACTTGCAAGAGACCAAAGTCAACACCTTGATCTTGGACTTCCCAGCCTCCAGAACTGTAAGAAATTAGTTTCTGTTGTTTGAGCCACCCAGTCTATGTTATTTTGTTATGGCAGGCTAAGCAGACTAAGAAAAAAATATACTGAAAAAAAATGAACAGAGCCTCAGGAACCTGTGGAACAGCAATCAAAGATCTAACATTTGTGCCATCAGAGTCCTGGAAGGAAAGAAAGGGTGGGGGTGGGGGGCTGAAAATGTATCCAAAGAAATGGTGGCTGAAAAATCCCCCAAATTTGGCAATAGACATTAATCTACAGATTCAAGAGCTCAGAAAAATGGATAAACTCAAAGAAATCCACACCAAGACATCACAAACTTGTGGAAACTAAAAACCCAGTACTCAAAATATTTGCAGTGATAACCTTCAAAGTTTCAATGAAAAAAATATATACACAAAGATGTCATCTGCCTCTATCCCCGAGAAAAATGGTGACAGGCAAGAATTTCAGTCTTTTCAAGTTTTCACAATCTAATATGCAGTGTCAGCTCAGGTCCACAACTAAATTTTACTATGGTATGAAAAAGTCTAAGTACAAACTACATACAACTGAGGTAAATCTTTATAAATAAGCACATTCTCAGGTAACTCAGATAGCTTAACAGACTGAAAACATCAAAGGTCTCTTCTGTACTCTCCCTTTCTAGGCTGTCCGTCTTGACCCTTGGAGTTAATGTGATTCTTAGTAGGTGACATCTCAATATGCAAGGTCGAAAAGACAAAAAGTGCAGAAGTGGACTGCCAGGCCAACGTTCCTAGGCTTCAGGGTGGAAACTTTGCAACTGACCAACTAACAAGTCTGACTAATACTTTTCCTGGTTGTATTTGTTTGAATAGTTTTCTCCATCATTTCTTGAGTTCATTCCCCCAGCTCTTTTTCTCTATCCTTTCTGCCTACCTCTTCAGTGCCCTTGTAATAAAGACTAGGGACAACTTCCCTTCCACTGCCACCTCCAAGCCTGGACACACTCATTGTGAATTCTCAATCTCTTGATTTCTACCCCTGTAATTTCCCCAAAAGCACTTATCCCTGTAAAATCTCATCCCCTTAGCATTATGAGACTACCCAGCCCAGCCAAGATGTCTTCTTTCCATCATGGCATACCCTATTTCTCTCTCAAGGATTAGGTAGCTTACATACACATTAGGGTATTGGAAATAATTTCCTTCTTTCCCCAGGGAAATTCAGTGTCCTCCATTAGAACACTTTAAAAAATGTAAAACTCCTCTTTCACATTCTGTCAGCTATGTCCCATATCAACAATGACTTCTCAATGACTATCTTTTTTGTAACAGTCATAAATTCCTTTGTAGCCCTCACAGCATGTATAGTAATTGTTCAATAAATATGCTCTGAATGTACTACATTTATATAATCTTTATCCAGTATGAATTCTCTTTTGCTGGCTAAAGGCTGAATGCTCACTAAAGGATTTTCCATATTCCCCGGTTTTCCCTCCAGCATGGGTTTTCTGATGTTGAGAAAGGGATGAACTCTGGCTGAAAGCTTTTCCACATTCCTTACATTTGTAGGGTTTTTCTCCAGTGTGAGTTTTCTGATGCTTTGTAAGAGATGAGCTCTGGCTGAAAGCTTTTCCACAATCCTTACATTTGTAAGGTTTCTCTCCAGTGTGTGTTCTCTGATGACGAACAAGGGCTGAGCGGTCACTGAAGGATTTGGGACAATCACTGCATTTATAGGGTTTCTCCCCAGTGTGAGTTCTCTGGTGTTGAGTCAGGGCTGAACAGTAGCCAAAGGCCTTCCCACATTCATTACACTCATAAGGCCTCTCCCCAGTATGAGTTCTCTGGTGCTGAATAAGGCCTGATCGATCACTAAAGGCTTTTCCACATTCATTACACTTATATGGTTTCTCTCCAGTGTGAATGACCTGATGCTGGGTAAGGAATGTGCTTTGGCTGAAGGCCTTCCCACATTCATTACACTCATAAGGTTTCTCTCCAGTATGAATTCGCTGATGTTGAGTGAGGTATGAACTCTGATTAAAGGCCTTCCCACATTCATTGCATTCATAGGGCTTCTCTCCAGTATGAATTATATGATGCCGAATAAGGGCTGAGCGGTGACTGAAAGCTTTCCCACATTCGTGACATTCATACGGTTTCTCTCCAGTATGAATTCTCTGGTGTAGAGTAAGGTGTATGCTCTGGCTAAAGGCTTTACCACATTCGTTACATTCGTAAGGTTTTTCTCCTGTGTGAATTCTCTGATGCAAGACAAAAGCTGAGTAGTAACTAAAGGCCTTCTCACACTCATTACACTTCCACGGTTTCTTTCCTGTACAAATCTTCTCATGCCTCGTTAGATCTGCATTTCGTTTTAAGTTCTTTTTGAATGAATCACAATTATGTAGTCTTTCTTCTTGCTGTTGAACATGTAATGATCTCCAACTAAAATTTCTTCCAGATTCACCACACTGGTAACTTCTCTCCCCAGAAGATCTCTTCTGAGCGACAACCTCTTGCATTAAATGTTTCTCATGGTTTTCCTGCTGACTCTCTAAAGAATCCTCACATTCACCGGAACTTTCCTTTGGAAATCTATCTATTAACACCCCAGGGGCTGATGCTTCTTCAGAAATGTCCTGCTTTGGAGTTTGCTCCTTGCTTTCTGGTTTTGTCTCCCAGTCTGAAAAACACAAAAATACAAAGATATCATTTCCTACATGGAGAGAAAAAAAAGTGCTATGGTAGGATAATATGAAACCAACAAACAAAAAATGCTTACAGGGAACACAGGAACTTAAAAGCTCTCAAAAATAGCCTTACAATCTTGAGAGACTATGAAAAAAAAAAAAGGTCGACTGGGCAAAGAAGAGCAGTTGCATAAAGGAGGAGGGTGAGCAGGTACTCAAGACTACTCTATCCAGCAGGGTAGGAAATAAGAAAGAATAACAGAAAAGACTAAGCAGATATGATGTGGGGAAATGGAAGATAAAAAACAGGGTTTGGTGGAGACAGGGCTGGGATCAGAGAAAGACGGTCCGCCAGGGATTGCCCATTGTCACCGCCTCAGCAGAGCCTCATCACTTCATGTGTTGAGGATGACCATCTTGAGCTGATCTCCTTGCCAGCAATCATTTCCCATTCCAGTATGTCCCAATCAATCACTGCTAACAGACTCATCTTTCAAAACCATCTGTCTTACACAAATAACTCTGTTGCTTCCACCTTCTCAAGATAAGACACAAATTCTAGAAACTACCATTCAAAATGGCCCAGATTTACAATTTCAAATCATCACAAAGCTTAGCAATTAAGAAGCAACTAATCATCTCTGATTGCCCCACACCCAGCAAATTGCAAAGAGTAAAAAGAACTAATTTTTTTTTCTTTTAAAAAGGGTAGTGTGTGAAGAGGGGAAGGTCAAATCCCCATGTGCTCAGATTGGCATCCCCTGTCAGGATACCTGCCCCAAAACCCTAGACTTCCCATTAAAGGTTTGGGGGAAAAAGCTTTACTGCTAAAAATGTTTAAATATTTCCAGGCTTAAATGGTCTTTAATATCCATTCCAACCATGACTCTACACGAAATAAATCACTACAGTGTTCTCAAGTACATAAAATCAGGGAAGTGTCTGAGATTTTAAAATAAGCAGAAATAGGTTAAAGGCAAATGGACTTTCAGCTAAGGGGAGTGAAAGAATTAAAGCCCCATGGGGCTGGCCCCGTGGCCGAGTGGTTACGTTTGCGTGCTCCGCTGCAGGCGGCCCAGTGTTTCATTGGTTCGAATCCTGGGCGTGGACATGGCACTGCTCATCAAACCACGCTGAGGCAGCGTCCCACATGCCACAACTAGAGGAACCCACAACGAAGAATACACAACTATGTACCGGGGGGCTTTGGGGAGAAAAAGGAAAAAATAAAATCTTAAAAAAAAAAAAAAAAAAAGAATTAAAGCCCCAAATGTTCATGGAGAACATACAGTCAGCGGAGGCTAGTAACAGACTTGCCTGCCTGGTGTTAAGGGGTCAAGTTAGAAACAAAGAAGGCAAAATGGCTAGGCAGGTAGACTAACAAAGGCCTTGAAAGCAGGTAGAGGAATGCAGAAGTGGCAGAGTAAGCAACTCACTGTGGGGAATCTAGCAGTATTCTGCTGCCTCAGTTACAGAAGGATAAGACCAAAGAAAGCATAATTAGCTGGTAGTCTATTGCATAATCAAGTTTGACAGAAATGATAGGGTCAAATCCATGACATCTTTTAAAAAAAAGTTACCAGGACTTAATCAATAGCTATCATTTGCTTAGCATATAGCCAGGTACTGTTCTAAGCATTTCTCTTGGGTTATTTCATTTGATCCTCCCAACAACCCTATGAGTTAAGTATTATCATTATCCCCATTTTACAGTTGGGGAATTTGAATCACAGAGAGGATAACTCACTTGTTAAAGGTCACAGACCTAGTGAGCAGCTGAGATTGACTTTGAACCCAGGAAGACTAGTTCCAAGGTCTGCATTCTTTTTTTTTTTGAGGAAGATTAGCCCTGAGCTAACTATTGCCAGTCCTCCTCTTTTTTGTTGAGGAAGACTAGCCCTGAGCTAACATCGTGCCCATCTTCCTCTACTTTATATGTGGGACACCTACTACAGCATGGCTTGCCAAGCGGTGCCATATCCACACCTGGGATCCGAACCAGTGAACCCCAGGCCACCGAGAAGTGGAACGTGCGAATTTAACCGCTGCACCACCAGGCTGGCCCCCAAGGTCTGCATTCTTAACTACTATGTTATGCTGCCTGCCATAAAATAGAGAGGAAGGCAAGGCAAAACTCAGAGATCAACTCATAGTCATTGGTCTGAGACAAAAAGTAGCAAAATCCTGTAGAGATAAAATAACATATATGAAAAAGCCAGGTTTAGAACCTTGCACCCAAGCAAATTATTAACAAACTTAAAAATGTTGATTTAATTTCATCTTATTTAGGAAAAAGAATCGGTCTGAAAGGGTGGAAAGCATTTACATTCTAACAAATAAAATTATGAATTTATTAAAAAATCATCATCCACAGAGCTGGAGTGTGGCACGGGAGAAAGGAACTTCACTTCAACTTTTGCATGGGTCTAGAGAAATCTGGAAAGGCTCCTCCACAAGCATTTCAAAGATACTTTTCCCACTGACCACCTGAGTTTTATGTTCATTATCTCCAACACTCACCTGGACCAGTCGCTTTTGGGATTTCTCTCTCCAGTTCCTCCTTACACTCCAACGGAGAGATTACATCAGGCTTGGAAATTGGAAGCCCTATTCATGGGGAAAGAAAAAGGAGTCTGGTAAAGAGCTCAGTACTAGCTCCTTGGTCATTAGGGAAGACAACATAAGACAGAGAGAAAGGGGCTGGTTTTGGATTTCTCCCTCAACAGTGCTCAGAAGAAGGCAGAAAGATTGATACGAGGTTTACTTGCATTCAGAACAACTGAGTCACTTGTTTTTCCCTCTCCCTATCAAAAGAATAGGTACTCATTTCTCAAGAGATGTTTTCACTAGAACTTTGTCTCAACATCCTTGGTCAAGGAATAGAGAAGAAGGATGCTATTGCCAGGTGAATACAATAAAAAGGTGTCCATTTCTAACTCTAGGAGTGTTAAAACTATATCCAGAAACAAACAGCAGAAACCGTCTGTCTTAGGCCTTTTAGAGATTAAGAATCTTTGAATCTAAGAACCCCAGAGCTCCTAGGAACCGAGGAAGCAAAGGTACAACAGGTAAACTCCCAGGGGAGGGGGAGTCATCCTTACCCAGCAAGACCAGATTCCTATGCTTCTTGGGCGCATCTCCCTGAGGAGGGTTCAGCTGCCCCCACTTGGGGAGAGCCTCAGCCATATCCCTGACCATCGACGACTCCTGAAGAACCAAACACATCAGTGCTCACCAAGGGACCTCCTTCCAGAGGCTTCTGAGAAGGACTCAAACTGACAGCACAGGAGAAGGAAGACAGGAAGGACAGGAAGGTTAGACAAAACGACCTCTAACATCCCTTCCAATACTAAGGTTCTCAGCGTATTTGCAGCCACAGACTCACTCCCTGCCTCCAACTATAAGAACTGCATGTTACCTGTCAGTAGGAAGGAAAGCACCTCTCCATAAAATCTGAAGGTACCAAGTTATTAGTTTATGTATCAATAAACTAAATTATAAGGGGTGACTGGACACATGTGTATGGTCATGGATGGTAATTAGCCTTTGGGTGTTGAACATGATGTACTCTACACAGAAATTGAAATATAATGATGTACACCTGAAATTTACATAATGTTATAAACCACTGTTACCTCAATTAAAAAAATGCAGAGAAAAAGATCAATGCAGTTACCTAAAAACCCTATAGTCTTAATAAAAATAAATAAACTAAATTATAGAAACCCTTAATATTTAGACATGGGGAAGTGAAGCAAATGTAATTATGAGTTAAGTATTTTCTTTATGGTATAGTTTTACAATATAAGGGATTAAGAAATATGAAATATTTTCCTCTCTAGTCTTCCTTTGGGAATAAAATTCGCCCAATATGTATTAAAAATTAAGAAGTCTGCTACATGTGTCACAGAATATAGATTTATTTGTAAAACAGTGACCCAAGCCCAAATTATTATGAAAGTTCCCAAAGTGTTCTTGCCATTTCTTGTAACGGCCCTGATGGGTCTGGCCCCTGCATCTACTCTCTACCCCAGCATATGCTACTCCTCCCGCATTCTCTGTGCTCCAGCTGGAGGTCATCTTTCAGCTTCCTGAAATGTATGCCACATTCCCTTTTGCTCCTTTTCACATGTAGCTTCCTCTTCCTGAATGTTCTCCCCCTGCCCTACCCTTTCAGGTATTTTAATCCTACTCACACTTCAGCTCTCAGCTCAGATGTCACCTCCTCAGGGAAGCCTTCCCGGACTCTCTGGGTTGCAGCCCCATGTTCTTTCCCTTCTCTTGGGTTACGGGCACACTGAGAGACTTTGTGATTATCGTCTGACTGTCCCATTAGACAGTAGGCTCCATGAGAGCAGAGGCCAGGTCTGCTTTTGCTCACTGAAGCAGCCCTAGTACGTGGTGCAGAGCAGGAAGACTGTAAATACTTCTCAGAGTGTTGAATGAAGGAAGGAACACTTGAACAAGAATTACTAGAAACAAGTTTAAATGGGGTGTTCTGTAAAATGTGCATGAAAACAGAGGTGGGGAGAGGAACAGAAGGGTATTAAAGTTGGAAAACACTGCAGGAGTGTTTACTCGAGCCTAACCTTAATCTAGATCATGGGCACAAAGTTTAGACTGCCTGCTAAAATATGGGGCAAGGGAGAGGGTGGGTAATGCTACTTTGAATCTGTAGCTGAATCTGTTTACTACCGATAAGACAAATGTCTAATAATTTTTTCATTGTATTAAAAAAATTTCTATACAGGGGCCGGCCCCGTGGCCGAGTGGTTAAGTTCGTGCACTCCGCTTCGGCGGCCCAGGGTTTCACTGGTTTGGATCCTGGGTGCGGACACGGCACCACTCATCAGGCCATGCTGAGGCAGCATCCCACATAGCACCACCAGAAGGACCCAGAACTAGAATACACAACTATGTACTGGGGGGCTTTGGGGAGAAGAAGGAAAAATTTTTAAAAATAATAATAAAAAAATTAAAAATTTCTATACAACTTCAATTTAAATGAGATGCATTAAATAGACCAGTTCCTGGGTGCTAGCAAATGAACCAATCCTACCCCTTTTCGAACCACCACCTTTGCCAAAGGCCCCTGAACATAGATATGAATATAATGGTTAACTTTATTTATATTCATCATTCTAATGTTTATGATATAGCCCTCCAAAAACAACTCACATTAACGAAATAAAGTTAAAAGCTACCTACTTTGAAAATCCCCTGCCCAAAATAATTTAACTCTTTATTCTAATACTTGAAGTGTGAAATCACTACACTTTTCATTTCAGTTTATGGTCCCTTAAGGCCATATGCCTCAGGAGTGATCAACACAAGCAATATCATTTGTACAGTCTTCTTTCTTTACAAATAATGCTCACAGTAACAGACTAACTGGCAGTTCCTTTCAGACTGGAGTTCCCTGAGAAAACCTCAGCAGTCAAACTCGTTTATGGAGCTGCTGCTCAGTGTGCACGTGCTGGGGCTGGAGGGCAGAGGCAGACCAATCAGACACTGTCCCGCAGACGCTACTGACTTTCTCTTCCCTCTTCCCTCTGAAAGAGATCTACAATTCAGATCAGAACCAGTACTGGCCTTTTCTCCCAGCGTCTTACATGGATCATCAGCTCCTGTGTGCTGTGAGGCCAGGTCTGAAGCTCACAAGCACTCTTAGTGTCCTTACACATTCTCCCAGGGTCCGCCATTCTCCCAGGGTCCTAGGCCAGATCCTACAGAAGCATCTTGACTAATCTCTCCCCAACCAGTCATGGCATGTTTCATCTTGCTGAGCCTCTAAAAACCTTCACAGGGCCTTAATCGCTCTTGGAATAAGACCCAGCGTGGATTTGCCAGTGGTATGGCTACAACATACCTAAGCTTCCCTCACACTCCAGCTCACTCCACAGTAACACACACATACCCCTCAAAGATCTCTAACTCTCTCATCACTTGGAGACTCTTTTTTGCCAAACCTGTTCTCTCTCTTGGAATATTCCTGTATTCTATTCTCCAACTACTTATTGTCTCTTGTTTTTCAAAGTGCCGATTTTATCCCAATATTTTTCCCCCAAATACTCTAGAGGATGGAAAACCTCTTCTAAGGCCTTTTATGACTTGTCTGTACCGGTCATTTCTGCATTTAGAAATACATATATTTCTTCTTGCTGTTTAACTATGTTACTTATCTATATCTTATCTCCTCAGTAAACTTCAGCACAACTGGCTTTCATCACTTTGCATCTCACCATGAGGCCAATTACAGCACTGAGGAGTTAGTAAGTGTGCACCAAGCACTAAGTGGACAGAGAAGTAATGCCGGGAGAGAAAGTCCTGCACAAGTGAGGAGCACGTACTGTCAGGTTCACAATTCATCATTTTACCAAGATGAACCCAGTGGTCTAGGAATCAGGGCTGAGCAATTCCATAACAATGGAAGGAACCACATTTACGTTCTGAGAACACAAGGAAAATAAAAGAAGGACCTAAACCCACCTGGGACGCAATGGTCAGCAGCACAGTGGTCATGCTATTTTGGGTTTCCAGCACCAGGAAGGTCTAAGTCCTCAGAAAGTGACCCTAGACGTGAAGATAGAAATCATGATAATTACTCTTGCCTTCCCGTAAACTCGCAGAAACTGTCATATGCAGCTACTTGTCACCTAAGAAGAGCTGACACAGGGAACCAAGGGACAATCCCACAACATCCCTGAATCAAGACAGCCATGACCTTGCTGCCTCAGGTTCCTCCCATCCTCCTCCGCCCTTAACCTCCAGTAGAACTCTGCTATGAGAATCTGGACACATAAACTAAATACATATTTGTATCTTTCATCTGCTGAGTGATAGTCAAATAACACTCAAAGTCTCTTGTGTCAGTCGGTGCCTCACTTAACGATTCATCCCTGTTCTATTCGAGGCTCACAGGATGAACGAACACTAAATTCTTTTTAAACGTTGTCTTTTCAGAGAGAACACTGGCTTTCTCAGAAATGCGATGGGTCTTGTGGGAAAAAATCCAGGATTCTGAAGAAATCCTGTGACTTCTCGAATCCTCACTTGCCCCATCTGCCAGATGGGTATCCTACTGCCTCATGGGGTTCCTGTGAGGACAAAAGGAAGTCATTATCAAAAGCCAAATAGTCAGATCTGCTGATTTGGGGGGCAGGGGAGGCGCACATCATCCTAAAGACCAGCAGGGCAAGGCAGGCGGCGGGCTCTCCCTGAAAACCCCAACGTGAGGATAACCAGCAAGAAGGGGCTCTCTCACACAGAGACAGGACGCTTCTCCTTCCCGAGCCTGCCCCAGCCAGAGGGCAGCCTTTCTCCTTTTACTCTCCAGCAGGCACCGCGCCCGCACCCCTCCCAAATTCTCACCTCTGCCCCCCGGCTCCCTGGGACTCTCTCCCGGCCCGCGCAGGTGACTCCCGCCGCAGAGAAAGGCGCAGCGAACGCGCGAGGGGCCCGGGGGCTGGGAGGGAGGTCGCCCACCCAGGGGCGGGGAACACGCGCGACCCTCGCGGGGCAGCCTGCGCCCCCGACCCGGGGGCCCTCCCGCCGCCCTCCTTCCGGCCACTGAGACTTAGAAGGACACACGCTCAGTCCTGTTCGACCCCAGGCTCGACCTCACGCCCGACACGGAAGAAGCCGGGTCAGACGACAAAGACATCTAGGAGCCGGCCGGGCCCGGTCGCGCCTGCCCGAACTCGAGGCTGAACTACAACTCCCAGAATCCTCCGCAGGGCGCGGCTCGCGACACCGTACGCCGCTTCCCAGAGGACTCCGGGGGACGCTGGCCAGGGGTCTTCCGCCCTCGGGGCTGCGTCTCCCGCGATGGGGGCTCCCGGTTCTGGGTTTCCGGGGGTGTTGGGCCCTTAGAAAGGTCCTTCTTGGGCGTTCGAAGGGCCGGGCTTTTCGTGATGCCGATTCTGCCTTCCCGCCCCGGAAGATGTGCTCGGCTGCACCAGACCCCGCCGCACGTGGGACACTCTCTCCCCTGCAGCTGTAACCGGTGGATGGCTGCGCCCCAGCACACCAGGATTCCCTCGTAGCTGCTGGACTCCCTCAGAGGGAGGCGCCGCATCCCAAAGGATGGTTACCCCACCGCCGTCGCTTCCCTTCTGCTGCGCCTCCTCGGCAGTAGGCCCATTGCGGCAGGGTAGAGGTTACCTCAAGTAGCCCGGGATGTTTATTCCAGGCTGCACTTTGGAATAAGAAAAAGTAATATCTCAGTCTCGGGAATCACATCAACCCAGAAACAGAGCCCCATGAAGTTGTCAGTTAGTAACTGGTACCGCTGACCTCAAGGGGACTGGAACATGAAAGACTTTGACTCCCGAGGAGCTCCAGGAGCTGCCTGCTGGGAGTCGGGGTGTCTTCAGGCTGGTGCATGTTCTCACTTATCTTCTCACAATAAAGTAGCCAATGTTCCATCCGGTTCAAATTCCCGAGAAAGAAAATCAGATTAGCCTAACTGTCCCTGTTTGGGTATCAGCCGCAATGTCCGTTTATCCTTTCTCTAATAGAGTTCCCAACTTTTAGGTAGGCCTAAGGCTTCCCCGAGTAACGATTACATTTCTCATCATCCCTGCCTCTTGCCAGGGAGATGAGAGCAAAGTGATTCTTAAAGGAAAGAGGAAAGCTCCTCCAATACTGGCTGGAACACAGACAAGTCATCATGACCACGTGGACACCGTTAACACCCTAGTGTAGGGGAGGAGGACATTTCCTCTCCCCAAATGTGGGTTCGCCTGGCCGGAGAACGAATTAAATTCACATGAGACAGAATAGCAAGAGAAAATTAAACAAAGCTTTATGAGGAACCATGGCCCGGGGCCTTTCTTCCCGAAGGAAGAAAGAGTGCGGAAGAAGTGGGGTGCACATATACCCCCAAACAGGGTGTTTCACATGTGATTGAAATGTCCCTCCCACAATAGTCACAAGATTGCCCTGTCGGCACAGTGCTTGATGGACACAGCAGGTAGTGGTTGGCTATCTTGGTGGGCGTAGCAGGAGGCTAGTCGATTGTCTGGAGCTGGGCAGTCACAGGTGAGCGCAGCAATCAGTTCCTAGCCTAAAGAAAGATGCTTAATCCTTAAAGAAATGCCAACATTGGGAGGGGGAGGGAAGTCAGATACAGGAGGTTAGCAGCCTAGCACAATAAAATGCAGATTTAAGTCCTTGCCTTTGGTATTGATTAAGAGTTTTTGGAGAGAAGGTCATCTCCTTTCTTCTTCCTGGTACAGAGAGGGAGGCACCTTTTACAGATAGAGATTTACCTTACAAATGTAAATGTGTCCTAAGGAAGGGCAAGTTCCATTCCTCAGAGCCTCCTTCCCTGTCCCAGTTTATCAAAAGCAATCAGCCTCAAATAATCCTGATGCCAAAGAGACATATCTTGGGGTGGCCAATTTCAGGTCCCCACACTAGGAATGGCAAACCAACAAGATAGAAGGAACTGAGCCCCTGACGGTTTGGTGGAACTTGCTCTTTAACATGAGAGAGATGTAAACTGTTGTGTAAGCCACCGTTATGCTGGGTCTCTGCTAAGTCTGTCTCCTAACTGGTCTATAAGTTGGCTGCTTTTGGTCCACTCAGCTAGGTCTGGGAGGAGAGAGGGCGTGTGGCAGAGAACACAGCCCTGCAAGCTCAAAGAATAGCTGAAGGGCTCCCTGCTCCCAGCTTCCATCAGCAAAAGATAAGCAGTGGGCAGTTCCTTTCAAAAATGGTGTGTATGAAAGGCACCACCAGCTGACCTGTCTGGAACAGCTGGCAATACTTTTCCTCCTTTTGTTAACCATCCCCATCACAGCAATCCCTTTTCTTTAGTTACCATGTCAATGGTCAGTTCTCAGTCTTCTTCTCACTTTACCAGTCAACAGCAGTTAAAACTGACTCCTCCCTCCTCCTGGAAACACTCTCTGGTTTTCCTCCTTGAATGGTCACGCCTTCTCAGTCTCCTTAAGTAGTTCCTCCTCTTCCAGCCTCTAAACCAAGGGTTCTCAAACTACAACATGGTCAGAGTCACCTGGAGAGCTTGTTCAACTGGAGCCTTTAATTCCACCCCTATTCAGGATGTCTGGGGTGGGGCCTGAGAATTTGCCTTTCTAAAACTTCTCAAGGGGTGCTGAAGCTGCTCATTTGCGAATGAACTCAATGTTGTGTTGACGAAAATAATCCAGAACCAATCTATAAATGAAAATTTGGGTGAGTTTATTCTGAGCTGAAATCTGAGGACCATGGCCCAGGCCTTTCTTCCCAAAGGAAGAAAGGGCACCAAAGAAGTGAGGTGTACAGAGTGGTTATATACCCCCAAGCAGGACGTTTCACATATGATTGAAATGTCCCTCCCACAATAGTCACAAGATTGCCCTGTCAGCACAGCGCTTGATGGATGCAGCAGGTAGTGGGTCTGCTGTCTCAGAGGGCGTAGCAGGAGGCAATTCTATTGTCTCGAGCTGGGCAGTCACAGGTGAGCGCAGCAATCAGTTTCTAGCCTAAGGAAAGATGCTTAATCCTTAAGGGAATGACAACATTGGGAGGGGGAGGGAAGTTGCACCTTTATCTCAAGGGCCTTTGTTCTTGCCATAGGGAATATCTAAAGCAGATATACAACGCGTGCTCAACAGCCATGGTCAGGCCCTTTTGGAAAGACAAGGTCAGGCCGAATTAGGTTTATACCAAATGGCTTCCTCATATTCTCCAATATATCCTATTGCTTGCCATTTTTATTTGTCAGTTGGAATGTTCGGGGCTCAATTTTTGGGCCTCTCTTCTTTTCCTATCAGCACTAAGATTACTCCTTAGTAATCCTGTTCAGTCTCGATGTTCTAAATACCATCCACGTGTAGTCAACTACCAATTTGTATCTCTAGCCTGGCTTCTTCCCCAACCTTAAGCTGTCTCCTCAACCTCTTTACTTGGATGTTTAATAAATACGTCTAATGTAACATGTTCAAAACTGAACTTTTTTTTTTTTCTGAGGAAGATTTGCCCTGGGCTAACATCTGTTGCCAATCTTCCTCTTTTTTTGGCTTGAGGAAGATTTGCCCCAAGCTAACATCTGTGCCAATCTTCCTCTATGTTGTTGGGGGTCTCTGCCACAGCTTGGCTGATGAGTGGTGTAGGTCCATGCCCGGGATCTGAACCTGTGAACCTGGCTGTCAAAGCTGAGTGCACAGAATTTAACCACTACGCCATGGGGCCAGCCCCAAAACTGAACTTTTGATGTCCTTCCTCTCCTGCTGCCGTAACTCTTCCACCTGAAGTTTTCCACATCTTAGTAAATGGCAACTCCATCCTTCTGATGCAGGCTTGGTGAGCTGAGGAGTTGAAAGAAAGATTTCTTGGACTTTCAAGGTCTGCTAGCAGTGCTCCTTTATTCAGAGAACAGCATGGGGACAGGACCCATGGACAGTAAGAGCTGCAAGCATGAGACAGGACCCATGGGCAGTGAAGAGATGCAACAGGTTGAGGGTAGGGCTAAATTTATAAGGCATAGGTATGTCAGTTATTTCTTTACTAGACAAAGGAAAGATCATGTGAAAAAAAGTTGTTAAAATGGTATCAGTGCAGGTGAGGACTGGTCATATAACTTTGGATACGAGTCAGCTCAAATCAGGTCAGGATGCCCTATACTTCCTGGAGGATGATATAGATCAGCGTGTAGGGCAGGATGCCTTGGGCTTCTCTCCCTGGGGCAGCCTTTATCCTCCTCACTTCTAGTTGCTTAGTTCAAATACCTTGGAGTCATCATTCTTCTCTTTATCACACAACCCACATCCAGTTCCTCCTCAAATCCTGTTGGCTGTACTCTCAAAATGTATGCAGAATCTGACTACTTCTCACCACTTCCACCACTACCAAGCTCATCTAAACATCCATCATCTCTTGCCTGGATCATTCTACATGCCTGCTAACTGCTCTCACTCCCACTCTTGCACTGCACATCCTATTCTCAACACAGTTGCTCCCACATCAGAACAAAGGCCAAAGTCCTTACAGTGGCCCACAAGGCCCTTCAAAATCTGTATCATCCACACCCACTAACTCTCCAATCTCATCTACTACTTTCCCCTCCTTTTTTCTGCTGCAGCCACACTGGCCTCTTGTCATTCTTTGATTAAGTGAAGCATGCTTCCACCAAAGAGCCTTTGTGCTTGTTCCTGTGCCTGAATATCCCTCCCCACATATCCACATGGTTTGCTCCCTCACCTCCTCCATGCCTTTGTTCACCTCCTCTGGAAAGCATTCTCTGACCACACTTTGTTTTATTTTTTCCCCTTAGTACTTAGCTTTTTCTAATAAATAATTATTAATTTTGTTTATTGGGTGTCTCCCAACACACATACACCAGAGATTAAGCTCCACGGGGCAAGGAGATTCCCTAGAGTATTTATTGGTACTTAGATGATCAATAACTGAGTGAGAGTGTACTCTTCTCTATACTTGTAGAGAACGTAAAAGTGCCTGAAACTAAGATGGCCCTCATTGCTTTTCTTGGCTTTCATTTGTTTGCTTTTAGAAAACTCGGACTTCCTTAACAAGCCTGCCTTTATTCACATAGGCTCTACTTTAGAATAATGTGGCCCTAGACACTAGCAGCTGGCCCAAGCATGTACATGGGTGTCACATAGCAGTAGAGTGGAGTTGAAACATCTTGGGATGAAAACCCATTGGTCCCCAGTGAGTCCCATTGTCTCTTAAGGGTGGATGGCCCTTGAGTTTTCCTAAATTTAGTGAGGGCCTGTTACCTTCTAGTCTGGCTTTGTTTTTGCCACAACATCCTGCCAGGAAAGCATCCTTGCCTTCCTCAAGAAGCTACAGTGCCATGAAAGGCCATTTACTTTGATGTGAAAGTTGATGTTAAGAGAGGTAAACAAGGAAACTGTTAATCACCATGGAAGAGAGCAAAACTGAAAACGTAAAGTAAGGATTTGGTGGCAAAGAGGTGGAGATTTGAGGGATGTGAGATTCAACAGAAGAGAGACGTGCTAAAGGTCTCAGGTAGTGAGAGAGGAAGGCGGACCTGAGGCAGGAAATCAGGCTTGGAGTGAACAGCAAAAGGACTCAATCAGGCATATGCGAGTCTTGTGCTTCGTCACATTACCTCTGCCTCTGCACAGACCCTCAGCTATTTTCTCCACTTCAGCTGCCAGAGCTGCTCAACGCACTCAGCCATTTGATTGCACCACCTGCAGCTGGACAGCGTTCTGCCTGGGAGCGCCAGTCTCTCCCCCTTGCTTGCCACAGGCCCAACACTGCACACTCAGGCTTCTGACTCATTGCACCACTTCCAGGCTTGCTGAAGTGCCATACAATGGGCTGTGGGATCTGGCTTTCCTAGCGGTGGCTGGATGATGCAACCTGAAACTGTGAGGGGAACAAGAAGGATCAGATCAGATAAATTCCTTCTGCTTCTCTTTGCCAATCAACTGCTCCAAGGCACGGTTTCTCCGCATAGACCATCTGGAGACTTCTTGCAGAGCCAAGTAGATGCACATGCTGAATAACCTATTGTCTCTCTTCTCAGCTCATTGTGAAGCAATGGCCAATAGGTAATAGGCCACCTTGCTTTTCTTCCCATCCCTCCCTGCTTCACTTCCTTGTCCTCACTCTTGCTGCCCTAGGTCTGTACTTCATAAAGCCCCAGCTCTTAATCTTTGCCTTGGGCTCTGCTTCCTAGGAAATTTGGGCTAAGACTGGGAATGTAGCCTTCTCTCATGCCCTGGTCTCTCTAAAGGCCTCATTGTTTCAGGGGAGAACTGTGAGTCATGAGCAGTGTATCCATGGTAAAGCAGAAGCAGTTATTAAGACCAGCTGATGAAGGCAGAGGCACAGGCTGAGACTTGGATCAAGTAAGGAGGAGCCTGGAGACAAGCCACTGGGAGAGAATGATAGAGGGTCTCTAGTCCTAGCACCAGGAGTTCCAAGGAAGCAAATACCTTAGTGTCAGTGTCCAAATGCTTACGGAACCCTGAATACATATTCTCTAATACAGCATAGTGGGAATTTACATGTAAAATTTCTGAGCATTCATCAGCATGAAGTCATGCTGATGGTAGACGAGATGTTGCAACTAGCAGTCCAGAAAAGAGCCACAGAATGAAGCTAAGATGGTTGGTGACATGACAAGCAACAACCAGGATCTACTTCAGGAACTTGATAAATGCTGATTGGATATTTTATCTGGAATTTGGAAGGGGCAATGCCCAAGACAGAAGAATCTGAAGGTATCTGAGACATGGAGGTCTATCTAGCAGGTCTATATAAAGCCAAGTGAAAAACATCAACTCTGCCCAGATAGAGGACATTCAGGGTTGGTTTCAGCCTGTCCGTGGTTTTCTGGTGTAGGTTTGGTTTGTTCACCCATAATAGCTAAATAATAATAGTATGGATTCTTTGAAACTCATGAAGTTACTTGTTCAAGTAACTTTTTTTGAAGTGGGTCTTACTCCATCTTATATTTCCATCAAATAGACATTGATGAGGATTTTCAAGGGAGTTACAGAAAATTCCCATTTCCTAGCAGGGTCACTGTAGAGGATTTAACGGGAAAGAAATAACGGGAATGGGCATTCACATTGTGAGAGAAACCAATAGACCTTTATATGAGAAACACCTTTCAGCCAACATCATATCATCATTTTGCACTGAGACACATCATGTTCCTCCCTTTTACACACCGACAAACAACAGGAAGAGACAAATGGTAGACCTGGAAGATTACTAGGCCTCTCCACAAACAGGCTTAATAACAGTCAAGAGCTACATATTGAACTGACTCTTGGCAACAAGTTAACCAACTTCAAATAGTGTAAGTATATATATATAATTTATAATTCATTCTCTGTGTACTTTAGGAAGATAGTTGTCTATAGGTAAATGGATATGTTTTTAGTAAGAGTGGCAGAGAAGTTGGCCTGAAGAAAACCAGCCATGCAAAAGGATATTCAAAGGACTCTAGGGTCAGGCTACCAGATCCTCATAAAGGATTTGCAAAGAATTATGCTGGGCTAAAGGGACAGGGAAGACCTCTTTCTCTGTCTCCATTACTCTGCCACAATTAGGTACAACCATGGAGGCATGAATACTCCAGAGCTGATCATAACAGATGTGGTCTATTACACTTCTGAAGTCATGCCAGCCTCACAATGAGGTACTGCTTGCCTCTCCTCTGGTCCTGGTTTGAGGCAGTATTTTCTCTGGGTAGAAGAGTTAGTTCCTTTTATATTGACTCTATGTATTTCTTTGGAAAGTTTAACAGGAATTCCCTTTGGATATGAATACAGTGGTTGAAAACATAAGAGTCTTTCTCTCTCATTCAAGAATAGAAATAGGCAGCCAGTGCTGGTGTGGAGGCTCCAGAAGATCATCAGGGAACCAAGTGTCTTCTGTTCTTCTCCTCTCCCATCCTTTAGGCCTTGCTTATACCCTCAAAGTCACAAGATGCTTTATGGAATTCCAGCCATTAAATCCACATTCCAGGTGGAAAGAAGGGAAGGGAAAAGGGAATTTCCTAGCGTCCCTCTCTCTTTTATTAAGTTGCCTTCCCAGAAGTCCTTCCCCACAAATTCCAATTATATCAATATATCAGTGGCCTGATATTTGATATATCAATATACTGTTGGCCTGATATTTGATATATCAGTATTTCATTGGCCTGATTAGCCATACCTCACTGCAAGAGAGGCTGAGAAATAGAGTTGGGCACTCTGCTGCTCAGAATAGACTCAGATATCCTATTGGTAAGGAAGAAAAAAAAGAATGACCACAAGTTAGGTAAGTAACAGCCTCTGCCATAGTAAGCATTACTCAATGCTCATTATCAACACTTTAAGCTATTGCAAGTTACTTTATCATGAAGTTCTATAAAATGGCGTAATAAGTTGAACTGCTGATCCTAGAATATTTGGTCATTTGCCTCTTCTGCACACTTTGCACAGGTTTGATACACATGTATGATGGAAAGGAATCCACATCCTTATGTGATACCTATGGCATGTTCAACAGGTCAGGCACCATCAGGGGTCAGATCTTTGATTACCATGGGGATTGATTTTTTGTGGCCTCTGCTATTGGCCATTTGTCCTGCCTTAAGTCCCAGATTCCTGCTCATTAACAAGATGAAAGAAGAGCGTGCCATGCTAATTCTCTATCCTTCATTCACTGGAGTGCTGATATGGCACAAGAAATTAAAATGATTGTGCTTTTTTTTTTTTTTTAAACACCCAGACACTAGGAATCTGTCCTCCTCCTCATCTTGGTGCTCATGCTCTCTCAGCTGCTCTCTGGAATTATTGCTTTATTACTAAGCAGGAATTCGCAAAGATGTAGGTATAAGGAAGCTAATCTAAGTCTTCACTGTGTAGGTGTGGACAGCCTGTATTTTGGTTTCAGAGATACCGATGTTGTGGGCAAGAAGGACATCATGTCTAATAGGATGTGATGGCCTAGCTTTCAGTTACATCCTCGCATCCACTGCTTTACTACTGAAGGATGACCACTCATGGATGAGCTCTGTCTGGAGTTAACTTTGGCTCTGTGGTATTCTTTGAGCTTAGACGCAGCCCCATCCCCTGGGTCATTGTGGCTGACTTCTTCAGCCTGGGACCTCACCCAGCTGCCACGGCTACAGCTGGTTGTTGCAACTGGACTTTGAACTGTTGGTATGAATATTGTTCCCTTCAGCAGCTATGAGTGAATACATCATGAGAAAGAGAAGGCCTGTGTCCAGGGTATCTATGGAATTGCAGAGCCAGGCTAAGGAATCTCAGTTATCAATGAAATTAAAACAAAGATAAAAACCACCACAATCCTAGAAACAAGAATAGTTGGGTGATGGGTTAGGCTACCAGAGCCCAGAGGTCAGGGTAGAGGGCAGAAGAGCCAAAGTTCAGGGAGGAGGAGGCTCCTGAGGAGCTGAAGTGAAGAACAAGAGCATATAGCCCAAATCAGAGCTCCGGGAAGCTCTAAGAAGGGTGGATTAAAAACTAACAGCACAATTACAGTGAAGGTATTTGCAGTTCTAAGTAGACATTAGCTTGATGTTTATTTTGGTACCGAAGTTTCTAGTTCTAGAAAGTGCACTTGATTTGGGACTCAAGTTCTCATGACTAGACAGGTATTCATTCATTCAGAAACTATGTAATAAGTGCCAGGCACCACACTGGGGACACAGCAGTGCATGGATATGAAAAAGTTCCTGTTCTCATGGAGCAGTCTAGCAATAAATGAATGAATGAATGAATAAATAAATAAATAAAATATATGATGCTTATCTTAGAATCCCCTTCAAACACTTACAAAGCATGTTGATTGGAAAGCTTCTGATCTGACCAATTTGGGGCTCCTCAGACTATTATCTTAAATTTCAAGTACCCCAGGGGAAGTCCATGGTGTGATCTACTGAGACTATTTATTGAGACTCTGGTACCAAATGGAGGCATGAGAATTAACAGTAGTTAGAAGGCGCTCAAAGATAAATCTTCATTATCTTGAAGTTACTGAACCAGGTTTGTTTTTCCTGGCACACAATTATGCCAATCATTGAGATGACGAGTCTGCAAAGAGAAAGGATTTAATCACAAGGCAGCCAAGCAAGGAGGTGGGCAAATCTACCTCCCCCCCAAAATGGGGACGAGGGATATTTATGGGATAAGGGGGCAGGCAGGATGGTCTGAAGTGGGAAAAGATGATTGGAGGGAAGGAGAAGTGAGGTAATTGATGATCCGTGCAAGTCTAGTCAAGCTTCATGGCTCTTCATAGGACACATATTCACAAAATGGCAGCATTACCATGATCTGAGGGTGGAGTTTTCAGCTCCTTGATGTCACAGTGTCACCTATTGGTCATCTGTGCAGGTCCAGTTGATGAGTTGGTTGTCTTAACCAGCCTGAACTGGACAAGGAGTCGACTTTCAGATCCTGAAAAACTCAAGCACCTGTTATTACGGTGACCCAGGCATCAGAGACGTTATTTATAGGGCAGGTTTTAGCAATGCATTATCTAACTACTTTTGCAAACAGACAACTAACTGAGTATAGTTAAAGCAAGTTGGCCTCTGGTTTCAAAGTCACTACGGGGGTCCCTTGTCCAGCTGAAGCACCTTCGTGATACTCTGAAGCCTGTCTGCATAATGTCGCTGATGTCAGATGATAGATGACTTTCAACTGAGCACTTTCCCACACATGCTGCACTTGCAGGATTTCTCTCCAGTGTGCACTCTTTCATGTTGAATAAGTTGTCTTTTCTGGAGGAAGGCTTTCCCACATTCAGTGCCTTTATAGGGCTTGTCTCCACTATGAATTTTCTGATGTTTATTAAGGGATGAGGGGTCAAAGAAAACTTTCCCACACTCATTACATTCAAAAGGGGTCTTTCTAGTGTGCGCTTTCCTGTGGTGAACGAGGGAGGAGTGGTCAAGCAGAGCTTTGTCACATGCCTTGCACCCACAGGGCCACTCTCCAGGGTGAGTGAGCATGTGGTGACTGAGATTGCTTTTCTGGCTAAAGGATTTCCCACATTCTGTACACTCACAAGGTCTTTCTCCAGTATGAATTCTCTGATGTGGAGTAAAGCACAAGTGGACAAAGAAAGCCTTGTCACATTCATTACATTCAAAAGGCTTCCCTCTGGTATGACTTCGCTGATGTTCAATAAGGGTTAATTGGTCATGGAAAGTTTCCTGACATTCGCTGCCTTCAGAGGTGCTCTTGCCAGTGTGAGACATCAAATGTTTCTTAAGACTACTCCTATAGCTGAAGGCTTTCCCGCATTCTTTATAGTCGTAGGGCTTCTCTTCAGTGTGGGTCCTCTGATGGCAAGTGAGGGGTAAATGGTTATATAAGGTCTTCCCACATACACTGCCTTCCAACTGTATCTCCTTATTGTCAGTTTGTTTGGCAAGAGTGTATCCTTGCCTGAGTCCTTCTCCTTGGGGGACGATTTCTTCAAAGTCTCCCCTGAAGCATTTTCTTTCTTTGTGCCCTCAGGGTTTTCTGGGCCAAGTACAGGACCCAGAGGACCATCTTTTCTGAGGTTTTTCATTCATGTCTTGTATTTTCAGTAATGACTTTACTTTTTTAGAAACATCCTGCTTTTCAGTTGAGTCCTGGCTCTTAAGTCTAGCCTTCTGGTATAAAACAAACAGAAAACACAGATATAACTGGGTTTGAGTGCTAGTGAAAAGGAAAACATTGTATATATATTAAGAAAAGAACAAATGCAAAATACTGCTGGGTTTATTGGTAGCTCCTCAGAGAAAAAACATTACGGAGAGGCTGAAAAATGGCAGAGGAAAAAAGAGGAATAGAGACCAGAAGTGGAAGGTGGGCATCTAGCCCACTGAACAAGTTTCAGTTATTCATTCATGAGATATTTACTAGGGGCCTGCCTAGTGGTAAGGAGGCATGGTAAAAGTCATTGGGACCCTAATGAACAAGACAGACATGGTCCCCACCCTTGTTATGCTTATATTCTACTAGACAGAAGACAAAGAATAAATAAACAAAATATAACAGATGGTGATAAGTACAGCAAAGGAAATGATGAATGAGAGTTGGAGTGGGGACTTCTTTAGAGGGACCCTTAAGAACGGTCATCTAGAAGTGACATTTAAGCTGAGATCTGAAAGTTGTTAACCAAGTACACAGCCAAAAGAAGAGCATTTCAGAGAGAGATACGTGCATAAAAATAGGAGATACACAATGAAGCGGGGAAATGACTGGGCAGTTTGTTACTCGATGAGTATAAACAGCAGAGAAAAAGTGGGGAGACAGGCTAGCACCTGAGAAAGTGAACTGTCAATGGCCACTGAATGGTAATTTAAAGGAAGAGGAGGAGATACGGTAAAGGATATGCAGAAAAGATAAGTAAGTGATATCAGAGTTGAAATAATGATAGATCTCAACCCTCCCTGCAAAAAACCCAACGGGGGCGGGCCTTGCTATGCACACTCCACTTATTCATTCATCTGACAAATACCTGAGTGTGTGCTCTGTACCAGGTACTGTTTGAAGTACTGGGGATACAGTAGCAAACAACAGAAAAAGTCTCTGATGGAGTTTATACTTTAACAGAGGGTAGGTGTGGACAGACAACCAACAAAATGAAGAAGTAAAACTATAGTATGTTAGGAAGACAGAGTCGGGAAGAGAGCGGGTGGTGCAGGGGCTGGGAGGGACAAAGGGATGGAGAGGGTTCAATTTTACATAGGGTCATCAGGCCAGGCCTGACTGAGAAGGTGGCACATTTGAGCAAAAACTTGAAAAAGGTGACAAGAAGGCCATGTGGCTATACATGGTACGAGTTTTCCAGGCAAAGGCCAGTGTGGCAGTGGCCATCTCATAGGTCTATGCGATCCTAAGGAGTGGTCTCTAAGTGAACTGTCCAGCAAAGCCCCATCTGCCCAGCTCACGCATTCCTAGAGAAGTGCTTCCTGGGACTTCTCTCTCCTCAGCTTCCTGATGATCAAGTTTCCATGGCTCTTTGCCTCTCTTCAACTGGAAAATCACACCAGATTTAAGAATTAGAAGTTCTGCTCACAGAGAACAAAATGACAAATGGCTATTTGGGATGGAAATCCCTAGCCAACTCAGGGTTTAATTACTTTCCTTACTCTCGAGGGAGGGAAATGGAACTATCCAGACAGCACATGCTTATTTCTAGAAGAAGAGGATAATTTCCCTTCTCTGAAGGGTACGTCAGGACTGACTTTCTAGAAAATCTGATCTGTATCTATTGAGATAGTTCACTATTTTTCCCTGATAAATATCTAGGAACCTCCTCCAGATGAAATTAGTATTCTTGCAAATTGAGGGAAAATTCTTAGCTGAGGGGAGTGGAACACGGAGAAGGTTCTGCCCCTCAAGGAACTCAAGTGAAGAAGCCATCCCATTTTCTTTTGTAGTTTTTTAAATAAATTTTTATCCCTTAATTATAATTCTGTGCAATTGTATTGAATTTGATGAAACTAGAAATCAAACTGGAAGAGTTTTAGAAATATAATTCAACTTACGTACAGTTAATATAAAACACTTAAAACTGAAAACACCAATAAACAATTTTTTAGAAATCCTTAAAAAGAAACTATGATGTCTTTGGCTTTTAAAAATTTAAAGCAGTGACATTTATAAAGCCTTAATTTTCTGTGTTTAGTTTTTAAATTCATTATTAAATATTTAAGACATACGAAAGGCATAAAGACCAAAACAAACACCTACGAACCCACCATCTAACTTAAGAAATAAACGTTAACACCAAGATTGAAGCCCCTCATCTTCTCTTCCTTCCACCTCATGAGGGAGCCACTACACCAAATTTTACATTAATCACTCTGCATTTAAAAATGTGTTTCCTCTTCTTCTTTGTAGTTTTTAAAATATTTAAAAATATTCCATGTTCATTGTAGACAATCAAGAAATCCAAAAAAAGAAAACGAAAAGTCACCTGTAAGCCTACTGGTGCAAGATAATTAGGCATAAAATTTTGGTGTAGAGTCTTCCAAACTTTTTCTATGCATGTAAATATATGCTATAAATGTACTCAAGTTCCAATCATTTTGTACCCTGCTTTTATCATTTAACAATATATCAGTAATATATTTCTAACTGTATAAATATCATCCTCAAGGTTCATACAATACTGTGGTCCATTATGGATGTACAATAATTCACTTACCTAAATCTCTATTACCAAGTATCTATGTTGTTTCCATTTTTTCACAATTTTAGGGAAAATTGAGATAAACCTTTTAAAAAAATTTTTTCCCTTAGGACAATTCCCAGAAGAGAGCATACTCACTTTCAGTTTTACCTAATTAAAGCTAGGGTCTCAGTCCAACCTTCCCTTATCCAACAGATTCCATCCATATCAAAAAGGCTGTTTCCTCTCAGCCCGGGGTGTCCCTCAGGCTGCATGGAGACTTTACCGACATGACAGCCACATCCTTGGCCACCTTGCTGAACTTTCCTGCCCCTGGCCTTAGGAACTTCTGTGACTTGGACTCAGCAGTTCTCCTTAATTCTGTTTCAATGTCCTGTTCTGCCTACTGTTCTTCTGGTTCATCTACACTGGTCCAAGGAGTTCTGGCATTATCTCAGGCTTTCCTCTCTTATTTTAAAAACTGTCTTGTGTGGGGTTGGCCCCGTGGCCGAGTGGTTAAGTTCATGAACTCGGCTTCAGCGGCCCAGGGTTTCACCAGTTCGAATCCTGGGCGTGGACATGGCACCACTCATCAGGCCACGCTGAAGCGGCATCCCACATGCCACAACCAGAAGGACCCACAAGTAAAAATGCACAACTATGTACTGGGGGGCTTTGGGGAGAAAAAGGAAAAATAAAATCTTTAAAAAAACAAAAAACAAAAAAAAAACTGTCTTGTGGTTCCTTTTCCTACAAGATTCTGTATGCTCCCTCTATACCTCTCCTTCATTACTCTTCCTTATGACTGCACTTCACGCTCTTTTGAATGATTTTTGACATCTAGAGGAACCTGTTCTTCACCTCTTGGTAAGGAGGTAGGATTTTACTACTACTTTCCTAGGCAACATGTTTTCAAAGCAGCGACCGAATCCTAGTACTAAGACAGGCATTAAACAGAAACAAACAACAAACAATAAATAAACTCACAAACCATCCTTTTACCCTTCCTAGGGATCTATCCAAAGATGTACAATTCTGCCCCAGTGAGAAAAGAAAAGCCATATTCTTTGCACGCGCACGCAATGGCAGATTCTGAGTCACTGAGGAAAGTCATGCTTACCCAAAGAAACAAAATCCTGATGGTTCTCCAGCATCACCTCCCCGTAAAGGGCGATTTAAGTAGGAACCAGTTGTTTCACTTATCCTTTGAGAATTTCACAGCCACATCCTTAAATGTGAGTGACTTTTGAAAAGACAAACATATGCTTACTCACCTGTATGTCTTCTTTTATGTCTCACTGAGGAAGAGGAAAGACGATAGCACTGGAAGACGTATGGGATGGGAAAGAAATGGTTTTTATGATGTCAAGGGCACTGGATATTTTAAGGAAGAGGTACAGAGCTGTGACTTGAGTCACGAAACTCTTGGTTATGGCCCCATGCCATTATATTCATGGCAGAACCTCCAAATTTCAAGGACACTGTCACTTGGCCTCAATTTTTAACTCTAAAATGAAAGAATTAGGTTAGATGATCTTTAAAGTCTCTTCCAGCTCTAACGCTAATGGATCCATGAGATCTCAGCCTAACTAACTGGTTCTCAGGTCAAGGGAAGACCCATGATGAGTGTATGAGTAATAAAGGATACTCTAAAGAACTGAAACCGGAAAAATGGGATCAAACATATAGTTCCCCTTTGAGGTTAATATTCAAAATATACAAAGAACTCATACATCTCAACAACAAAGAAACAAACGACCCAACTGACTAATGGGCAAAAGATCTGAACAGACATTTTTCCAAAGAAGATATAAACATGGCTAACAGGCACATGAAGAGATGTTCAATATCACTAACTATTAGAAAGACGCAAATAAAAACTACAATGAGCTATCACCTCACACCCATCAGAATTGCTATAATTAATTGTCTTATAATTAATAAGACAAGAAATAACAAGTGTTGGAGAGGATGTGGAGAAAAGGGAACCCTCAGACACTGCTGGTGGGAAGGTAAACTGGTGTAGCCACCATGGAAAACAGTGTGGCGTTTCCTCAAAAAATTAAGAATAGAACTACCGTATGATCCAGCTATTCCACAGCTGGGTATTTATCCAAAGAACATGAAAACACAAATGCATAAAGATATATGTACCCCTATGTTCATTGCAGCATTATTCACAATAGCCAAGACTTGGAAACAACCTAAGTGCCCATCAACAGATGAAGGGATAAAGAGGTGGTATGTATACACAATGGAATACTACTCAACTGTAAAAAAAAAAAGACAAAATCTTGCCATTTGCGACAACATGGATGGAACTTGAGAGTAATTATGCTAAGTGAAATAAGTCAGATGAAGAAAGTCGAATACCATATGATTTCACTCATAAATAGAAGATAAAAACAACAACAACAACAAACAAACACACAGATGCAGAGATTAGATTGGTGTTTACCAGAAGGGAAGGGGGGAAGGAAGAGGGCGAAAGGGGTAACTGGGCACACGTGTATGGTGACAAATGTTAATCAGTCATTTGGTAGTAAACATGATGTAGTCTACACAGAAATCGAAATGTAATGATGTACACCTGAAATTTATATAATGTTATAAACCAATGTTACTTCCATTAAAAATAAAAGGATACAGTGCCCCTTTGAAAGGAAGATAACATCCTGTCCAGACAAGAGGATTCAGAATTTTTATGAAAGTTCTCTAAGCACCCCCTGAACCACTGGGCCCATTGCTAAGGGCAGAGCTGCCTCAACCCTCTGCTCCCCAACCATTACAAACTCATGACGGGGCCAGTCATTAAGGCTTCATGAAGGGCAGTTCAGAAGGAAGGTCCCTGCTGTGTTGTACGGTGAGGAAGAAGAGAATCTAGAGCCAGGAGGATACTGGTGAGTACTCTCAACGGAGCCCATCTTTGACCAGCACAGGACCTGTCTCTGAGGCATCTACTCTCTGGATGGCAAGGGAGCTCCAGACTGAAGCAAGTCCAACTCACCTGCCATCTGGCTGCTAGGGGCACAGCTGCCATTCTCTCCTCTTCTGTGTCCTCTTGGAAAAGGCCCAGTCCCGAGACTGCAGAGCTAGAGAAGAAAACATGACAGAGACCAATCCCATTTTGTAGTTGTCTGACCCAGGCTAAAAATCTCTCCAAATCAATTAGGTTTGAAACAGCCCTTCCTCCCAATACCCTACTAAGAGCAGAGCAAGCCTAGAGGTAAACTCACCCTCTCCCAGGGTATGGATATTATGGATATTGCCACGACTTTGTTCCTGAGTTAACAGATTCCTGGGAACAGAACTCTGTTCAAGCATCAGAAAACTATTAAAAATCAAATAATTTACACTGAAGTTAATTTTTACCCCATCTTATAAATCTACAATCAGCATTGTGCTCTGTAGTATTTTTGACATAAATAAGCAATTTAATAAATAACTCAATTTGACTTTTAAATTCAATATGACCAGGAGGATATACTAACTTAAGGACCAGGAGGATATACTAACATAAAGTCAGTATATGCTTATACTAACTTTTTTTTTTAAAAAATGCTAGTGTGAAGCCTATATAGTCAAAAAAAAAAAAGCAAACAGATGACTGAGTATTGGTCCAGTTTTGTTTAGTTCTAAGGACCAGAAATACATTCAAGCCAGCTCAGATAAGTGGTGTGTTATTTTTAGGGTACAATGGGCATTATAAAGATATTGTATTCAAACTGCACGGTGGCTCATGCTTGGGTTTGAAGAGCATCAGTCTCTGTCCTAATTCCTTCCTGATTGTCAAGGGTCCCAAGTACAGGTTCAAGAAACGGACTGGGTCCCCTCCAGCTAAGAAAGGGAATCAGAAGCCAGATGCTAGAAATTCCTGCCAGTCTCTTTGTTAGGGTCATTTTTAAATGCAGAACTAAGAGCCTGTCCTCAAAATGATACCCAGCTATTCAATGTTCAGTCCAAGACTGGATACCATTGCTTCTCCAGCAAGGGTAAAAGGGCAGCAGGACTGAACGGGATGGACTGACTGACCACGGCCCCTGCAGCACTGGCTGGTATCACAGAGGACCATGGGAGATAAAGTATTAGCCAGAGAGCTAGAGTATCTGGAGAGTTATGGTCACCCGCAGAGGCAGATGGACCCCATCCAAAGTTTGGTTCCAACGTTGAAACTGATGACGCCACACACATACACCAAGAGGATGAAAAGGTTCATCACTTATGTAATTGAGGTCTCTGGGGAGAGCAGGGCAGGCCTCTCAAGCAGGTCCAAAATGGCTTGAGAGAAGGAGCAATGGAGACAGGCCTGGGTTTTTATTGTAGTTATGGGGTAGGGCCAGGGTGAGGGTTCCCACATGCCTGTGAGAAGGGGCTTGAGTGGTTTGAATCTCCTGCCAGTGCCAAAGGAGAGAGCATTCAGGCTTCCTTATCAGCTTGTCCAGGTGTGGGGCACAAGAAGAAGAGGAGGTGTGAGGATTAAAAGCTGTCAGCAGACCAACATCAAAAAATGCAAACACACTACACAGAGTAAAGAGACATCTGGGGCAGGATGGAGAACCCCTGTCCCCTTCTCTCCAGCCCTTCTCATATTTAGGCCTGGTATGGAGACAGCCTCATGACAGAAAGGCACCTGGAAGACATAAGAGGTAACAACATTCTCACAGGAAAGATTCATTTGTCTGCCAGGAGTTTTCTTCTGAAAATCTGAAAGACCCTTCCAGGAGTGGAGCCAGGACCAATGGTCTCCCCAGACTTGTCCACAAGGAATTCCAGAACCAATATTCTCCCAGGTTTTTATCACAAAGCCTGTTACAAGATGAAGTCAGTATGCAGGAGGGAGGGTAGCAGGCTGGAAAAAGAAAGAGAGAAAGGAATTAGGGGTAAAGGGACCCATTAGTGTGCATCTGAGGCGGATTCTATGTGATACACTGTTATACAATCCAATGGGATAAGTCACATTTGGCACCGTCTTCTGGACTCCAACTACGGTTGTGATCCACTACCAATGAGATTCTATTTCTTTTGTTAATAGACGTGCTCTATTGGATACTGAAGGGATAAATGGTGATGGTACACATCTTTATCTCTTGCTCCTTGAGATCTCTAGACAGAGAACCTAGGTATGCCATCTTGAACATTTAGCATGGCAGGACATTTAGAATGCTATTACACTACAGAAATATAACAGTAAGATATATTTATGCTTTCTATGTGGGCAGGGCTTCTGACCTGTACCTAATGGTGAACCACAAATGAGAACGGTGCTGGAACCAAGACTGTTCTCCAAAGCCATCAAGGGCTACATGGGTCTTACATCTCTTTATCTCTCAAGAGAATGTTCTCGGAGAACATTCTCCTCTATACAGACACGGTTCAATGATGTCTTTAATGCCCAGTCCTCCTGAATTTATTGGTCTAATACCCACAATCAATTGACTATTGTCTCTGTGTCTCCTAGTTGGAATTCTCAAGACACTGTTGGTTGTTGGCCATTGAGAGACTAATGGTCTCTGATCATGTTTCCACTTCTTGCCCAATCAGCTGTAGCGAAGGAGCACGAACAAGAGCAGTTCTCAGAGAAAGGGACTATGGCCAGACCAGGCCTACTACTCTATAGAAAGTAGTTTTCTGAGTAGCAGTATTTCAAGGTGACAGGCAGCTAGCAGCAGCTATTGTTCGGTCTTTTGAGCTGTGCCAATACTTCACACTTTTCAAGAAAATACCTTTACCCACCAACCATGCATTAATAAAAACTGAGTCCATTTCTTGGCCAGAGCTGATTGGCATCTGACCCAATTAGAGCCTTTCCCCTGGAATTTTGGAAGTGAAACCAATAAAAAGAGGTCAGTCTCTTCTGAGGCTCCATTTGAGGGCATGAAAACCTGGGAGCCCTTGGTAGTCACATCTTGTCATGCCATCTGAGAGCAGAAAAAGCCAGTCAGCAGTGACCGGCAAATATGAAGCCTAAGTTCGTACACAGAGGTAAGGGGTTAGGAGAGGGTCCTGAATTTGTTCTGGCCCTGGTTCAGTTTACAGGCACACCTGCAGTCCTCTCCATGAGTTCCATGACCTACCCAAGGAAGCTCAAAATGAATCCCCCTTATACAGGTTGGAGCTGGGTGTCCATAACGTGCAACCCAAAGAGATCTAAGACAGGTAGCAGAAGCAAGCTTTTACTTCCTAGTTCCCTCACCTGAGGTTTCATTGTTCATATTCTGCTACCACAACCTCTACTCTTAGAGCTCTTTGGGATCCTGGGGGTGCAAAGCATCCAATGTAGCTGACAAAACCAAAAGGTGGTCATTAATCTTAAGATGCCCACCAATGTCATGAAAATAAGCTGTGGATGTTTCCAGCCAAGCCTATAAACTCTTTTCCAATCCACTCCCAAAAGAATCCACATCACAAAATGAAGATTAGGGCCATGATCTTTTCTCCTTTTCCTTTTTTTTTGGCAAGGAAGATTGGCCGAGCTAACATCTGTTGCTAATCTTCCTTTTTTCTTGAGGAAGATTATCCCTGAGCTAACATTGGTGCCAATCTTCCTTTATTTTGTTATGTGGGATGATGCCACAGCCCAGCTTGAAGAGTGGTGTGTAGGTCGGAGCCCGGATCCTGCCGTGAACCCCAGGCCCCTCAAAGCTGAGTACATGAATTTAACCACTAAGCCACCGGGCGGCCCCAAGGGTCATTATCTTTGAACTCTAAAATTTCTCTCAATCACCGAGTACGTACCGTCTTATACTATAGCTATTTGTGTCTTTGTTTTATCTTTCCACGTAGATGATGAGTCTTGGGAGTCAAATCTTGCTTTTCTCACACTAAGAAAGCTACTGCCACATATTTGGTATTCAAGAAATATCTGCAGACTAATTGAAATACCAAGTTTTGCAAGAAAGTCTGGTTGGGGTGGCAGAGCAGTAACGAGAATTATAAGAAGGAGCACTTTGGCCAGCTGCAACAAGCCTGGCGGACGGGATTGAAGCCTCGACCAGGTCCAGGGAGCCGAGACAAACGAGCAATCTGAGGGGCTTTCCGAGAAAGACTGATCAGCGGGAATCAGCGGAGTCAGTTCAATCAGGGTGTGCGGAGCCCCTATAAGGGCAAGCAGGAGAAGGATCGCACTGCGAGCTCGCATCACGGGGCCTCGGAGCTGAAACGCGCCATCCCGCCGGCGGACACGCACTGCGGAGCGCGGGCCTGCGCACCCCAAGGCACGTAGTCTGACGCTCCCGCCCAGGCTATCTTGGTCTCACTTCACCTCGCGGCCACGGCGTCACCCTGAGGCGCGCCCTGCCGCAGCTGGCGCCTTCTCCCCTGCCCCGCAGCAGGCCAGATCGAGATCAGCCTGGGGGCGGGGGCCAAAGACAGTTCGAAAACACCCCATTTCCACTCTCACGTCACCGCGCTTTGCATCGCTCCCTAACTCCCCTCCCCTTCCTCAACACTTCCTTGACCTGACCGCACTCCCACCACACCCAGTCCCAGCTCTTCACCTGGGGCTCCAACCTGCTTGCAGCGACCCCATAAGGCGCAAAGACCGCAGAGTGCCGGTGCAAAATGATCCCAGAAAACTACGATTCCCAGAGGGCCTCGGAAGTAGCGGCGGAGTCGGGGCCCCGTCCCCTTGCAGAGGCCCCGCCCCCTAAGGTAGGCCGGTGCATCATTGAAAAAGTGGAACTGCGACCCATAGTAAAAACGGAGGAAAGCCGCCGAGTGAACAACGAAAGCTGTCTCCTAGCCCTGTTCGCTTGTCCCAGCTGGACCTGCTGCCCTGCCGCGGATGTCTCTGTTTCCTAGGCAGCTTTCTATGCAGTTTTCCAAGAGGATATTTTTAAACTTTCTCTACTGTCCTCAGGCACCTGCTACTTTATCTTCTCCCTCACTTCAGGGGGAACGGGGTGGAGAAGAAGCATCAGAGAGAATTCCCATACTTGCCTGTAATGAGATCTACCAATTTGCCTTTCTTCACATCCATTCTTTCTGCCCTAATTGTAACAATAAACAGAGCTATCCCTGGGCTTTGCAATTACATTAGTCAATAAAGTCCTTTTAGGCTTAAGCAAGTTGGGGAAGCATTTTCTGCCTCTTACACCTGAAGGCGTTCTGATAAATGTTCACATCTCTAACATTTTTAAAGAAACCTTCCCTCAATCTCACATCCCCCTCCAACCACCATTCTCTCTCTCTCCTTAGCAAAGCCAAACTACTCAGCATTACGGATACTTGCTATTTCTACCTGCCACTTCCCACTCATTCCTTAACCGAATTCATTCCAACATGGCCTTGGCGCCACCATCCAAGCTACCGACAAACACCACTGGACGCTTTGTCTTTCCTTACCGCTTGGCAACACTGAATGCTTTTTCCTCTTCCTGAAAGTCTTTTCTCTTAGCTTCTGTGACACTGCTGTCTTCTGGCTTTCTCTGACCTCTCTATCCTCTTCTATTCACTCTGCTTTTATGGGCTCTTCCTCTCTTCATATCCCTTAAATCTTGGTGTTCCTCAAGGACCTGTCCCAGGCCCTAGTCTCTTCCTACACCACACCTTCTATATATCTGAGATCACTCTTTTCAGCGTCAGTCTGCCTACAGAACATTCCCACATATGTCTGGATATTTCTCAAGCATCTCAAGCTCATTATATTCTAATGAACTCACTCTCCACCCTCACATCAGATACCTTGGCTGCACTGCCTCATATTCTCTCGAGCCAGATTTCACACCAGCCATGCTGCAACAGCCACTTTTGCACAGATATAATCAGATAACAAATCACTCAGTTGTACCCCATACTTCTCACTTTCCTCCCTGGAGTTTCTCTGACTCTGCAACAAGGGATGACTATAGAAACCCTAGGTATTCATGCCGCAACACTTAACCAATGGGGGATGGGAACTGGTAGATAAATGCTCCCCACTTCCGTATTAAGGGCAGACAATTCTGAGGCTCATTCAACATAACTCCCCAGGTCCCAGTCGGACTGAGCCTCAGTTGCCCACAGCATTGACCAACTTGATTACATACTCTTGTACTGGCTTTTTCTCCTTCTCTTTTTGACAGATACCTATCATTAATGTAACGAGTAACTTCAGTATTCTAATTATTTAAATCTTGATTTATCAGATTATAAGGCAAAAAATTCAAATATCTTGGTGGTAGGACAAGAAAAGCAAATTGCTATTGTGTTAAGCAAAGTTAAATTTACTATTAGTGGATCAATTTAATGGGTACAGACAAGAATGTGTTAGCTAGATCAATGGCTGCATACCAGTCAAGGGGCGACTTGCAACTATCTTTCAACATAGCAACACGGTGAAGCACAGAACTGACTACAGTTGACTCCACTTCATTAACTTTTCTGTAATATCCATAATAGTTAACTTCCAGGATCTAGCTTTTTGACCAGCCATAGCAAGGAATCAGAAGGGAAATGGTGGGACAAGTCACTCCCAGGTCCAACAACTTTATCATCATGGCTGCAATTTTCCTCACTGTTTTGTATTTACAACTTTGGTGGGGGAGCTCCAGGGGTTTCTACTGGGCACATTCATTGCCAGCACTCACTCATACGTTGCCCATTCTAATAGAGCATCCTCCTCCCTCCAGAATTGTAATAAACAGATTCTTATAGCCTGCTCAGAGAGAGGTGAAATGATCCCATGAAGTATCTTTTATCTTTCACTAACTGGCAACCTTAGATACTTCCTCCTCCATATCTTTGCTGGGTTGTTAGAGGTTCATTAAGCAACGTCTCTTCTCCACTTGAGTCCTGATCCAACTCAGAGAGAACAAAGGAGTCAGGCATACAGAGATCAAAACAGCTGTTTTGAAAGTTGTTGAAAAATGTGTCTGAGAGATGGTGACAACAGGCTTTCCGGGCCTGGACCCCACCCAGACACATCCTACTGGGAGCAGAAGACTGCCTGCTGTGGGTGTAGACTGCTTGCCACATGGCCAGAGCAAGCATCCCTCCAACATCTCTAATGATCAAAATAATCCCTTTACTTTTTACCTCTAAAAGTTCCTGATTATACGAAACTGTGCTGTACAATACAGTAGCCACTAGCTACGTGTGGCTATTGAGCACTTGACATGTGGCTAGTCCAAATTTGAGATGTGCTGTTGTGTAAAGTACTCAAAGATTGTTTAAAAAAAAGTATCTCAATAATTTTATATTGATTACATGTTGAAATGATATTGAATGAAAAATTTAAAATATTTGAATGGAATTCAAATACTGAATGAAATATCAAAATTAATTTCAACTATTTCATTTCATTTTTAAAAATATGGCTAGCATTATATTCCTATTGGGCAGCGCTGATCTAAAATACCTAGACAGAGACATACAGTCTCTCCAAACTGACCTGGTATTTAGTGGTTCTGGAGTGAAAAGATTCTGCAGTTTTCCCAGGCCAGATCTGTGTCCTTATACTCCATATTGGCACCATGTGATCTTCACGCTTCTACCATCAATATGAGCTAATATATACATCTCCCCAGTACATTCAGGATCTTGCAAATGAGTATTCAGGGAAGCACCCTCACTAGGATCCCCATCACCCCAAATCAACACGGTCCACTTTGACTTCTGCCTCTCTACCACAGGAGTCCCACTTCAATAATGTAGACCACTAAGGAACTTGACATCCACTGCTGTCTTTCTCTTGGACTTCCTGAGGAATCATCATTCTTTTTCAATATGTTGTCTGATGACTGGCACTGGGTAGCCTTGCTCCCCAGCTCCTCCTTCGCCTCTAATTTATGTAAGACTTGAGGGTTAATTTATTCTAGAAGAACAGGCCTGGGGAAGAGTGAGGGGGGTGGGTGGAGCAGAGCTCAGAAGCTGGCCAGCCTTCCCGCTGGCCATCCTGGCGTCCTAACACCCAAGATGGATTTCTGGGATTGGGAGTCCCACCAGCTCTCTGTCCAGGCTTCAGGGCACCGATTTTCTCTATCTACCACATTCTCTTCATCTCAAGGTTCCCTAGCATTGCTGATGCTTTTCCTTGAAGAACTCATTCATGGAGTGCTTCTGTTAATTCGTGTGGTAAGTATTCAATTCTCTCTCAAAACTTAGATAGGGCTTATTTAAGCACCAGAGAGATTGTTTCATTTAAGTCTTAGGCTAAAACCCTACAAACACTAGCAAGTCCTTTGCCTTATAGCTTAAGAATGCTGGCACACTTCCAATTTGACCAATTTCTGATTCCAGGATTTGACCTTACTAATGGCCATTCAGTGAAGCTAAAACCTCAAAATTTAAGGCCTCCACTACTGCCTGCCCCATTGCGAGATTTCAATTAAAAGGGAAAATGGCCCTTTCCTCAGAATTTTTAGCTGGAGAGGCAACAGTACTTCACATTAAAAAAAAAAAAAGCTCTGCTGACCACCAAATTTAGAAAGAGAACAGAGGGAGAACCATGGAATTTGTCCCCACTCTGTTTCATTATCACTGTGCTGAAAGGTCCGTTAGAATTCTGAATTCGTTCTAGTCTCACCTTGCTGACAATGGCAGAATATCTTAGGGAAATACTTGACCTTCAATTTACTTTTAACAAGGCAGTAAATTAGAGTCAGAACTCTCAGAGACAGTCATTAGCCAAAAGTTTGTCAATAGTCTCTTTTATTTTCTACTTGACATTGTTAAATAATACCAGATATTTTCCACTCTGATAGATTCCGCACTCTGTAAAGTGTTTTTCCTCAACTTGCTTCACCAGTCCACACGTGACGTCTTCCCTGCTGCTCACTTGCTCTAAGAAGGGTAGACCAATAGGTTTGTTGGTAGGTTGGGGAGGGGTCTGTTTGGCAATCCAACTTCTTGAACTGGACTTTAACTCCCAGGAGAAATGCATCTTGGTCCACTGGGATTCATGCAGGGTGAGCTAATTCCAGACAGCCTTTCAGAATCAAGTCCTCTTCCAGCCTTCACCTTAAGCAAATAGAAAGGGAACACAGATGCCCAGAGTGAAAGTTGCCTAGTGCCTGACCTTTAATGAAATAAAAATATAGGGCTGGGCCCAGGGAAAAGCTTTGGGAGTGAGTACTTAAGATTCAGCAATGTGGGATCACATCAAGGCAGATCTTAAATATTCAGAGAAGCTTTCAATAAACTGGGAGCTATTTTAGGTCTGGAGTAAGGCGATGATGGGCAGGAAGGGGTCATTTGGAAAGACTGGACTAACAGTAACAAGCAAAATGGAACTTGTGACAGAGGCTGTTGATGTTAGCCAAATATTGAGGTACTTGTTTACTTTCCTAGCCTCTTGGTGCTGGGTTCTGGTTTATGAGATGTGGACAGAAGTAATGGTCTTTAAAAAACATCCCAAAACATCCTCCAGCTTTCTCTTCCATAACAATCTTGGAGGCAACATGTTCTAAATGACCAGGATGGAGTAAGACAGACTGTCTCACATCAGATTTTGTGTGAGAAATGTGTCTTTGATTATTTGGGAGTTAAGTTGTCATGGCACCCTAGCTTAGCATACCCTTCTTCAACAAAGAAGAGGGAAGAATCTGCATCAGGAAGTGATAAAGGAATAGGCTAAACTGTGAAAATTCAGAGAAAGGATATAAATCCAACAGGTGTTTTAAATAGAATTTGTTAAGTAGAAAAGTCATTACTTCAGGTAAGTATTTATTGAGCACCTATTATTTGCAAGGCACTGTGTGAGATACAAAGACAAATAAGTCACACCTCCAAGTGCTTACAATCTAGCTGAGGAGATAATACATGTGCATAAATTATAAAACAAACCCTATAGCCTAATGGTAAAGAAAACAGACTTTGAATGAAGACCTGTATTCAAGACTTGGCTTCACCTTTTACTAGCTGTGTCACGTTGGGAAAATTATCTAACCCCTCTAAACTTCAGTTTGAACGTCTGTAAGGTGAGGATAGTAACAGTACCTACTTCATGGGATTGGTGAGAGGACTAAATAATCTACTCCTTGCAAAACTCTCAGCTGAGTGCTTACCCCATAACAAGCCTCAATAAGTGCTACCTCCTAGTAGTAGTGGTAGTATTAAGAGACCTAACAGGTGGGACACAAAAGAACAAGGTCAGTGCCCAGAAGAGCTCCAAGAGAGAGGGTCTAACAGCTATAAAGAGAACTGCTCTGGAAGCAACAGTGCTGCTCTGATATAATTTGGCCTTTCCCCTCCTGTTGTAGCCTCTGGTTATTTAAAGTGCAGTGATACCTGGGCCTCAGACAAGAGGTGTGTCTGAGGATTGCCTCCTAACATTTATCCTATTGTCTGATGAACTTCTGCAAAATGTTGACTCTTCAGTCACATCCTAATTGCCAGCACCCCACATTGCTTCTATAACACAGTAGGTAGAGTGTTTATTCAAACAGTGTGGTAGCAGAGGCAGGAAAGAAGAGTAGTAGCCAGAATAGGTAGAATGATCAAATGATGGATTTGTTTAAGATGGGGAAGATCTATCTTGAGTTTTAATGGAGGCTCCTTGACTAAAGCTTTCACCCAACTCAGTCTATTCCCTGTTTGGCATAACGCCGCTGATGTTGAATAACTGATGATTTAGAACTGAAAACTTTTCCACACACGCTGCATTCAAAGGGTTTCTCTCCTGTATGAACTCTCTGATGTCGGGTGAGCCGGCATCTTTGGCTGAAGGCTTTCCCACATTCACTGCATTCATATGGCTTGTCTCCAGTGTGAATCTTCTGATGTTGTGTAAGGGATGAGCGGTCAAAGAAAGCTTTCCCACACTCAGTGCATTGATAGCGAGGCTCTCCAGCGTGAGCTTTCTGATGTCTGTTCAGTGATGAGACCCCATAGAAGGCTTTCCCACACTCGTTACATTCATAAGGCTTCCTGCCAGTGTGGATTAGCTGATGTCTAGTAAGAATACTTTTCTGGCTAAAGGCTTTCCCACATTGGTTACATTCATAAGGACTTTCTCCAGTATGAATTCTCTGGTGTCGAGTAAGGGACGAACGGTCAAAGAAGGCTTTCCCACACTCGTTGCATTTAAAGGGCTTCTCTCCAGTATGAATTCGCTGATGTACAGTTAGGGACGAACGGTCAAAAAAGGCTTTCCCACACGCGTTGCATTCGTAGGGGCTCTCCCCAGTGTGAGACATCAGATGTCTACTGAGACTGCTCCTGTGACTGAAGGCTTTCCCGCACTCATGACAGTCATAGGGCTTCTCTCCAGTGTGAGTCCTCTGATGGCGGATGAGGGATGAGTGATCAAAAAAGGTCTTGCCGCAGTCACTGCATTCCTGGTCTCTCTCTCTAGTGAGAATTTTCTTGGGAGGGGTTGACCCTTGATGCAAGCTCTCCTTCTGGGAGAGGGACTTCTTGTAGGTCTCCACTGCAAGGCTTTCCTTCTCTGTTTCCAACCCCGCCTCCAGTGCATGAACTTCAAATTTAGGACACAGAGGATTTTTTCTTCCAAGCTTTTCCCTCAATCTTCCTTCTGATTTTTCTTCTTCTGAAGCACCTTGAATCTCAGGTTTAGTCCCCCAGTCTGGAATGGATAGAAAATACAGATGCAGTTTCTTTCCTGGGCTAGCAAATATTACAGCAGAAAGAAGAGATACTATGATAAATCTGAGGAGTACTGTATGGTCACTGCATTGCTTGTTCCCACAAATAGTCTTATACTCTAGGGAAAGACCAAGACTTGGGAATGAAAAAGGCAGGGAATAGAACTGATAGTGGACATTTCAGAAAAGAGGAGAATTTCCATTAGAGGATAATTAGGAGAGTATGCTAAGTGGAGGCGATAGTGAGGAATGGGAATATCAAAGTGTGACTTGGCTACGTGACAGATCTGAGAAAATAAACATTTGGTGAATAAAGGTGAATAACATTTCAAGGAAACATGAAAGCTGGTGGGTGATAGTGAAGAAACACTAAAGCAGAAGATTTGATTTTGAGAAAAAGGTATTACCCAATACTCCCTCCCACAAGCACCCAAATAATAACCACAAAACAAAACAAAACTCTGCCCTGCTCTGTTCATACCCAGTTACCTAGAGGGACGGTCTCTGAACATTCCCTCTCCTCAGCTCCATGGCAATCAACTCTCCAAGGCTCATCCCCTGTCTTCAACTGAAAAATCACATCAGGCCGAGGAACTGGAAGTCCTGCACATGGAGAAATAAACAAGCCGTATGTGGTGAAATCACACAACTATTCCAAAGCTTAATCCCAGTGTCTAAGCTTTTCAGAGAGAATATGCAAAAGGCAGAAAGTGCACGCCAGGAATGCAGAGTACAAACTAATGTGAAAGAATGCAGGAACCTCTGAACGGAGGTCAAGACTGAGCTTCTAAAAAGGAACAAGCAGGGGCTGGCCCAGTGGCGCAGTGGTTAAGTTCACACACTGCTCCAACAGCTTGAAGTTCGCAGGTTTGGATGCCAGGCGTGGACCTAGCACTGCTCATCAAGCCACGCTGTGGCAGCATCCCACATAAGAAAAAAATAGAAGAAGATTGGCACAGATGTTAGCTCAGTGACAATCTTCCTCACAAAAAAACCCCAAAACTAAAAACCAAACAACAAAAAAACAAAATAAAAAGGAAGCAGCAGTATTTGGTCAGAAAGTTGATAAAATCCATTTGAATTAATATGTTTATTCTTCCCCATGAAGTGAATGGGATGCCCCTAGCTTTAGCACTGGTAGAACAGGGGGAAAGAGTCCTTGGCTCGGGGAAGAAGAGAATGAACAAAGATCACCTTGAGTAAAAACATGTCATGAAGGTGTCCATTTTTGTTAGTTTGTTTACTCTTTAGTATTATGCTTTTATTTAAACAAGTGGACCATGCTCATCCTAGGAAAATCAGGGGTATGTACAAGTAAAAAAAATAAATAACCTTTTGTACTTTGTAGTCATTTTTCCTTTCTTTTCTTTTTCTATTCATTTTGATACTGAAAGATACCTATAGATAAATTCTGTTTAAGAACTAGATAATGACAATTATATCTCAATTTAAAAATAAATAAAAAACTATTGGAGAGACTTATTTGGAAAATAATTAAGACTACTCCATCTAAAATAATTTCTGTTTGATTTATTTTGACATCCACAAGTAGATAATTTCTAAATCCAACATGATTCACTATATATATAATACATATCACTCCAGTCCCTTTTATGTGTAAAAGATCATTTTGGGCAGAAGAGTCTCACTAAGAAAGCAAAAAAAGAAAAACCCAAAACAACTGGATGATGAAATAATGCTGATTTGTAAATCTGACTTTTTCACATAATAATAAATTTAAAATATTATTTTATTTCAATTAGCACAGTTCCACCTCACCATTTTAATGGCTACATGATATTACACTGTATGGAATAACTATTTATTTAATCTCCTGCTGACAGACATTTCCAATTGCTTTTAATATTTTGGTATTAACATACAATGGTATCATGCACAATTGTGAAGACCACAGGCTGTCAATCTCATTATTTCCTTAGGACAAATTTCTAGAGGTGAATCTGTCCAGTTTTGGTTATGTAAAAACAAGGATCCCCTCCTAGAAATGGTCTTGAGGTCTAAACTTCCTTGCACTGGGACCCCCGACTCAGGAAAGAGGCACTTTCCTGTGGGGCCCAAGGATCATCTATCCAGTTGCATGTTGATTCTCTGCTGACAAATGGCCACACCCATCACCTCCCTGTGGCTTCCTGTCTCTGACCTTAGGAATTCCATTTTCCCCAATATTTCATCCCACCAAAGCCTGTGACAAAGGCTCAGCAGTCTCCCTTAATGCTCCCCAAACATTCTACTCTATTTTCCATATTTGGCCTGTTTCAGCTAATCCAGGGGGTGTTATCCTTGCTTTTTTGACCTGTCTTGCACGAAATCTGCAATGTGACTTCTTTTACTGTCACCTGCTGCTTATTTTAAGCCTGTTTCTAAATCTGCACATTTCTCAGCCTCTTACTCTGGAAGCTCCTGAGAGCTTCTCATTACCTAAGAGCCCAACTTTACGTCTCACAAATACCTGACATCGGCAGTAGCTCTTAATTTTCCTTTTGTCACATAACTCTCTGTAATTGCAAAGTGCCTTCTGTGGGCATCTCTCTAAGACTGCACTTAAGACAAATATTCAAAATCAAACATTGCTATTGACCTACTCTGAGGTACAACCTTGTATTCCCACTCCCACACTGCCCTCTTTTTAAAGGGAAACACTTCTTCACTTGCCCCCCAACCCTTAGTCCCCTGGATGGAGCTGAGTAAGCCACTGGACTGGTGAGTTGGGGGAAGGACTGGGCTTATGTAACTCAGCCTCTTCTGTTCACACCCCTCTGGAGAGCCAGTTCCCTGCAGCAGGCACGCATTCTGCTCTACTCCTCCTGGCCTGGCCCTCTGTGTCACAGGGCAGGCTGCTGAGCAAGGGAGCCTGTGGTTGTCCAGCCTGCTTACAGCTCTGGAAGCAAGACTGTCCTATGCTGGGGTTCAGGACTCAGAAGCCCACTGTGGCTGCACACCTAAGCCACATGCTCCTATGTGTTGTCTCTGAGTGGTTCAGAACTCAGGTGGGAGAGGAAGAGGCATCAATTTGTTAGCCCCTCAACTCCACATTAACACAGTATACAGTCTAACTCATATGGGAAGCTCTCCTTACCCAATGAGACAATGCTCTTATAGTTCTCCAGCATCACCTCCTTGTAGAGGTCCCTCTGAATAGGGACCAGATGTCTCCACTCTTCATCTGTGAAAATCACAGCCACATCCTCAAATGTCACTGATTCCTGGAAACACAATCACATTCTCCCTTACTCATAATCCTTCTCTTTACATGGACCAGACAAAACTGTCATAAAGATGACAGCCTTGGAGGATGGGGAGTGGAAGGGAAATGATTCTGACAAAGTAGGGCTTTGAAGCACTTGGGGAAAGTGGCATAATCCCTCAAGACATGAAGTTCTCAGTCATAATCCCACACCGCTATATTCATAGCAGAGCCTCTTAATATCAGGGGCTCTTTTTTCAGACTTACAGAAAACTTTCAAGAATAGAACAAAGAATTCCCATATACCCTTCACCCAGCTTCCCCAAACGTTAACATTTTCCACATTTGCTTTATTTTTCTGTCTCTCTCCATATAAATACATTCTCCTATCTTTTTTCTGAACTTCTTGATAGTAACTTCACACATGATGTCCCTTTACTCAAATATTTCAGTGTATATTTGGTAAAAACAAGGATATTGTCTTGCATAATCACAGTATAATTATAAAAATCAAGATAGCATTGATATTATACTGTTATCTAATCTACAACATTATTCAAATTTCACCAATTGCCTGGCTTTTAAAAAATTAATCATTTATTTTTGGTGAGGAAGATTCACTTTGAGCTAACATCGGGGCCAATCTTCCTCTAGTTTGTATTTGGGTCACTGCCACAACATGGCTGCAGATGAGTGGTATAGGTCTGTGCCTGAGATCCAAACCCGTGAACCTGGGCCACTGAAGTGGAGTGCGCCAGACTTAACCACCACACCACAGGCCAGCCCCTTGTCTGTTTTTTTTTTTTACAAATCCTTAAAATAATGATGTTGATTAGATCTTCAGGATCCCTCTCATTTCACTCTGATGCTCTGTGACTCTACGATTGTACCTTTATCCCAATCCTATAACCCCAGATGAGTCTCCAGTGTCTCTGTAGAAGATCTAAGCCAGAGCACAGAATTCAAGACTCTCTGCCCTTGGGCAGGAATGGGGCAAGCTGCATGTCTCTACCCACACAAACTCTCTGTCAGGATTCTTTCAGCTTCACTGAGGTGCTTTACCGTGAGTGTCACATTCCCCTGCCTAACCCAACACTCCCTAGGATATGGGGGCTCACTCTCAGTCCATACGTGGATGTACTACAGGGAAGTCAGGACTAGAACCAGCCTGCTGTTCCCAAAACCTTCTACTCAGACCCATACCATTGGGTTTTAGGCAAAATCACTCAGAGCGAAGACCACAGGGGCTGTTTGCCTGGTGATGGGCTAGTGGGCACATGTTCAAGGTAAGAAAAGATCCCTGAAGGATACCACAAGTCAAATAGCAAGGAAGCACTCCCTATGGAGTCCTTCATCCACCTGGTTGGGTCCAATCAAAGAAGCTCCAGAACAGGGAAAGAAAAGTGGTTACATTCTGGAGACAGAGTATTTCAGAAACACAAAAGTCCACCTCACCTGGCATCTGGCAGGTGGAGACACAGCAGCCATTCCCTCCTGCGGCTCTCCGTGTAGAAAAGGGCAGAGTCCTGATGAGGCAGAGGTGTGCGATGAGAAAGACCAGTCTTGTGTTATACTTTTCTGACCCAGGAAGCAAGAAATTTCTGTATACCATACAGTTATGTACTCACTCTCATTCTCGACACCCTACAAAAAGGAAAGGCAAAGGAAAGCAAGGCCAGGAGCAAGTCCACCCCATCCCAGAATTGGATCAAAAGGCTGTGGGTACTGTTATTCTAAACAAAATGTGGTGCTTGTTTTATCATGATCATAAAGACAAAGTTCTGTTCCTGGGAGTCAAGAACTTATTAAAGCTCATACTCTGTTTATAAATTCACATTCAATATTGCCCTAAATCATTACTAGACAAAAAGCATAAGAAATTTTATAAATGGCTATATGGACAAGTCACATCAAGTAAATACCTGTAGCCTCTTTAAAGGAAAAATACCTCATTCACAGCAATACCCTGTGCTAAAGGAACAGCGCTTGGGCAGCCACGATTTGTTCCATGTTACCCTGTGTCTCCCTCCTGGAGCTACAATGATTAGGCCACAGGTGGGCAATGCACATGCTGACCGGTAGACTAAGATGTGATCTGGCTTGAAAAGATGCCACCCTTCCTCAGCAACATGAACTAAAAAAATGTCAAGACAAAAAGTGAGTGATGAGCTGAAAGGATATCATGAGGGACAGAAGTAGCCATGAGGATGAGGGGAGCCAAGGTCACAAGGAAGCAGAACCCATGAGTACGTGTGAGGTACGAGGCAGAGAACAGGCTACAGTAGACAGTGGGACTAACACAGGCAGGGGAAGGACAGCCCAGCCACATTAGTGGGGAAGCACTGAAGGAAAGACCCAAGAATTCTTGGCCCTGAAGTCCCTCAATTCACTAGTACCAGCCCGGGCTCCACTCTGAATGCAGACCAGCCCTATTCATTGTTATTTATTCTTGGATTTCCATAAAACTCTTAACCTTCTTAGGCTTTGTACAAATCTTTATCACAAAACTCCCTTTACTTGAGTTAACTGAGTACATCTCAGTTTCTCACAGTCAAGAGTCCAATTAAAACCTAGTTAAATCAAGCATTTCTGGGATTCATGAGTGGGGTGGGGTGGGAGTGTCGTCCTGAGAAGTAGGAAAAGGTGTGTTTGTGGCTCACTGACTACTCTCCTGCAGTCAAGCGAATATATTCACTGATATTTGTTCTGCATTCATCCATCCATCCAACCAACATTTACTCAGCACCAACTATTTATGCCAAGCCCAAAAACTGTATGACACTCTCCTTGTCCTCTAAAAGCTTACAGCTTAGCACACAGGGCTAACAAGTAACCAAAATAATATTTCACAGCAGGATGTAAAGAGATGTGCACAGCAAACTATGAGAGCACATCAGAAGCTTGCCTAACCTGGATGGGAGGGAGGGAGGAATGTTGCAGGTTTTTTGGCAGAAGTGGGACCTAAGATAAGTTTTGATTTGGGGGAAGAGGTGGAACATTCTAGGCAGGAAAAACACCAAGTTTTCCCAAAACGTTAATCCTTACGTGGAAAGGATTAACAACTATAATTAGTTTAGAACGGTAGATGTCCAGGTTGTGAGCAGTGCTGTGGGAAAAGATGAGGTTGAAGGAGTAGCAGGCAGAGGCCAGCTAGATCAAGGAGAGCTTTGTATGGTCCTTTTTCCACAAGCATGCGATCACAGAAAGATTTAAGCATGGAAGTGTCATCATCAGATTTGTGTTTTAGAAAGATCATGGTAATTTGTATCAAAGGCCTTGAAACACTTAATCATAAACACAGCAATTCTCTCCTAGAAGTTTATCCTAAGGAAACAAGTAAGAATACATGCAAAGCTTTTTATTACTCATCATTAACACTAATCTTTATTGAGTTTTATGAGGCAGCTTCCTAAGTACTTTACAAGAATTATCTCATTTAATCTTTACAATAATACAGCAAAAATTTGAAGTATCCTGTTTCTAAAACAGGAGGTTTTTGTGTGTGTGTGTGTGTGTGTGTGTGTGTGTGTGTGAGAACGACTGGCCATGAGCTAACATCTGTTGCCAATCTTCCTCTTTTTGCTTAAGGAAGATTGTTGCTGAGCCAACATCCGTGCCAATCTTCCTCTTAAAATAGGAGATTTGATTAAATAATTTATGGTCCAGTCTTTGCATACAATGGAATATCATTAAACATCATATTAACAATAACCAGCATTCATTGAGCTATTGCTATTTACCAGGCACTGTGTTAAGTACTCTTTACAAGGATGGTTTAATCTCATTCTCGTAAATCAATAAGTTAGGTACTGTTTTGCAGATTGGAAATTTAGGCTTTGTAAGAGGCTGAGGTAGAATGTGAACCCAGGAGACTAAGCACCAAGTTGTGAGCATCTCTGGGAAGGTAGGGAAATGGGATTGGGGAGGGATACCCAGGAGACTTCAACTTTGTAATGTTTTCTTTGTCAAAAAAAAATCCAAAACAAAAAAAAACAAATTCACACAAAATTAAATGAAGAATGCATACTTTTAAAATTACATATTTGTGCATGCATATAAGTACAGAAAAAAGACTGGAAGAATATATACTAAAATGTAAATGGAATTTGAGTGGTGGCATTACAAGTGATTTTTATTTTATTTCTTACACTTCTTTATATTCTGATTTGTTAACAAAAGTATGTATTTACTTTGGTGTACAGGAAAATAACAGGAAGGAAGGAAAGGCGGTGTGCAGAAAAGTTATAGTAGACCCGAGCCTGCTACTCTTACAAAGGTCTACTTGTACGGTTGGCCCTTGGCTGGGGTCTGGGAACTTCAATTTTGGAGGGTTCCCTAAGAGATAAGGGGGCCCATTATGCCTAAACTATTTGTGCAAACAATGTGGAATATGCTGAACATTTGCTTTCCTGCTAGAGGGTCTGGAACTTTGGTATGTGTTAGGCAAAGGGTACCTATGTGACTAGCCCTCAATAAAAAACTTGGGCTCTGAGTCTCCAATGAGCTTCCTTGGGCTGAAACATCACACACATTTTGCTGCATTTTCGTTGCTGGAGGAGGCTGTGCTCTGTGTGATCAATCATGGGAGAGAGAGAGCATGAGGAAGCCTGGACACAGATTCCTCCAGACTCTACCTATCGTCCCCTTATGACCTGGCTGTGTATCCTTGCAAGACTGCTGTCATAATCTTAGCTATGAGTACAACTAGAGGCCAAGTCTTGAGTCCTATCAAATCCCTGCATGTGGGGTGATCTTGGGGACCCCTGGCACAGGCAGCCACACTTCTCTGGGTAGCTGTGGCAGAATGGGACCAGAGGAGGGCAAGAATGGAGGTGAGTAGACCAGTGAGGGGACTGTTACATTAACTAAGCAAGAAACGATGAAAAACTGAACAAAAGTAGTGGCAGCAGAAATGGAGAGAAGGGGAACTACTGTCAAGACATTAAGAATAGACATTAGACTGACTGGAAATGGAGGCTGAAGGTGATGGGAGAGGCAAGGATGACTCCCAGTCACTGATGTCAGTAATGGTGTGGATAATGGTACCATTCACAGGGAGGAGCAACAGAAAAGTAGATTTGGGGGAAAGCTAATAAGTACGGTTTTGGACATTTAGAATTTGCGCTGTTCCCACCTTCTTGAAGGAAAAATGAGATGATGCTGGCTCCCCTGGCCAAGTTGTAAAAATTATTATTGCTAAATGAAATAATGTGAACTTTGAAAAACCATGAGTTTCATAGTCAAAATAGGAAAGTGGTTGTAACACCAAAGAAGGCAACGTTTAAGCCTTTGGTTATATAAATAGGTACTTTATTTTTTTCTATTAATTACATGACTATTCATAAAGTATAGATGTATCCTTGGGATGTGTACTTGTATCCATTCATACAAGCATGAAAAAAGAAACCTAGGGAAAGGGGATAAACCAAGTAATCCCAGAAATAGGAACGAAGTACCCCAAACAGGAAGGACTAACCAGCAATGGGGCCAGGTAGAAAGAAGAACATGGGCTCCTCATGAGGAACCAATCTCAGATTCTAAAGAGGCAAAGGAACCATGCAGACTTAATCCTTCCTCCCTTAGGAGATGGGTCCTCCAGCTGGCCTTAGTAATTATAAGATACTAGTAAGGTACAGTTAAGTTTTCAAAAAAGCCGAAAGACCAGATCACTATACATTTACTAGACAATGGGTTAACACTGGCCAAGCAAAACTTTAAAAGAATATTCCCTTGAGAGTGAATACCAGTTTGCAAAAACTTAAACCTATGTGAAAGGCAAAAACTTAAAAAAAAAAATCTTACTGGGAAAACAGGTTTAGTGTTAACTACAAAAAAGAATCTCAACCTGAGGAGGAGAGATTGGGGTTTGAATCTTGCTAGGAAGAGGCAGACAGTGATCCAGGTACAGATGGAAACAAATACATATCAACAGTTGATAAGTGGAGCCTGCAACCTGTGTTGTCTAAGACGGTATTCTATCACCTGTTGGTCTGTTAAGATTCCTCCATCCCCAGGAGGATCTCAGAATATTACTCTTAAGCCCTAAGAAGATGTCACAATTAGCATTTAGAGATACAGGAGACTACAGCCATTAGGAGGAGAGGCTCTGGCAGACTGCCTGAAACCTCAGTCTAGCTCTGCCTCTTCCTACCTGTGCGATCTTGGGCAAGTGTCTTAACTTCTCAGTTTGCCCATCTGTAAAATTGGAATAATGAAAGTACTTATCTCCTACAATTATCGTGATGCTTACATAGGTAATATGTAAAAAGCATTTAGAATAATGTGCTAGGTAAGTGTTAGCATTAGCCAAAAGTCACGTCATAAACCTAGGCAGGTAGAAGTAACGAAAATATTGATTACACTGTGTTGTTGCTGTTTTAGAGTAGGCTTAGTGTAACTGTAGTAATAACGTTGGGATCAAAGTATTTGTATACGTCATCTAAAGTGTTTGAGCCTTTGAACAAATCCGTTGAACTACATCTGAAATTGCAGTCGAAAGTGCTCAATGTTTAAATGTTTTCATTTATTAGATCATGACTATAATAAAGTGAGCATTAAACAAATTACACATGGTGGTGAGCGTAAAAGCTCCCCGGCCATAAAACAACCCGCCGATATTCCCAGGGTGCTCCTCATCCGTGGGCTCCCTGCCAGGCCGACTTTACTCTCTGCTACGTTTAGACTCCACCAGCAGTCACTTCAGTAAGTCCTCAATAGCACTCAAGACTCCTCGAATCCACCCAAATTCACATGGAGTCACTGCCAGCAAAGGGTCACCTCCACTTCCATTTTCTCTTTCCCTATTCCTGAATCTCAGAGCATTTCGAGAAAACACTCTTCAAATTCTTCTAGATCTTCAAAGGAGCTCTTGCCTAGAAAGCTTTTACTATTCCCATCTTAGCTATAGAGCTATTCCAAACCCCCACGGCTACCGCTCAATTTCGGCAGAAGACCGTCTTTTACTACACTGAAGCTTCATAGAAGTGAGTTCCAAGGGAGGCAGGACTGTGTGGTAGAAAGCATTCCACAGGCCTGGAACTATTAACTGTGAAGGCTTGAGCAAGTTACTCAAGCTAACAGTCAACCTCCAGATGTTTAATACTTACTTCACAGAGTAGTCATAAATAGTAAAGGAGACAATTCATGTAAAGCATTTATCTTACAGTCTGTTTCTTTCCTTTCTACTGCCCAACACCAACCCATTCATCCACTCATTCCTTCCACCATTCAACGAATATTTCCAAGTACCTGTTATGTGCTAGGCAGCATGGGTGTGAGGTCAACCAAACAGAAATGTCTCTGTCTCCAGAACTTTACCCTAGTGTCCTACATCTGTCCTACTTTCTTTTCCGTTACTATTCCCTCTCAGAATCTGCTCCCTGCATTATCCGGTCTTTCTCTCTCAAGCATCTCCCACCATTCCAGTAGCTTCTTCCCATATCTTCAAACAGATACAATCCTCCTCTATGTGAAAGTATCTTCACTGAATTCCATGGCCTCCCTCTAGCAAGAGAGTTCTCATTTAGGTTTCCTTTCACAATCAAACTTCTTGGATGAGTACTACATACCTAGTGACTCCACATCATCATCACCACCTCCTCTTGAATTCGTTATTCTGCTCTCGACACCCCACACACACCTGAAACTGCACGCTTGAAAATTACCAATGAATTTCTGATCTCTAATTCCAACGATCCTTTTCTCCTTATTTCTCTGCAGCTTTTGACTGTTTTGACAAGTTTCTGCTTCTTCAAGCAGATACTGCAGCTGCTAGGATACTATATTAGCCTGAATTTCTTCCTACCACTAAAAGTGCATCTCTCTGTGACTTTTTCCCACTCTTGCCCTGGAAACATGGATGCTGGCCAAGGCTCCCTCTGTGTACAGTATTTGTACAATGTTCTTTTTCCTATCCCTCAGAAAGTCTACCCACACCAGGCGCTCTATTTCCACCTCTAGAGAGATGGTTCCTCAGTTTAGTCTCAATCCCTCTTCCAAACTCATCTTGAATTTCTAAATGACTCCAGATTTTGAATTAGGCATTCTGCCAGCACCTCAAAACCATCTTCCCCTATGTAACTCCCCACATCAACCCCTCTCCTTGGCATTACATTTCTATCAGATGTTCTATTATTCTCCCAGTTGTCCCAAATTCAAACTCTTAACTTGCTCTTTCCTCCCAAATCTAGTTAGTCACCAGGTCCTTTGGACTCTTCTTTTGCAATGTCATTTGCATCCTTTGCTCCCACTGACACTATCATAATTGAGGTCCCTATCAGCTTGCTTGAGAACTTCCATCACTACCACACATTGCTAACTGGCTCCCTGCCACTAGGCCCTTCCTCTCTCCGTCCTGGATATGACTTGCAGAATAACTGTCCCTAGAGAGTTTTATTCCTGTCAGTCCCGGGATCAGACCCAGACGATCCACGCTGCCTACTGCGTCTTGTCCTGATCTTCTATGCCCCAGCCCTACTGCACCTTTCTTCACCTTTGCTTCCCACTATTCCTCCACACTTCACTCCAGTAAAAACAGTTTCCCTCTCAAATCTGCCTAGCACTTTGCTACTTCTTTCGTGTTTTTTTTCATGGCAAATCACACCTCCTTATGAAGGCCCCCTGATCACTTGTGTGGAGGCCCAGATGAGGGAGCTAAATAATCTGAGGAGCTTGCTGGGAGAGAGGGAGGGCTAGAGTGGGTGGCACCCTAGATCTAGTGTCAATTCCACCCACGTTTATTAAGCGTTCATTATGCGAAGAAGGTACGGGAAGGCTCCAAACTTCCCACCTGAAAGCTAGGATCTGACATATAGTGGGTGCACGCCGAAAGACCACTGGTAACAGTATCCACACCCCACGGAACACACGCACACGTGGTGGGGAGGTGTGGACAACTCTCCATCAGCACCTCTCCGAGCCGAGACGTCGCCAGACACACACAGACACACACCCCCACACACAAACACACACTCTCTGCAGGCTGGCTCCGCTCGCGTCACCCCGTTCTATCTCCACAGCACCTCCCCCAAGTTCTCAGCGTCCCCTTCTCTCGGCCGCTGCGCTCACTCCCCTCCTCGAAAACACACACCCACAACCCTCACCTCCGGCACAGAGTGCTCGGGACCCAGGAAGACGGCGCCTCTTCAGGTGGGGAAAGCAATGCGCCTGCGCAGAGGGTTCTCACGTCCGCGCCCCCAATCAATGCTCGGCCTTCGCAAGGACTCCATTTCCCAGAAGTCTTAGCGGTCGGCGCGCTTTAATATGACGTCTGACAATCTGCGCAAGCGTACACTTCTGAGACAGGGTTAGGCGGCGCCGAATCGTATCAAACGCTGCAGTTCGGAAAGAGGGACCTGTTGTGGATTCCGGGGAGGCTTGTGGTCACCCTAGAAGTACTGCCTACGTGTGGTGTCACGTCCCTCCAGTCCTTCGATGAGAAGGCCGTCCGAAGGAAATATGTCTCTCTGATCCGTGAGGCCCGTCCCTACCCCTGGTTCTTACCGCCCGAGAAGACTGCCAACGACATTGAGTTTTCTGGCGCTCGGAAGGGGCTTGTTTTTGCTTCAGTTTGTCCGCGTTAAGGAATTTGGTTCTAAAATTTGGGCCGGAGAGACGCAGAGTTTTCTGAGGACGGGGCTGGGCCTGAAGCAGGGAACGTGCACATTTGTGCGTTGGAAGAAGAGAAGAGTCCACGATATACGTATAGTTAACTGGGCAGCCGGCCCGACTTCCGACACTTTGAGCACACACGGGCCTGCCCGTGTTGGTACGTCTGGAAGGGCCCTTGTTGGACATATCGCAGGGATTTTCAGCCTTGGCCGCAGGCCGGAATCACCTGAAGAGCTTTCGACATACTGATGCCGGGGACCCAGTCTGAGAAGCGAGGGTTTGAAAAGATCTGCAGGTGATTCTAATGTGCAGCTAAAGCTAAGAACCCCTGAGCTAGAGGTTCAGGGAAGACTGGAGATTACACAAAGAATATGATAAAATCCTACTTCAGGAAGAAGTCTACACTTTCACTAAAAAAATCTAAACTGCAAGGCATTGTTACAAATATAAATGGCACAGTTACTGCCCCCAGAGAAGTCAAGGTCCAATGGAAAAATCAGAATGTGAAATTATTATAATACAGTGCACTATGTTCTACAATTACGTCACCTCCAAGATACTATAGGAGTCCAACAGAGGAAGCAATTAACTGTGGCTGGGAAAGTTGGCAAAGGCTTCCTCTAACTGGTACACTGGAAGAAGAGTAATTAGTTTCTTAAGAAGAAAGAAAAGTGCAACCTAAGCAGAGAGAATAGCACCTGCAAAGATAGAGACTAGAGGATCAACGTGCAAAGAATTAGTAGCAAGATGAGTGGCTGGCAGATAAGGTTTAGGGGCTGATAAACGGTAACTTGGGGCCAGGTTGAGGACGATTTTGTGCTGTAGTAAAGGGTTTGGACCTTCCAAGAAGATTAGGACTTGATTAAAGTCATGATGTCCAAGACATACATATTTTCCTGCTGTTGCCTTCTGCATAGTGTCTTTTATTATTCGTTTAGCCTTATGCTGACAGCAGAAATCTTGGGGTCCTAGATGAGTTTCCTTCTAGAATTTCCCACCCCTGGGTATGCCCTAGTCTTCATCTCTCTCTTTACTGCCCCGGGTAGCTGTCAGAGTGGAAACTGAAGTTCTCCAGGGTTTAGCAGTGTAAAAGTTGGGTTTGCTGCTAGCTTACCTCTCAGAGTTCTAGCTCTCACTTCATTTTTAAAAATCTTTGCAAATTCCTCATTTTCATGCCTGATGACCAGTGTGTTTCTAAAGATGTAACTTTTCAGCATTGTTAGATTTTTCAATTAGGAGGGTTGTTCAGGGTATCCAATTGGCCATGTTGCTGGAAAGATTAAGAGAATTTTAGCTCATTTTCTCAAAAGAGGAAGGGCATATGGATGCTGAGCAGCCAAGAAACAACAGATATTCATCTTGTTTAGAATAAAACAGATGTCTCCTAGGTCCGCCAGCTGTGGGCTCTGCCAAATTGCAGGATGTTGTGGCTGTCTGCTGCTGTGTAACAAACCTCTCCAAACTTAGTGGCTTAAAACAACAAGATTATTATACTAACAGGTTCTGTGGGTCAGGAATTTGGACAGGGCACAGCAAGGATGGCTTGTCTTTGCTTTCGTGCTTCACGATTTCTGGACCCTCAGTTGAGAGGACTCAAATGGCTTCTTCATCCATAGGTCTGGTACCTGGACTGGCACTAGTGGCTGGGCTCAGCTGGGACTGAGTCCCTACATATAGCCTCTCTTTGTGCTTGGACTTTCTCACAGCCTGGCGGTCTCTCAGGGGAATCAGTCTTCTTACATGGCAGCTCAGGGCTCCAAGAGGGAGTGTCCCAGTGAACAAGACAGAAGCTGCATGGCCTTTTATGACCTAACCTCAAAAATCAATAGTGTCACATGTGCTGTACGCTATTGGTTGAAACAGCCACAAACATGCCCAGATTCAAGGGCAGGGAACAGACAGCCCAGCTCTGAAAGGGAGACATGTCAAAGAATCTGTGGCCATTAAAATAAAAAACCTGCCACGTGGATTTTAACCTTCGTCTTGTATGGGTGTTTCTCTGTGAGAGAGGTGGAGGCCGGGGTGGAGTGTAGAAAGAAGAGAAGGGTCACTTGTAATCAGAGACCCTGGTGGTACCTTTGCAGTGTCCATGTTTCAACGAACATTTTTGCTGTGCCTCACTGTTGTTCTGCTTGCCTGGGTGGTTGTCTCCTAAGCTGTTGCAAGTTGCTTCTACCAGCCATTTCTGTTCCTCCCAGGCCACCTCTTGCTGTTCTAAGATCCCTCTTCTGGGACACCCTTTGAACTTCTCTCTCTAAGCATTTCTCCTCTTTGCTGCTGCTACCTAATACCCTGTATCCATATCTACATCTCTCTCTCTCTCGGAAGAAAGTGTCATTCCTTTATATTGTGTGGCCTTTATAGAGGTATTATCTTAGCAGAATAGTATGGGACCTTAGTGATAAGTGTTTTGTTTTACCACTCAGTCTATTGGGTTGGGAATGGTTGGTCCCTGAGCAAAGAGATTTGGCTACTTAGTAATCTTTATTTTCTACAACCAGCTCTCTCTTCCCTGGGGTGCATGTGTCTCATCAGAAGCTAGGTGGATGGGATAAAAAAAGAGATGCAGGCACAGTTTTACGCTCTACCTGAAAAATGTTGCTTCTTCTGATACCTAGGTCTGATTCTAGTCAGATTGGCTCTTTACTTCTGTGTTTTTGTTTGTTTAATATCTTTTTTTTAATGGCTACCATTGGGTCATCTTTAGTCCACCCTAACTGACCGTGTATGCCTGGGCCCCACTTGTGAACAGGTTCCTGTTTTGACCATGGGGTTTCTTACCCAGGTAAGTTGGAGGGTGTGGATGGTGGTACTCTAACATTGCACGTTAGTTAAGGAGGCTCTGTCTGCCAGAGCACAGAGAACCTGTAGAAATCTCTGTGCTTCAGTTCTGCCTTACAAAAGCACCAGTCAATCATTCACATTTTTGTTTCTTATAATTAGTTCTTAAAACTCCTTTAGCTCTTTAGAGTAAGCCATCTCCTTCAGGCTAATTTGAGTTAGAGAGATGCTCTTGCTATCTGTTCTTCCTCTGGATAAACGACAGTTTATCAATATCGTTCTTAAAATCTGCCATCCCCCGTTATCCTTTCTCTCCGTTTTCTGTGGCAATAGAATTTTAGCTGGGCACAAGAATAAAGACTACATTTCCTTGCAGGTAGGTGTGGTCATGTGTTCTGGTAAATAGGATGTAAGTGGATGTGTTGTATGGCACCTTCCGACAACTTACCTTAAAGGACAGCTGGAATCAGAATAAAAAGGAATGAACTATTGATACACATGCCAACATGGATGGATCTCAAGGGCTTTATGCTGAGTGAAAGAAGCCACTCTCAAAAGGTTACATACTGTATAATCCTGTTGATGTGACATTCTGGAAAAGGGAAACTATAGGGACAGAACAGAGTAGTGGACACAGGGGTTAGGATGGGAGAAGGGTTTGACTACAAAGGAGGGGCAAAAGGGAATGTTGGAGGTGATGGGGAAACCTAGCAGGCTGGGACCGGAGCTCCCCTAACAGTACTTGACATCAGATGGCACACTGAGTTAGGGAGGGGACATACCTGTTAAGCTACCGATGAACTCTCCTGGGTAATGAATGTGTAAAAAGGGCCTCTGGACCAAGGTCTCTCCCAAAGGACTGCATTTAAGAGGGGGAAATTTTCAGACACTGTAGCAGGCCAGTGCCAAAAGAAAAGGTATCAGGGACAGGCAGTGACCCTCAAGTTCATCTGAAGCAGTTCCATTTCTGTCTGTTTATGTCAGCACCAATGAGATGACAGTCTTTTTTCATTTGTTCGTCTCCTCACCTTTTTGGTTCCAGAGCAGTCAAGAGAACAGAAACTCCTGTGCCAGCCATGGGTTCCCGGGGGGCAGCACTCCCTGCTTGGGAGGCAGAGGGCTTGCTTGGCGGGCACTTGCTGTACCATCCTGGCTGTCTGTGCCACCGTAAGTGCTAGCAGAAAAGTGAAAGAGACTGAAAAAGCAAGAAAGGAGAATGGTCTTGTTGCCCTGACTTAATAGGTTATTTGTCCTTGAACTCCTAAATAGGGTCTATAAACCAATCTGTCAGTCTTCATAAGTCCCCTCTCTGGCTGAGGACTGCCTCCTGAGAACCGTCGCTTTAATATTCAGAGCATTTCTCCATTTCTTTTAGGTCCTCAAAGATACTCGTGTCTGGAGCAGGAGGGAGTCCAAAGAGCCCCCTTCTTTGAGCTCCCCCTCTGCTGAACTCCAAACTGGGGGCATGGGAGAAAAGCGGAGAAGCACGGGACAGCCTGTGGAACAGAAGTCAGTAGCCAGCAATGAGCCATCAGTATCTCCTGGGCACTTTGCAAGAAATAAACACGCCCGGAGAGCCTCCTGGAAATTCTTATTTGAAGCATTCACGGTACGCTTCTCATTTTAACACATTTCCAGTGGCTTCTGTTGAACAGCTCTAAACCGGGCTGTGGGGCCCAGCCACAAAGGGCACTCCCAACACAAGAGCTACTTCCAGTTCCCAGCGGGTGGCGGGGAGCAGGGTGAAAGCTCCAGCCACGGCGCTGATGCACACGGACCGTCCCAGCAGAAGCGAGAGCGCAGCGGCAGAACTCGCCTGGCCGCCAGGCCGCAGGCGCCGCTCGTCCCGCCCCCGACGCTCGCTGGTGGGACCCCCCGCGCGGTGGTCCGTCTGCGCAGGCGCAGGACGGGGCTCGGGAGACTGGGCTCGGGAGGCGGGGCTGGGGCGGGGGTGTCGCCTTGCTTTTTGTGGGTTTGCCACTGCGGGTGCGCGGACCTGCCTTGGGACCGCGCCCGGAGCTGGTGGCGGAGTTGGGGGTCTCTCCGGCTGCCCGCCGGCAGTGGCTGTGGGCGCCTGGAGCTGGGGCAGAGTCGCAGGGCCGGCCGTGTTCCTGTGAGGCCCTCCCCGGAACCCCCGCTGTCTCGGGGCAGCCGAGGTGGTCGCAGTGTGGCTGCGGCCGTGCCTTCTGGTTGGCTGCGTGGGGACTGGCTTCCAGAGCCTGGTCCCGAGGAGCAGGGCGGCGGAGCGCAGCCAGGGGGCTGCGGCCGGAGGGTGAGGGTCTGAGCGCGCCTGGGAGCGGGGCAGAGCGCCGCCCGGAGCAGCAGCGCCGCGCGCCCCGGCGGGGCCCGGCTTTGACAGCCCTGCGGGTCGCCGGGGCGTCGCCGCGCGGAGTGGGGATGCCCCGTGTCACCCAGCCTGCTTCCCGCTCCCGGAACCCTCAGGAGGACCGCAGGGCCGCGGCCGAAGGACAGAGATTTGGACCTAGTGAAAGGGACATCGCCCTTTAGCCCCAGCTATGGACTCCACAGCATCAGGTTTGGCTCTCGAGGGTGCAGAGGGCCGGAAGCCCTCCTGGGGAGTTAGTGCCGGGCATAGGTAAAGGACCGTAGGACGAGGCCAGGGAATCCCACTGGAGGGACAGAGCCTGCAACTCCTTCCCTGTGGCGGTTTCTACTCTTCCAGGTTCAGGAGCGTGCAGTGCTAGCTGCGAGAGACCACAGCGGCGGTGGAGGGGATGGCCGCGGGAGACTTGTGCCAAAGGCCAGAGGAGAGAGGGGAAGGCAGGAGAGGCTGCCCTCCTGCTGTGTCAGGGAGAGGGCAAACAAACCTGTGAGGGAGTGGCCCTTGGCCAGGGATCAGAGGACAGCAGGGCCATTTGGAGCCTTGCCATCCACTTCTTTTATCACTTCATTAAGTAGGAAGATTCTTCCAGCTCTTCTAGCTCAGCAGTGTACAAAGTCAGCAGTGTACGCGGTGGGTATCTCCTGTGACCACCTCCCCACTAGTGTTGGGAACAGGGCAATCCAGGTGACCCAGGAGGTTTTAAGCCCTTGCTTTCTAGGTTTAGAATCTCTCGTCTTTCACCAACTGGGCATTTGAATTTGACTTTTCATTCTTCAGTGCACATGCTCAAGGTCACAAAACTAGCCAGTGGCAGAGCTGGGCCGCATCTCTGGGACTCCCACCCCCTCTTTTTTCCCTTATGCCTGTGGTCTGTAGACCAGCAGCACAGGCATCGCCTGGAAGCTCTTTAGAAGTGCAGACTCTTAGGCCCTATGCCCCATCCACTGACCCAGAGTCTGTTTAACGAGAGCCTCAAGAATCCATGTGCACACTGAAGTCTGAGAAGTGCTCTAGAGCTCACCTCAACCATATAATCTCCTGCCTGCCCACCTCTGTGCTGCTCTTGTTGAAGTCATAACCACTTCTCTGGCATGGTTGGGGTTAGTGCTTTTGTTTTAAGGCTTTAAAAATAGTATGATACAAAACCCTATAATAGAGGGGCTTTCTGAATATGCTCAGAGACCTAAGAAGCACCGAGGGCAGCTTCTCAGGAAGAGCTGGCTTCTGAGCTGCATTCCTGAGGATTGGGGGAGAGTGTAACTTCTTCCCCTTCAAGTCGTATATCCCTCCGTGGCCTTGCCCTGGGCCTTGTTTTGTATTGCTAACCTGCCTTTTACTCACACGCTACATTTAAAGTTCCTTGAAGTTCTTCTCCCTGTTTATATTTTCAAAAGGCCTCCGTAGAGGACCTGCATGTTGGAGGCCCAGTAAATAACTCTCCAATGGAGTCACACTTCACCTACCTATGTCCTGCTGTGGCCTATGGACAGGTGGGGGCCTCACACAGCTGAGTACAAGGGCATTTCTCTCTGATGTGGGCAGGCTAGAGGCTGCCCCTCAGCTCCCTTTGGCCCAGCTCAGTCCCCAGAACCGTGGAGGTGACATGCTGCCTGTGTAGGGGTCTCCAGCTTGGGGAGCCTGGGAGCTGTAAATCCCATGAGGGTGAGCCTTCCTCATGGCTCCTTTTACCTTCCTAGTTCTCCCTTCTCAGGACCCTACTCTTCCTCCAGAGAGAAACCAGGGAGAAAAGGGAACAGCCAGTTTATTCCTGAAAGCCAGGCCCCAGGTGAGTTGGAGTTCTCTTAATTTTTCCTCAAATGCCTGAACTATAGATATCTTTGCCTCCTTTTCTCTGCAGCCTCTTTGTTTGCCAAAGGGAACTGATCCCATTTCCTGCTTTGCAGGAGGCTGAGCCCATCAAGGTGGATGCTGGCCTCCCTGCCCCTTGCCCAGGGCCCTTTCCTCTCTGTTCAGTATGCACTCACTCAGCTCCTTTGGTTTATTTCTGTAATGGGCACTGCGGTGAGTACCAAGTAATGTGAGAGCACCCTGGCCCTGAAGGAGTGTCACAAGCAGAGAGGGGAGAGGACTCTGGCACCTAGGATGCAGCCCCAATCACAGTAAGGATGTGCATGGTTTGATGGCAGGTGGAGTGGCACAGATAGGCCTTTCCATCAGGATTTGGGAAAAGGACATTCAGGCTGTGCTGGAGAGGGTGGGGAGGCTCGTGGAGAAGAGGGAACAAGAGGTTCTGAGGGTATGGACAGGTGAGGAGGCTGTTTGTGGCTGGGTCCCCGTTCAAATGTTATCTTCCTGGATTAGTGAGGAGACAGATGTAACTTCACTTCTTCCTGGCTGTGTGAGCTTGGACAGGTCACCTAAACTCTGTGCTTTGGTTTTGCCAACTGTAAAATGAGGATGATAATCATGTTAATGAAAATGATGAAAATAATAATAACTATTATTATTTACTGAGAACCAAACATATATCAGGAACTATTTTACGCAATTTATACTAACTCATTTCATCTTTAAAACTTTCCTATTATGAAGAATGGCATCTGAGGCACAGAGGGGTAAACTGAGGAAACCAAGGCACAGAGAGATAAAATAACTTGTTCGTGGTTATCTAGCTAGTAAGGAAGAGAGCCCAGTTTCAAATCCAAGTTGTCTGGCTCCAAAATCTTAACCACTCAATAATACAACTACCTCATGTGGTTGTTGGACTCTTTCAGCAATTGGACTTGCTTAGTCCATCAGCTTCAGTTGTGTTGAGGATGATGGGGATAATGGTGACTGACTCGAGAGGTGGACTCAAGTTTGGCTGTAGTAGGCTGGATGTGGAGGGAGAACCAAATGGAGGGCCATGAATGCCAGCCTGCATCATTTCCTCTATCCAAGATAGTAGTTTAGTGGGTTCTGGCTTAATGATAGACATTTATATTTAATCTTCCAGCCAATGGGGGAAACCCCTACCAATGAGGAATTCTCTCAAGTAATTAGTAGAGTAATAAGTAGAGCTTAGTCTAGTTATGCTGTGGTAACAACAGCCACCAGATCTCAATGGCTCACAGTAACAAAGGTGTCTTTCCCCTTTATGTTACTTATCAGTAGTGGGCTGGCTGTGATTCTGCTCCACATCCTCTTCGCTCTGGGATTCAGGCTGAAGGATCACCTCTGCTCTGGGATATGCTGTCCTTGAGGCAGGGGGAAAGCACAGTATTAGAAGTAGGAGATTGCTCTTCAAGCTTCTGCTCAGAAGTGGCATGTGTTGCTTCTGCTCACAACCCGTTGGCCAAAGCAGGTCATGTGGCCAAGCTGATGTTAAATGAGGTGGGGAGTGTAAGCCTCCCGTAGTGAGAGGCCCAAAGGGAAGGGCATTGAATATTTTGAACAGATAATTAGTCTACCACTGTCTTGTTTTCTTACTCACAGATGTTCACTTCCCTTCTTCCCACACACAAAAGCTCTCGCCAACAGAGAGAACCCAAAAGCCCCATCCCATCAGAGCCATCAGGATCAAAGTCCTGGATGGTATAATAGTCTGGACATGAGGTCTGGCTGTTTCTCCTCTGGATCTGGAGACCTATGAACTAAAAGGACAAATTGCCTAAATCCATATATCCAACATACAGTGGAGGAATGGGGACAGGATAACCACAATAAACACCCCCATTCAGAAAGGGGAAGCATGGGAGGAGCCCAGCAGTCCCAGGTCCATGATAGTTATGAATTTCTGCTGGGCAGACTCAGTGAGGACCACTGACCTTGGGAGTGGGCAAGTCATTTGGTTATGCCGTGGTTCTGCTCCCTGGGTGGAGCTCCCCAGTCCTGTGTTCTCCTTGGCTCTTGGTTCTGGCCTCCAGAAGTTCCTTCTTTTTATAGTATCCTCCTTGATCACATATGAAGATAATATGGATAATAAGCTCTTTTGAGGGCTAAACAGCTTTTTCATCCTGCCTGAGAAAGTTGTTAGCCCGAGGATTGTTTCAAGTTATGAACATTCAGTGTAATTCTCAAAAACTTAGCCAGCTTTTTGTGTATTTGCTTCCATCAGCTCCATGTGTCGATAGTTTTATTTTATGCACAGTTCTTTTTGGATATGCCCTTCTCTTTAGATTTCATTGTAGAGCCTTTGGGGTTTCCTTGGGAAAGCCATCCTTTTAGTCACCCTGAGCAATTTGGTCCCACTGAAAGGATTTACTAAGAACCATCTGAAATTATTCAGAGGTTTAAACAAAAGGTTTGGCAACCACACCTGTGACTTGGTGCTTGCCAGTAGGCTGGCTTTTAATCATCCTTTGTCATGCAAAAGAATCATGTCTATTGTGTTTGACCAGTTGGAAATGAGAATTGGTTAAATCTCCAACCCTGCAAGTCCTGGAATTTCTGGATACTTTCTTTTGCCTTCCATTTTTACTTGGCAAACCAGCAAACTCTTGAGCTCATTTTTTTTTTCATAATATTTTGTCAACAACCAACTCATGCTACTGATGTGATGTTTCCAGCCTCTTGTCTTAACATCACAAGCTCGTGCTTACATTGTTCATCTTTCAAATTATTGCAGGCAACAGTTTTACCAAACAGTTCACCACCAAATTACAGGGGTTGCCATCTTGCCAATAAGTTTCCTCACTGCCTGGCCCTGAAGCCAATGCCACATATTTTAGGCTTTTTGTTATGGCAGAACCTCACTTGGAGTTCCAGTTTTTTAATGAGTCAGTTTAGGCTAGTTGTGCTGTGATAATGACAGCAAACCCTCAGAGACTTAGACTAACAAAGGTTTATTTCTTGCCCCCACTACATGCAAGCTGTCGCTTTACCCCACGTCTTCTTTACTCTGGGATCACTTGTCATTCTCAAAGCAGAGGGAAAAGAAGCAATTGCAGAACCCCCACTGGCTCTGAAAGCTTTTGCTTATATGTAGCTCCTGTCACTTCCTTCACATTCCTTTTGTGAAAGCAGATTATTTGGCCGTGCCTGGATCAGTGGGGCAGGCAGATCAATTCTGTAGGGAGGGGCCACTGAATATTTTGAACACATAATATAATCTATCACAAGAGATAACTATAGTAGTGAGTTTTCCAAATTTGATTATTTTGGACTGACTTTTATGCTAATGTAAAATCATTACTTTGACTTATTCTTTGGAATTGTTAGTGCCTAATGGGATTTGATTTTTAAAAATTTTGGGGGAAGAGTAACAGGAGTTTATACTACCTTCACGTATCTGCTTTTTTAGTTGATAGTATATGGATATATGGATTATTGTACAATACAAGTCAAATAGGAGGAGTTCTAATTGCTGTTATAGAGGGTGACACGATAGTTCTGGGTGGGACCCACAGAATAGTTGTGCCATGTGGGGACCTGGGATCCAGGGTCTCACTCTCAATGTGCACATTCAGTAATTGAAAAATGATCAGGCTTTGGGGGAGAGGTGTAATTAAACTCACAAAAGACTTATTGATTCACTATTAAAAGGCTACGTGATATACTTTCACTGAACTGTGTGCTGGCAGGCAGGTAAAGGGATAAATTATTATAAACCCTAAATTATTTGATTCAGTCTTAGTAAAAATTGTCATTGAAATCATAGGTCACAAGTTTCAAAAATACTTAATTAGGAGACATGTGATACTAGTGCATTTGAGAATATAAAGCATATTAGTCTGTTCTAATTGATTCTAATTAAATGCAACTAAATTGAGAGTACAACCTCTTGAAAACTGAGGAAATGATTGCATTTCTCTCCCCACCTGAGCAGAATGTCTCTGTAGGCCTGATTTCTCCTGAGACCCTGATTCTGTTTCTAAGCAGCTTGATGTTGACATAGTGGGCCCTGGGTGGGATACCAAGTAGTAAGGATGATATAATCTGTGGAACAGCTTAAAATATTTTTGAGATGATAAAACCCAGAACTGGGCATTGAGATAGCTAGAACTCTTGGAATCCCTTCTTGCATGTCCTGAAGTTCTAGTCAGACACCCGTCCACTCTTCTCCCCAGGGCTGTGAGTGTGCTGCCTGAGGGTGCAAGAGTGTCTTCTGTATTTCAGGACCTGATGACATTTGAGGATGTGGCTGTGGAATTCACCCAGTGGGAGTGGGGGCAGCTGGACCCTGCTCAGAAGGACCTGTACCGAGAGGTGATGCTGGAGAACTTCAAGAACCTGGCCTCTGTGGGTGAGCTCATCTCCTCCAAAGCCCAAAGCCTGCCTATCAGGCCTATCTCCTTGGTGTTTAAAAGTTAGGGGTGTCAGGGCCTGTTGCCTGAGTTTTGCCCTGGGCTTCTGGAATCAGACATTTACATTCTCTTTGGGGACTATGGATGCAGTCTTTCTGCTCCTGATAGCTAGGAAAGGTCCCGCTCCAAATGAAATTGGAGTAAGAAGTCTCATGACTGTGCTCCTGCTGTTTCACAATGCCTATTCTTTGGAGGCTGTCCACACCTATAGAATTTCTCCACCCTGAAGACCAAGGGCCAAAGCGTTGGCCTCTAACATACAGTCATGATCCTTTTCTTTCTCTACCATCAGGGTTTCCAGTGTCCAAACCGTATATCATCTGCCAGTTGGAGGAAGGGGAAGAGCCATGCATATCGGAGAGAGAGATCTCAACAGGTGACCATTCAGGTGAGTGAATGAGACCAAAGCAGTATCCACATCATAAGGCCCAGCCTTGGGCCAGAGCTAAAGCTCAGGAAAGCAGTACTCAAGTCCTGGAGCACAGGCTGCGCCTCCATATAGGAACCTAGAAGAGAGGACAGAGGGAAGATGCTGATCTCCTCTGTATTAGTACTTTCTTGATCTTTTTTCCTTCCAGAATGAGAGCAAGGGTCTGACATCTGGATCTAGTCTCATGATTAATATCTGTCTGTTTACAGTGGTCTGTAAACATGGCTGTGTTTCAGAATCTCTCAGGGAGCTTGTTAACTATTTAGATCCCCAGGAGCCACACAAGACCTTTTGACTCGGAATCTGGCTTCTGGGAGCACTGGTTAGGCATTGCCAGTCATGTCCCTCTTCAGAAGGGTCATTATTATTGTATTAGCTTTCTATTGTTACTGAAACAAACTGTCACAAACTAAGTGGCTTTAAGCAACAGAACGTTATTATCTCACAGTTTATAGTTCAGAAGTCTGGCATGGGTCTTACACGGTTACAGCCAAGGTGTCAGCAGGGCTGCTTTCCTTTCTGGAGCTTCTAGGGGAGAATCTGTTTCATTTGAGTTGTTGGCAGGACCAGTTCCTTGCAGCTGCAGAACTGAGGGCCTTGTTTTCTTGCTGGCTGTAAGCTGAGGGGTGTTCCCAGCTTCTAGAGACTGCTAGATTCCTTGGCTCATGGTGCCCCTCCTCCACCGTCAAAGCCAGAAATGGTGGATTGAGTCCTTCTTACACTTCATCTCCATGACTCAGCCAGGAAATGTTCTCTGATTGTAAACCTCATGTGATTAGATTGGGCCCACCTAAATAATCCAAGATAAACTCCCCATCTCAAGGTCTGTGCCCTTAATCACATCTGCAAAGTTCCTTTTGCCAGGTAAGGTAGCATATTTATAGCTTCTTGAGATTAGGGCAGGGACATGTTTGGGAGAGAACTATTCTGCCTGCCAGAATTATATATAGTAATATAATACTTTTTCTATGTATATGTACATAATACATAATAATGTAAGGTGTGGACTGAGGTGCTGAGGGAAGACTTTGTGGAGGGCATCTCCCTACCCTCCTTTCATCTTTACAATCTTTGAACTTACCTTGTATACTGTAATCCAAACACTGTTTTTTCAGGTTTTCCCAGTCTCCAATTACCTGCTTGTCTCTTACTTTTGATACCTCCAAAATCTTCTTCAGATATACACCATTCTTAAACTGGACATATCTTTTAGATATTATTTTAAGGGTTAATTATCTTGCATCCATTGTAAGACTTTACTTTCTCTTGGCACATAGTACAGGTAATACGAGAATGTCTTTTTTTTTTTCCCCCAGACTGGGAGAGAAGGCCTAAAGCCAAGGAATCAATACTATGTCAGGGAATTTCCAAAGAAGAATCATTCCAGGTACCACCAGTGGAAAAACACATTAGAGATGAACTCTGGTCCTCCAAACTGAAAGCAGCCTGTGGTTGTGATGAGCAGTTAGAGATGCATCCAAAAAAACAGGAACAGCATCTGAAAGAAACGTCACTCATTCACAAATCTACCACCCTTAGGAGAGATCATGAATGGAGTGAATTTGGGAGAAGTTTAGGCTTAAGATCAGTCTTTGTTAACCAACAAGGTGTTCCCACAGGAGAAGGATCCTATAAATGTGATACAGAATTCAGACAGACTTCAGGGAGAAATAACTCTCAGAGAACCCATCCAGGGAAGAAATCTTGTAAATGTAACGAATGTGGGAAGTCCTTCCACTTCCAGTCAGAACTTAGGCGCCATCAGAGATGTCACACTGGAGAAAAGCCCTATGAATGCAGTGAATGTGGGAGAGCCTTTGGCCATATTTCATCCCTTATTAAACATCAGAGGACTCACACTGGAGAAAAGCCCTATGAATGCAGTGAATGTGGGAGAGCCTTCAGCCAGAGTTCATCTCTTGTTCTACATTATAGATTTCATACTGGAGAGAAACCTTACAAATGTAACGAATGTGGAAGAGCCTTTGGTCATACTTCATCCCTTATTAAACATCAGAGAACTCATACTGGAGAAAAGCCCTATGAATGCAGGGAATGTGGGAGAACCTTCAGCCAGAGTTCATCTCTCATCGTACATTATAGATTTCATACTGGAGAGAAACCCTACAAATGTAATAAATGTGGGAGGGCCTTCAGCCAGAGTTCATCTCTCACTCAACATTATAGATTTCATACTGGAGAGAAACCCTACAAATGTAACGAATGTGGAAGAGCTTTTGCTCATACTGCATCCCTTATTAAACATCAGAAAAGTCATGCTGGGAAAAAACCCCTATGAATTCAGCAACTGTAGGAAGGCTAGAGTACATACCCCACAAAACCTGAGAGAATATATGTTAGAGAGAAACCCTCTAAGTGTCATGTGTGTAGGAAGACACATCTTGTGTGTTGGAGGACACATCTTGTTTGACATCAGACAGGACACACTAAAGATAAGCTCTATTGGTATCAAGAGAAGGTGGGCTTTCAGTCTCTCCTCCTCCCTATCAAACACCAGAGAATGCATACTAGTGAGAAACCATGTGAATGTAATGAATTTGGAAAGGTTTGGTCAGAGGACACACATTTTTCAACATCAGACAGTTTACACTGGGGAGGAGCCTTATCAGTGTAATGAGTATGGCACAGCCTTCAGTCACATGTTGTTCCTAAAAAAAAATCAGATAACTCATACTAGAGAGAAACTCTGCAAGTGTGGTAAAAGCCGTCAGTAATACTTCCTTTTCTAAGCATCAAGAACACACACAAGAGAAGCCCTATGAAAGCAGTAAATGAAGGCCTTCAGTCAGAGCTCATCCTTTAAGCAACAGAGAATTCATTCTTGAGAAAAACCCTATGGATATGGTGAATGTGGGAGAGCCTTTAGCCAAACCTCTTCCCTTTATAAGTATCAGCGAACTTGCCCTACTAATTAGAATCCCAGGGAATGTAATGCACTTGGGAAAGCCTTTGATGGATGTCTGCCCTTTTTGCACATCAGAGAATTTGTACTAGGGTGACTCTGAATTTAGTGAAACTTGGAAAACCCAGTGGTATGATAGTTCAGGCCTCAGCATACATTAAGGCTTCACTCATAAGAGAACCCCTGGGAGCTTAATGAATGTGAGGAAAGTTCCTTCAGACTGGCCGTTCATGAAACTAGAGCTGAAAGGAAGCTCAGGAGTTGCCCAGTCTGGTGATTTTCTACTTGGTGGGGACTGTTTTTGTCACCGCGCTGTGCTCTGCCTCCCCATCCTGTTACTGATGGGAGCAGGGGTGTTATTGTGTGGGTGAGGACAATGGAGGCTGAGGAAGAAAGAGAGCCACGAGTGATCTGGCCTAACCATATTTTAGAGCTAAGGAAACTGATCTTCAGAAAGTGCTGTGCCCTGGCCTACACACCCACCCGGGCTGGGCCTCTTCCTCCTGTTCACAGCTGTAGTTGGGGGATTGAGAGACTGCAGGCCTTCCCTGTACAAAACCTCCGGGCACTTGTTGCCTGTAATACATGTTACCTGTCTTTAAGAGGCAACGGAGTGGGATTTCAAAGTCTGAGCAAGAAGCAGTTTTTATTAGATCTTTATGCTACTGGATTTGGAGTTTTTGAAATAAAATGACAACTTTTTTAAACATCAAAGTAACTAAAATATGGGTATTATTAAAAAAAAATCAAAACCTCAAAAACATTATTCTAAGTGAGGGTAGCCAGATGCCAGGGACCACATATTATAGAGTTCCATTTATATGAAATGTCCAGAAAAGGCAAATCTTCAGAGACAGTACATTAGTGGTTCCTGAGACTAGGAGTGACTGCACGTGTTCAAAGGAATCTTATTGGGGTGGTGGAAATGTCCTAAAATAGGATTATGGTGATGGTTGAACAATTTGGTAAATATGCTAAAAATCATTGAATTGTACATATAAAATGGGATGATTTTTATGGTATGTAAATATACCTCAATAAAATTGTTTTTTAAAAAGTCAAATATACAGATATGCCAACGATTGCTAAACTAATTTTCCTATCTCATCTATTACTTCAAGCCATCTGCGTGTCTTTGGTATCACTTTTTATTTTCTGTAACAGTTACTCCTAAGTCTTACTGAGTCTCAAGTTCATATTTGCCTCTGCAACTTACGTAGAGAAGTTAAGACCAGGAGCTAGTATAGAGCAGAGGAGTCTTGACTAAAAAGAATTAGCTTGTACTTGGCCAAGGCAGAGGGGGGAAGGCAGGTAGGATGCACAGGAAGCATCTGGACAGCTGAGATCAGGATGCTAGTCTAGAAGCCTAAAAATCCTATAGGAGTTTCTTCCCAGAGAGCTGAGGTTCACAGGAGCAGAAATAGCAAATATTTTACATTAGTAATAGTTTGCTCTCTCTCACCTTCTTTTTTCCCAGTGCTCTTCTCTAACCCCCACCCAAGTCATGTTACATACCTGGATGCCTGCAACAACCTGTAGCTAGTCTTTGCCTAAAATCTGTCCCTTGTGTGTGTCTGCTGTGTTAACCATTCTCATCAGTGCGCACCCATTGCCCTGCTCTGAAAACCTTTCTACTGCCTACAGGATAAATCCTCACTCCTCGGTTTGGCATTTAATGCCCCCTGCAGTCTGCCCTAACCTCCTGCTGCTCCTGACAAGAACCTCTATTTCAGTCAGACTAGCTCACCTGCCCTGCCTCAGCCGTGCCTCCACACTTGCTGGCCTGTAAACACTTGCCTAAGCTCTTCCACGAGTCTAGAGTGCCCTCTCCCCTTATCTAAAGCCTAATAATCAGTCAGAACCCTGTTCACAGTACCCTTCCTCATGAAGAGTTCTCTTGAACACTGAGGTGAAGTCATATCTTACTTGTGTGCAATTGTAAAAGCATTTGTTGTTTGCATAAGTTTTTAAAAATGAAAGATATCTGCACTTGGGATAGTTCTTATCACTGTCTTGCTCCATTTAAATCATTGGTGGTTTATCATCTTGCCACTTTCTTGTCTCCTGAACCAGACTAGGTGCTTCAAGTCATTTCTCACACTTCCTCTCAGAAATGAGCACGCAGTAAGTGCTTACTAAATGTGTCAATTTGAAAAACAACTTGTATTGCTCAGGTTTTCTCAGTGCTTCCAGTTGGCTTCACACTTTCATACTAGATGAAAAGCTTTCCTTCTAGAAAACTACCAATTAAATATTTTCTTAGAAAAATATGTTTCCTGTAATTATTTTTCAAATTCCAATACAGATTAACAATGTGCCATCTTTTGGGGGTGGGCTGGTGTGTGTGTATATAAAAATTCATTGCTATTTTATTTTGTAGCACTACAATGCCTTCTCAAACCAACTACCCAGCATTAGGCCAAACTTCGCAGGTTAAGGATACAGTACAAGACTACTCTCACTTCAGACACCAGCCACAAATTTGGGGGTCCCTAGGCCACCTTTCTAACCAGCTGGCTACAAATTTGGGAGTTCGCGCTACTCACTCAATTTTGATAATTCTCTAGAACAACTCTCAGAACTCAGGAAAGTGCTGTATTTATTATGATGTTTGTATTATAGCAAAAGGATACAAATTGAAACCAGCCTAAGGAAGAGACATATAGGATGAGCTGTGGGAGCATCCCAAATGTGAGGCTTCCATCTTCCCCAGGAACACATTACCCTGCTGGCATATTGATGTGTAACAATATGCAGAGAACTGCCAACCAGGGCCGCTCACCTGAGCTTCACTGTCCAGAGCTTTTATTGGGTTTTCATTATGTTGGCATGACCGATTGACCACATAGTTGAACTGAATCTCCAGTGCCCCTATCATCCCTGGAGGTTGGGTTGATATCACACAACTCCAAGCCCCAACCCTCTAATCACTTGGCCTTTCTGTTATGGCCAGCCCCCATCCTGAGTCACCTCATTAGCATAAACCATCAGGTGTGGTCACGGGCCCACTGTGAATAACAAAGACATTTCCTATCAGGAAATTCCCAGGTTTTAGAGGTTACCCCCTAGGAACCGCGGAGGAAGGCCAGCCAAGTACTTTACTACACAAGCACACACACTCAAATCAATGTAAAAATACTTCTTCGACTATTATTCAAATAAGTCATAAACATTAAGATTGTCCTTTAGACATTCCTCAACAAATAACTGCAATATACCACTTCTGTTTACAGACACCTGGCAAGAACTTAAACATAGAACCATGGCTGATGGCAAGGGATGCTGGAAATTGAAATCTTTGTCCTGGGCAGCAAGAGGCTCAGCTAAAATTTGGGGATTCTATTACTAAGGAGGAAGAGGAGGATGGATATTGACAGACAACCAGGAGTCTGTGCCTCGAGACCCATATATGCCAAAGCCATTTTGGAGCAAGTTCACATCCATGATACTTTCTGAGTCTCAGTCTTCTCCTCTGTAAGATGAAGGGCTTTGCACTTGTGTAAATAAATGAAGACCACTCAAATGAGAACAAACAGAGGCTATTTATTCAGAGCCTCCTATAGCAAAGGATCTGCCACTATCACCTGTATTTGACAGAGACCCAAAGGCATGCAGGGAGTAAGAAAGCCTTATAATGAGAAGAAAACAAAAAGGAAGCTTCAGGCATGCCCTGATTGGAGGTTGTTGGTATGGGAACCCTGGAGATAGGCTAACAGGAACAGGACATCTTACGTGATTAGCTTGAGGAGCATATTTAGCTTTCTATGGTTGGTCCTAAGTTGGAAGTGGGGGCAAAAAATAGGGGAACTAGCAGTCATTGACCAAGTTCTGTCTGTTCTGAGCTGATTGCCATAGATGCTGTGGTTTGGTTTCCACGCTGGTTGCTGCAAAGGTGTGGGTCAAAGTTCTATTGTCATATATGGTGTATCCATTGTCCATTGATATATTTAGTTCCTCAGCTCCCCCTTTTGGTCATTCTCTTTCTTGAGAGAGGTTAAGCAATTTAGAGACACTAGAGATCCAGATCTTCTCCACTTGGGGATTGTTCAGTTATCTCCATGGTAAACTGTATCATGAGATCTTTTTGTTGTTGTATCATCATGGCAAGAGAGCAGTTGTGCAGAAGCACTGAGCCAGGTAGTGTTTCTACCATGCCTGTTTCATTGATCCAAGTACAACAAGATGTAACAGCAATGGCACAGATGCCACCATGATTAGTCAAGAAGTTTAGGGCAATGCAATTGCTCATAACTACTTGTGCCAATGAGTTGAGGCACATCTACAGATCTTCCATCTAGGGAAGAGGTGACGTCACTAACAACTTCAGCCAGAGTTAGTGATAGGAGTCTTATACTCTTTTTATTTACCGTCATTGGAAATACTGCTCTGACTGTTCACATAAACAATGTCAGCAATTCTCCAAGGTAGAGTCCCTGAATAATCAAGGGTGGCTTCATTTTGGAGCTCCTGCCTGAGTTGGAATTTCCAGCATTGGTGACTGATAGAGTTAGGATTCTGTATACAGATGAATCTTGGAATACTATTCTTAAACTGCACGAGGTTTTAGTCAGGAAAACAAGGCCAGTTGGCCTGGCTGCAAAGGAAGTAGAATCCATAGAGATCCACATAGAGAACCAGGAAAAAAGGAGTCGTTCATGACATGAGATTGGAACCAAAGCCTTACATTAGCTGTGTTACGTATTTGGATCCCTATTAGTTTCCTCCAGGTGATGACTGAACCATTACCCTATGAAGGTTGTTGATTCAAATTTAGAATTACCTGGGGTCTGATCAATAGATTGTAGTAATTGGCTCTTTTTCTGAGAGGGAGGGACACTAATACAGTCACAGGTTGATTTGTTTAAGGTGATTTGTCCCTGTAGGGGCAAGTGGAAAAACTATTGGCCATAATTCCCTATAGTCTCATTTGCTGAGACCAGAATTGTTCATATATATTTATCATGGTGGTCTGGCAATGAATGGTATATCCAGCAGTTGGTAAGATTGAGAGTAGTGGGTACTGTTTGGGATAATTTTAAGAATGACATTAGAATGAGTATGTTCTGGCCTAACAATTATAATAAAGAGGAAAGAAAAGAGAAAGGGGGCCACTATGGGTGGATGACCATGAGGGATCTATAGAAATCATAAGAATAACTATAAGCAAGAAGCCAAAAAACAAAACAGGACTTTGACACAGGTCTTGGTCTGACATCTTGGACAGAAGCTATCCACTATCTGAGGTCATCTATTTACTCTAAAGATCTTTGGTCAGCCGTATACTTCTGAAGATCACCTGCTTCTTGAGTATCTTGGCGAATCCTCAGTTTGAAGACTTTTATTGGAGTTGGCTTCCAGTTGTGTCAATTCTGAATTTCTTCTTTAGCTGTGAAATATGTAGAATTGACTCCTTGGAATTTCATCGCTATATTTGTTGACAGTACCTGATAAGGTCCCATACAATGAGGTTCAAGAGCATTTTTTCTCTGATGTCTCCTCCAATAGACAAAAATCTGATGGTTGAAGATCATAAAGAGGCTGTTTAGGAAGATGCTGTAGGAAGGTGTCCTTAACCTGTCGATGATAGGACTGGGTATAGTACGTGAATCCCTTCAATATTTTGCCGTGTCTGCAGGCAGCAGGGTAGAGTCTAGGACTGGCAGTGAAATCTCTAAATAAACAGGCCTTCCAGTTATCAGCTCTTAGGGGCAAAACGATGTATCCCCAGGGGAGTGAATCATATGGCCATAGGGTTTCTCAAAGTACCTTTGGCCAGGAAGCTAAAGGTTTCTGAAAGTTTTGTGAATTTTAAGTTAAAGCTGCCATTGGTTCTTTCAACTTTTCCAGAATATTGTGGATGGTAAGGGCAACATAGTTTTTGAGTACGAGTAATGCCTTATGGAGTTCTGTTATAATGGTTCCTGTCAAGTGTGTGCCTTAATCACTTGATATAAAAAAGGAGATGCCCCAGGTTGGAAATACAAAATCAAGCAGCTTTTAGTGACTCTAAGGACTATAGGTTTTCAGCAATGAAATGCTTCAACCCATCCTGAAGATAGACGTATAATAACTAAAACATATTCAGATCTCATGGAGGGTGGAAGCTGAATAAAATCCATCTGAAGGTGTCCAAGGACCCTGGAGGCTTTGGTTCCTGGCCATGTCCCACCTTTACAATTTTTCGAGGATTGTGTTGACAGGTGATACATGACCTGAAAATAACCTGTTAAAAATCTCTCTTTTTAAAGTTTATAGTAACCAATTGTCTGTACCATGATGGGTAGTTATGTCCGGCAAAATCAATCAATCAATTAATCAATCAATCAATCGAGCTAATATCCATTTGAAGCCATCTGGAGCCACCAAGAAGCCATCTTGGGAGCACTGGAGATGCTTTGGGTGAAGGGTAAAATTTTTAACCTTTTTCAGAATCAGGACTAAACGCTGATATTTTATAATGGCCCCTTTGAATTCCTCCAGAGATTTATCCTTTGGGGATGCAGTTAGGAACCTCACCTTGGATAAGGCTGCTTGTTTGGCATAAGGCTCTGCTACAGCATTTCCTTTCAGTTCCATGTTATCTCTTTCACATGAGCCTCAGCCTTATTATAGCCACCTCTCTAGGAAGTAGGAGTGAATCCATAAGTCCCTTAGCTTGTAGTCTATTTCCGATGGGGATTCTAGCAGAGGTTAGGAAAACTTTGTTTTCAAAGCATCTCAAAGTCATGTACTGATCTCAAGCATATCTGCTATCAGTGTATATACTTATTCTATGGTCTTTGGCTAGTTGACAAACTATATACATGACGTGGAATAAGTTCTGCCATCTGGGCTGATATTACCTCAGGTAGAGGGCTATTTTCTAAAGAGAACTTAAATTAGTGATAGCATATCTTGCTTGATAACTTCCAGTTTCATTTTTTGAGATATGATTCATCAACAAAAAATATTAGTTCAGAGTTCTTAATTGGGGTCTCTAACAAATCTGAGCAAGGCATGGCATGGAAAGTTCCCTAGCTGAGGTAAGACAATCATGAGGTTCTCCTTCTTCTGTTAGGAGCAGGAGTGTGGCAGGATTCAGGCTGCTGCAGTAGTGAACAGAAGTGTGAGAGGGACAGAGTAACAGAATATCTTGAGATGTTAGCTGGCTGGAAGTGTAAAACTCTCTCTATTCACAGATGGATAATCTTATATAGAGAAAATACTAAGAAATACACTAAAAACCAGTTAGAATAAATGAGGCTAGCAAAGTTTCTGGATACAATGAGATCAATATACAAAAATCAATAATATTTCTATACATGATCCACTAAAGAAAAAAATCAATACACTGGACTTCATCAAAATTGAAAACTTTGCTTGCTGAAAGACCCTGTTAAAAGAATGAAAAGACAAGCTACAGACTGGGAGAAACTATTTGCAAAACACCTATATGAAAATGTACTTACATCTAGAATACACAAAGAACTCCCCAAACCTGGGGCTGGCCCCGTGGCCGAGTGGTTAAGTTCACGCGCTCCGCTGCAGGCAGCCCAGCGTTTTGTTGGTTTGACTCCTGGGCGCGGACATGGCACTGCTCATCAAACCATGCTGAGGCAGCGTCCCACATGCCACAACTAGAAGGACCCACAACGAAGAATATACAACTATGTACCAGGGGGCTTTGGGGAGAAAAAAGCAAAAAATAAAATCTTTAAAAAAAAAAACAAAACTCTCCAAACTCAACCAAAAAAGAAACCAAACAGTCCAACTAGAGAGGTAGCAAACATTTCACCAAATAAAGAGAAGAGCCCAGGTCCACCAGACTCCTCTGCTGGAGCACTCAAGCAAGGTATAAAGGCATCTCGACAGGAAGGGTTCACAGGATAAAGGGAGTAAGACTGAAGTAAAGCCCAACACACAGAGTTCCACCAAGGAGGACACACAGATGGCAAAGAGACACATGAAAAGAAGTTCAACATCATTAGCTTTTAGGGAAACGTAAATTAAAACCATGATGAGCTATCACTACACAACTATTAGAACAGCTAAAATAATTTTTTTAAGTGACAATACTAAATGCCAATGAGGATGCAGAGGAACTAGATCTCACACATTGCTGGTGGGAATATAAAATGGTATGGCCACTTTGGAAAAGAGTTTGGCAGTTTCTTAAAAAACTAAACATACACTTTCCAATCTCTTTTCTTTTAATTTAGCCAATTTGATATGTTAAAAGTCTATTGCAAATGGGATGCATCATAAAATAAGTAGGAGTGAAATAGGTTGTCTACTTCAGCAAAGAAAAAGGAAAAAGAGGAACAGATGAAGCAACTGTGTCAATCTTAATCTCTGAGTCTAGCTTGTCACTATTTTTACTTTTCTGCATGTTTTAAAATTTTTATACTAAATTTGAAAATCAGAGGTCTGGCTGAGTAGGACTCCTAGCTTCTTACAAGACGTCCGTGTCTTTCCTCCTACTTACTTGGGTCATCTGGGAAGGCCCAGATGGTATAAAGCCATGCCCAGGGTGAGTAAAAAAAAACGGTAGGCTAGGCCTGGGATATGAACGTGACCAAACGTTAGAATCAGAATGAATGCATAAATGCGTGTGAAATCCGACCAAAGTACTTTAATAAATCTAAGAAACTTCAGAGTTTTACCGGGGTTGGGTATAAACAACTTCTCTGTACGCCTTGGCTGTCTTATTCAACCCTTAGACCTTCCGTTAGACTCCTCCCATGCTCGGCCGCACCTCGTCCTTCTGGCTGGGAATGGCCGGCACCACCAGCTCCCGCTGGCGGGAAAAGGACCTAGGGCAGCCCGCGCACCTGCAGCCCTCCGGGGAAGGCTAGCCCCGCCCCCTCCTCGAGAGAACACCTTGAGCAGCCCCGCCCACACGGGCCGCCAGCGCAAGCCCCGCCCTCGGGTCCTAACGCGAGGACCCCCGCGGCGGCTGTCCGCGGCCGCGCCGGACTCATCCTACCTTTTTGCCCGCACGAACCCTCTCCCACCCCGGCCTGCGCTGCGGCGCGGCCCTCTGGCCTCGGGAATTCAGCCGCGGGCCGACGCCCGCCGTTTGACGAGGAGCAGTCGCGGCAGGCGGTGGGGAAGGCTGCCCGGACGCAGGCGCTCGTAGGGCTCCACCATGGCGGCTGTGGTGCGCGCTGCTGCGGGCTGCCTGCCTGCGGTGTGCTGCGCGCCAGCGGGTGAGACCCGGGACGCCGCGGGCAGGGGCTCTGAGTTGGGCGGGAGCGGGGGCCTCGCCCCGGGCCTACAGACGCCCAGGCGGAAAGATGCGAGAAGCCGCAGCCCCTGGGCCCTTCACGCGGGCTCCTGTCTCGCCTGGCCCGGCTGTGTGACCTCGCGCGTCCGCGCCCTCTCTGGGTCGCAGGGCTTATGTCTGTAAAGTGAGGGTGGGCTGGACGCCGTCCGAGGCCCCTTCTAGTTCACCAAACGGGCCGTGTGTGCGCGGCAAAGAGGGGCCGGGAACTGGGAAGCAAGCATCCCCTTGTCGGCGGGCGCGACCCACAGGCTCATTTGGTGATGTCGATGTGGGGTTCGAGGCATATGGCGGCCCGCGGGGCTCGAAAAGGGAAGAGGCTGTCCTGCAGCTTGAGTCGCATAGGATTAGTCTCCGTCATTTTAGAGTCCGGCTGATCAGTGCCTTTATTAGAAGGATGGATGTTTCAAATGTCAGTAGTTTTGCTATTGTTGCCCCCCACCCCCACCCCCTTGTGGGTTGGTTGCAGCCCAAGGAAGGGCGGTCGGCCCTGGTCCAGCATGACGTTTACCTCTAGGAACCGCTTCGTGGTGGACTTGGCCTTCTCTGTTCGCTATATTTTACTGTAAACCCACTTTCCAGCATTCGTAATTCCGAAGCCCAAAGACCTCTAAAAGCCGAAAAGTTCTTTTTTCTAACTCATTTTGCTGGGAAACTTGACCAGAAATCATTTGATGGAAAATGTGACTTGAACGTTCTTTGCTTTTGCCCATGTCGTGACCACATTCTCCGTTATCGAGGCCCCATTCAAATATCACCTAGCCTTTGTAGCTTTCCCTCATGAGCTCCCACTGTGTACCAGGGACTATCTTGAGCTCTTTATGCTTTTTTCCTCACTTCATCTTCACAGTGCCTTTATGAGATAGATGACTTTATTATTCCCGTTTTACAGATGAAGGAATTAAGGCACATGGAGGTTGAGAAACTTGGTCCAGGTTAGGCTGGGAGGATGTCAAGTTTTTGCACCCACATTACCTGGCTCCAGAGCCTGTTTCTTTTTTTGGTTTATAAAACAGCTTTTTTGAGATACATTTCGCATGCCATACGATTCATCCTCTTAGAGTGTACAATTCAATACTTTTTAGTGTGTTCACAGAGCTGTGCCATCATCACCACAACCAATTTTGGAACATTTTTATCACCCCAAAAAGAAACCCTGTACCTTTTAGCTATCATCCCCCCAGCTCCCCATTGCTCCCAGCCCTAGGCAGCCTCTAGTTTACTTTATATCTCTATGGTTTGCGTGTTCTGGACGTTTCATTTAAACGGCCTCATGTAGTATGTAGTCTTTAGTGACTGGCTTCTTTCACCTAGCGTAATGTTTTCAAGACTCATCCATGTTGTAGCATGTATCAGTGCTTCATTCCTTTTTATGGCTGAATAATATTCTTTTGTATGTATACTATACCATGTTTTGTTTGTCCATTCATCAGTTGATGACCATGTGGATTGTTTCCACCTCTTGGCCATTATGCCTAATGTTGCTATAAACGTTTGTGTGGGGTGTTTTTGTAGATACCTATATTTTCATTTCTCTTGTGTGTATACCTGGGAGTGGAGTTGCTGGATCCAATGGTAACTCCATGTTTAACCTTTGGAGGAGCTGCTAAATTGTTTCTAAAGTGGCTACACCATTTTACGTTCCCCGCAGCAGTGCACAAGGGTTCTTACTTCTCCACATTCTTGCCCATGCTTCTGATCTGTCCTTTTGATTATAGTCATCCCAGTGAGTGTGAAGTGGTATCAGTTTGGGGCTTTGATTGCATTTCCCTGATGGCTAAGGAGCATCTTTTCATGTGCTTATTGGCTATTTCTGTATGTTCTTTGGAGAAATGTCTATTCAAATCTTTGCCCATTTTAAAATTGGGTTGTCTTACTAGTGAATTGTAAGAGTCCTTTATGTATTCTAGATATAAGTATTAGACACATGATTTGCAAAATTTTTCTCCCATTCTGTGTTATCTTTTCACTTTCTTTCTGTTGTATTTTGAAGCACAAAATTTTTAAATTTCGATGAGTCTGATATTATCTATTTTTTATTTTTGTTGTTTATGCCTTTAGTTTCATATCTAAGAAACTAATGCCAAATCCAAGGTTATGTTGATTTACCCCTATGGTTTTTTCCAAGAGATACAGTTTTTGCTCTTTAGGCCTTTGATCCATTTTGAGTTATTTTTATATATGGTGTGGATTGGGGCTCCAACTTCATTCTTTTGCTTGTGGATGTTCACTTCTCCCAATACCATTTGTTGAAAAGATTATTTTTTCCCATTGCTTTGACTTGGCCACTGTTTTCAAAAATCATTTGCCAGTAAATGCTGTGAGAGCCTGTTCGGAAACCCTGCGCTGTACAAAGTGCCGCACAGCACGGTTCAGCCTGGCGCTGCAGAGGGAGGGGGAGTGGAGTGCTGACAGAGCCTGCGGGAATCTGGTAGGCTTCACTGAGAGGTGATGTTTCAGACAAACCAGGAGGACATGTGAGAGACACACAAAAGGATGAAAGAGCAGAGTGTGTTCAAGCCTGACTAGAGATGTGGCATGGCCAGAGGGAGCGTGGAGGAGAGTGGTGGGAGTCGAGGCTGTTGTGGAAGGTTGGGCCAACATGCAGCCCCGGAGGCCATGCTGAGGAGTTTTGACTTTGTTGTGCAGGCAGTAGGGAGCCAAGGAATGATATATCAGGGCTGTGAAGTGACCAGACCTGTTATTTTAGAAAGGCCTGCCCGACAGCAGATGGTGATGTAGAGGGAGAGACCTGTTAGGAGACTGTTGTCAACATGTGGCTGAGGGACCGTGAGGCCTGAACAGAGAAGGGGCAGTGAGACCGTGGGAGAGGATGTGGCTGATGGGTGGGTTGATGTTTGAGGAGACTTTATGGGGCTTGGGAACTGGTTGGGTGTGAGGTGAAGGAGAAGCTGTGCTGTGATGTCCCTTACTTGGGCAAGTGGTCATGGATCCCAGAAGTTACTCATTTACTTATCTTGGTTCTTTTAGTCTAGAGGTAGTACTATTAATATTAATATAGGTGTTACTGTTTAAAATGTTCCTTTTCGTGTAGAAATATATCTTAATTTTTTTTTTTTTAATTTACAGGTCATTTATGGTCTAGGCAGCTTTACCTAAACACCTTTCCAACAGCTTCCGTTTGGGCATTGACATCTGTTCTCAGCAATGGTGAGATTCATTTATCTAGCTACTTTTTCTTATAAGGTCTAATGTTAGAGTACTTCATGTATGTTTTAAAATGTAAGTGAACCCTCGTTATAATGGAAATGCATTGGGTCTAAAGAGTATTTTTCAAATTTTTATGATTACACTTGTTACAGTTTAGGGCTTTAAAAGATAATAGCTATGATTTATTGAGTAATTACTGTGTGTTAGGCTTGTAACATGTTATTCTGGTTAATCCTCACACCAGTTTTTTTTGTTGTTTTTCTTGTATTTTTACTCTTTTGGTGAGGAAGATTGTCACTGAGCTAACATCTGTGGCAGTCTTCCTCTATTTTGTGTGTGGGATGCTGCCACAGCATGGCTTGATGAGCAGTGTAGATCTGAGCCTGGGATCCAAACCTGCGAACCCCAGAGCCGCCGAAGCAGAGCATGTGAACCCAACCACTACGCCACTGGGCTGGCCCCCTCACAGCAGTTTTTGTGAGGGAATTGTTATTCCCATTTTACAGATGATGCAGTGAGTATCTGAGAAGCAGAGTGCCTTGCTCACGATCACACAGACAGTGAATGGCAACTCTGGGTCCTCGAGACGGAGTTTCTGTAGAAGGCCTTTCCTCCTGCACCTGTGCAGCACAGGGCCCTCTCTGTGGTCACTCTCCAGGAAGGAAGGAAGCCAGTCCTTGCTGAGCCCAGGTTGTGCTGTGCTCAGTTAGGTCCTGCCTTTTCCAGGTGGCCAGTGGTTAGGGCAGAATTGAAATCTTACTGTGTCCTTGAGTTTCCAGAGGTCTGTGTGTTGGGCTTTGCTTTAGTCTTGCTCCCTTTAGCCTGTGAACCCTTCCTGTCGAGATGCCTTTATACCTTGCTTGAGTGCTCCAGCAGAGGAGTCTGGTGGACCTGGGCTCTTCTCTTTATCTGTTCATTTGTTGATTGGGTGACTCATTCATTCATGAACCACTTACTGTGCGCTGTTCTGTTAGCCAGGCAGTGTCCCCGACCTGGGCTGGTGTGGGGCCTGGAGGAGGCGTCTGAGGAAGGCCAGAGGGGAGTTCTCTACTGACGGCATAGCCCTGCCGGAGGCCCTGGTGGGGAAGAGCACTGCCTGGTGGAATGACAGCCTGGCTCTCTGCTCTGCCACTTTCCACCTTTGCAACCGTGGGCAGATGTCACCCCCTGGACCCTCAGTATTCTCGTCTATAAAATGGGACAGTGGTCCTTGCTTTGAAGATTGTTATATTATTTCTTAAAATATTGTGTTCCCACATTGTTAAAAGGTTTATATCTTAAAACTAGTTCCTTTCTGACTCCTTCCCATCTTCCGGTGCCACTTTTGATTCTGTCAGCTTTCTTCTGGTTATATTTCTAAATAGAAGCTGTGTATGGCTCTTTTCTCTGTTAGCACCGTTATGCTAATTGCAGAGCTGACACTTACATCCCCGTCCCTGCTCTCCCATCATAGTTGTAAACACAGTTTTGATGGAGTCTGGACAGCCTTGTCATTATCAAGGTCATGTATACGTTATTCACGGCTGAGCTAGGTCGTGTTCTGTCATTACATTTCCTTTCTCCTACCACATTTTTCTTTTCCCTAGAATTAGTAATTGCCTTGTTTTTAAAACAGTTGCTTAGTTTAGTTTTCTTAGTACCTACTCCTATATTTTTCTAAATGTTACAGCAGATTGGTCAGAGACTCCCTTCACACCCAGAGCTCGAGAGTGTGTGCTGTTCTTGTAATCGGTATTCCTGTGTCCTCGAGTCCACTGCTGCCTCTCAGCCCTGCTGTCTTCCTCACAGGGCACCCCCATCTGTGGAACTGATACAATGGCTGCCTCTAAGAATGGCTGTTTAAAAACATTCAGTGATACATGCATATGGTTAAAAAAATTCCCCAAAACACAAAAAAGCAAATCTCTCATGTCTGACCCCAGATGCATCAGTTTTCTTCCCCAGAGGCAAGCACTGTTAGCAGTTGCTTGTATATGCTTCCGGAGTTAGTCTATAAAATATATTCATGTCCCTCCTTGTTTTTCAAACCTGAAGGGTGGGATGCTCTACTGTGCTGCGCCTTGCTCTTCTAACCAGATCATTTACAGGTCTTTCCACATGGGTGCACTGTCCAGCTGCATACAGCCCAGAGTAGACAATGCCCAGCATGAGGTTGTATAATGCAGCCTAGCGACCCTGGTCTGGACAGACCTACTTCTTCAGACAGCTACATCTATCGTGTGGATGAGCCGTAATTTCTGTAACTAGGATGGGCGTTTAAGTTATCAGTCTAAACCTTTGTTTTATTTTTTAAAGAAAGACTGTCCTGAACATGTGATTCTTAAAAGTTCAGGGTTTTAGTGACTTATTTTTATTAGTAACTATTAATTATTTGGTGCTGGCAGTGTTTCTCCACAAGCATGAATCATCTAACTCAGTTTTATTCCATCTACCTACAGGCCGTTTGTCATCTCTTGGACCCAGAGACAACCGTCATTTCACCAGCTTGACCCGTGCACTGCAGACACAATGCTGTATTTCTTCTTGCAGTAACTTGATGGGCCAACAGTATAGATCCTATAGTTTCTTCACTAAATGTACGTAGACTATCCACAAACGTCCCATTTCATGAAACGGGAAAATAAAAGGTACTTTCATATCTTGATTTTTCTTCTCCTTCATCTTCTTCCTTAAATGAAGTAACACTTTAGTGACTCAAGTATGATGTACTCTTAAAATAAAAATGTTCCTCTGTGCTCCTCCTAGAACTGTCTCACATGCTGCCAGTTGTGTTTGTGCTCTGCTTCAGGAAGCGCTGGTTTATTTAATCCCCTCACTTGAAGCACCTGTGGCCTAAAGGGTATAGAATTGTGGCCCAACTCCCTGCTGATGCAGATTCACACCAAGAACGCACTCAAAGTCTATTTTCAGTTGTGCTTCAGTTGAGGAGATGGGACATCTAATCAGGAAAAGTTAATTTTAAGTAGATGATGTTTTGCTAACATCACTCGTACTTGTGATAGTATTTAAAAGAATCCAATCTGCACTGAAATTAGCTTGTAATAAATGGAGATTGAATTCGCAACTCACCATTAGGAAAATTAGAAGAAATTAGGATTATAATTCATTTTAGACTATTTGGTAAATACAGAAAATCAAAAAGATGAAAATCAGCTATAATCCTATGACCCTGAAATACTGGATTTGCCACATGTTGTTCTCTGTCAGTACATAGCCTTCTCCCGTGCAGTGTTGTGACTGTAGAGTTTCTCATTGTATGGGTACAGATCCCCTAATTTGGAAGTCTCATAGTAACTAGGTCACTTGTGTAGTCTGCAGGAAAGAGGACCAGGTGGCGGGGCATTATGGGTAATGTAGGCTTGGTTGTATCTGGATTTTGGCACACAGGAAAGAGAGGTGGGTAGAGTTGGAGCCATTAGCCTCTTCCTTTGGTGCCCCAGCCCCTTTTTTTCTAAGAGCTGACTTTGTACTTTGGGGGGGTATATCAGATTTACAGGCCTTGGCAGTGTTTTTAAGTAGTCTTTTTCCTGCCCCAGAAGACCTTATCTCCAGCTCTTGTTCTAGAGGTGCCCCTTGCCTTCTGAGACCCCTGTCCTTGCCCTTTTGTCCCACACCTGCCTCTGACTCTCCATTAGCCTGCGTCCTTCCTCAGTTATAGGACTCTGTACCCTTCTGAGTTTGTTGCTCCCAAGTCACGCTGAGATTAGCTTCAGGGGGCAAACTCACTTGAAACCAGCATGGGGCTAGGTTTTGCTGTTTCTACATTGATTTTCTAAATCTCTTCCAAGAAATAAAAAGCATAATTTCTCAAAACTCATTAAGATTTCCTAAGAATATTTAATGTTGTACTTGTAAATCTATCCCTCTGCCATAGCAGGTCCACCATTTAAATCCCTTTGATCCAAATTAGCAAGCAGTGTTATGTAGCATGATTAACAGAGTACTAGCTCAGTGTATCAAATTGGATGCAATAGTGGATTTTGTATATATCTATGTGTATGTGTGTATAAACATGAACTTTATTTTACATAACTGTGCTAGTTAATAAGTGTATATATTAACCTACCTAAATCCTTCCAGAAAATGATAGAAAAGGTTGAAATAATAGTAAAAGCTTACAATGTAATATATTAAGTAAAAAAGCAGGATACAAAATTCTACATATGATATAATTTCAGTTTTGTTTAAAACAAATATATATATACTTATGTATGCGTGCATGAATAAAGAAAAAAACAAAATATACATTCTGATCTAATAGTGGTGATTATTTTTTATATTCTTTTACTATCTATATTTTCCAGATTTAAAAAAATAGCTATTTCTTTTATCATCTGAAAAAAAGATTAAAACCATTTTTCATAGCATAATGGCATTCAAAAGTTGACATATGACTTGTTCTCTTTTTCAAATGTAGTTAGAAATTTTATTTTCCTCATTTTAAAAATGAACTAAACTCTTTAGTCTTTTATATCTTTGTCTCAATATTAACTTCCTTTAAAAATCAAATCCCTTTTGGGGCTGGCCCCGTGGCCGAGTGGTTAAGTTCGCGCACTCCGCTGCAGGCGGCCCAGTGTTTTGTAAGTTCGAATCCTGGGCGCGGACATGGCACTGCTCATCAGACCACGCTGAGGCAGCGTCCCACATGCCACAACTCGAGGAACCCACAACGAAGAATACACAGCTATGTACTGGGGGGCTTTGGGGAGAAAAAGGAAAAAATAAAATCTTTAAAAAAAAAAAAACATCAAATCCCTTTTAGTCGCAATGAGTGGTTTGCTTATTCTGCTTCTAAGTGAAGAAAAACTCTGTAATTGATTAACTCTTAGAGTGCATCCCATTAAAAGTGCTTTCATTGTGAACTTTGAAGTTTTTTCCCCAAAGATTTTATTTTTCCTTTTTCTCCCCAAAGCCCCCTAGTTCGTAGCTGTATGTTTTTAGTTGTGGGTCCTTCTAGTTGTGGCATGTGGGATGCCACCTCAGCGGGGCCCGATGAGCGGTGCCATGTCTGCACCCAGGATCTGAACCGGCGAAACTCCGGACTGCCGAAGTGGAGCACACAAACTTAACCCCTCGGCACTGGGCTGGCCCTGAAGTTTTTGATGGCATTTCTAGTACCATCATTTTAAAAAAGAAAATAAAATCTTTAGTGAGAATTTAGCACATGGTGAGGTTTGTAATTTTATTTCGAACCTGTGGTTCTTTTAAATGAATCAGTGTCAAGCTAAAGTTCGAGTTTAACCTTTTGCTCTGATCAGGGCTACACAAAACAGCATGTGACATGGAATCTCACTTTTTGAGCTTCCGTTATAAAGATCAGCTGTAATAATAGGTGTGTGTTGAAAAATGGGATACTGTACAGATACTAAAAATATTATAAATCCAAAACGTTTTTCTCTTTCCATATTATCTACCCAGAGAATCAAGATAAGGCCTGTCAGGAAGCAGGAGATAGAACTTTTAAACCTTAAGGGCTCATAAGAGAAGAAGAATGAAGATACTCATTTGTCTTCTAGAATATGTTTAGTATTTTAGACATGTAGATATTTGTATCTTAGATTTTTGACTACTGCAACTAGTGTTAGTTGTGTGTGGCTGATTCTTTATTAAATAAATTGATGATGAAACAGTCTATGGTTATAAAGGCAATTGGTGATACTGCGAAAGGCTGGAAGTCCTTGGGAATACAATTTAAGTCTAATAAATGATGTAACTACACCAATAAAATTCAAGAGTGGTCAAAAGTAGAGAATGTGAATATTCTACAAGTACAAAGGGGAAAATGGTGAGTGAAATGTACAATAGAAAAAAATTTTGGAATCCTAGAAATTCACAAATGGAAATAAATCAGTGTCAGAGTCTATACATAAAGTAAAAGACAAGCATGATAGAAGAAATACACACACGCACATGCAAGTATTAACTATCAGACCCCTACATACTCATTCTTTCCTATATGTTGGTTAGACTTTAATTAGAGTTGAAGGTGAATTTGGGCATCTGATTTTGAAGGATACACAGAAGAACAGAGCAAATCAAATTATTAAGATTATTGGGTTCAGATTGAAGTGTTGCTTTTTGTTTGGGCTAAGAAACCTGTATTTAGGAAGAATAGTTATTGATTATCTCAATGGTTGCAATGGAGGCAAGCAGGCAGGGAAGAGACCTGTGCCATAGTTGATAAAATGTCTGGGAAACAAACCTACTAGAAAGTAAGTGGGATTTAAATGTTAGCTGTCTTTTGTGGAGGAAAATCATATTCTTTGAAAGTAGAATCGTCTCCTCTTGGGCTTTCAAATGTGAACAGATGCCAAGAACGATTTAGTTCTGCTTTCGTTGCCACAGTGATACAAGTGAAGCTGGCCTCTTCTTGCCTTTTTTCTTCAATAGGAAACCATCGATCATTGCTTGAAAAGTTTTTTAAAAAGCCTGTTTCATTACAGTGACAGCAGATGAGCTGTGGAAAGGTGCTTTAGCAGAGACTGGTGCTGGAGCAAGGAAAGGAAGAGGCAAGAGAACAAAGAAAAAGAGAAGGAAGGATTTGAACCGGGGTCAAATCATTGGTGAAGGTAAACTTATTTATAAAAAACAGCTTGTGTGCTTTTTAAGATTTTTTTCCCGAAAATTTTATAGATATTTTACAAACTAGAAACATTTCTCTTGAAGTACACTAGGATCTATGGTTTTAGAGTCCAACCAAATGGCTTACTTATTGCCTCATGATTCAAGGGGAGGAAAATCCCATAGAAAGGGATTTATTCTTTCAGTTATTCATTCAACAAGCCTAGATGCCCTTGTGTGGCATCTGCTGTGACAGTCCCTGCCCTCAAAGAGCTTGTGATTCAGTGATAGAAGATGGAATAAATGGAGAGCTGGCAGACTTCCTCTGCAAAGGTCCAGAGAGTAAATATTTTCAGCTCTGTGAACCACACGGTCTCTGTTACAACTACCCAACCCTGCTGTTGGAGCACAAAAACAGTCACAGACAACACATGATTGAATGGGCAGAGCTGTGTCCCAATAAAACTTTATTTACAAAACAAGTGGTGAGCTGGAGTTGGCCCATGGGCTTTAGTTTGCCAACTTCTGGAACACATGATGCTTTATACATGTGTTTTTTGAAGAATAAAAATAGAACAGTGTAGTTGAATCGACATTTTGTACTGTGCTTGCTAACAAATTGTCTTTGATAGTAATGGCCTTCTGGGCATAAAGAAAGAGAACGCCTGTCACTGCCCTTCTAGCTGCTGCGTGTCTACTTGGATACTTTTCTCTGACTTACCTCGTGTCTTATTTTATTTTTTAACATCTTTTAAAGTTATAACAATTATATATGTAGACCTTCTCAGTAAAAAATTCAGACTGCAGAGAAAACTAAAGTCCCCCTTGATGCCCTTTCTCTCTCCCCCAACCCAGTTGCTATACTCAAGGAAACCACTGATCTCATTTTGATGTGTTTCCTTCTGACAGTTTTTAATGCTTTTACAAACATAAACACCCTAAAGGAAATAGATAATTTCTTCTTTTTAAAAATAAATTATATCATATGGTACATACTGTCATGTAATTACTTTTTTCACTCAATAGTAGGTCTTGGAAATTGTTCCACATCAGAACCTATAGAGCTACCTCATTCTCTCAGTTTAGTGCAGAATACATCATAGGTTGGATATGCCATATTTCATCTAACTATCGCAACGTTGCTGGACATTTGGATTGTTTCAGTTTTTTGCCTTTACACATAGCGCTTCACTGGACATCCTTGTCCAAGCACACGGTGCCTTGTCCCTGTGTGGAGGGTTTCTTTAGGTGATACCATGAAGAGGAATTACTAGCCATTAGGATGGGTACATTTACAGTTTTAGTAATGCCAAGTGGTCTTCCAAGCGATTTATATTATTTTATGCTCCCACCAGCAGTGTCATTATCCGTTCACCCATTGCCTGGCATTTCACAACTCAAGAAATGAATACTTTTTAAAAATTCTTATTTATGTATGTTTTTAAACAACTCCAGGGCGTCAAGGCTTCCTATGGCCTGGTCTGAATGTCCCTCTTCTGAGAAATGGAGCTGTGCAGACCATTGCCCAAAGAAGCAAGGAAGAGCAGGAGAAGGTGGAGGCTGAGATGGTCCAGCAGAGAGAGGAGTGGGACCGGAAGAGGAAGATGAAGGTTAAACGGGAGCGAGGATGGAGCGGAAACACGTGGGGAGGTGTCAGTCTCGGCGCCCCAGACCCTGGTCCCTATGGAGGTATCAGAGTCCTGGTTTTGCTTACCTTTGTGACAGAGCACTTGTACTTCTAGAATTCCTTATTGTGACTTTATTTACACATCTGCTTAGATTGCTGTTTTCCGGAAAAAGATTTGAACATCACTGAAATCACTCCACATTATTATCCAACTGTATTTGATGGAACACTAGAGGCCCAGAACCAAGAAGATTCCACAAACGAGCTGCACAGCCCTGGGTTCTGGAGTCTTTATTGTGCCGCTTCTCAGAGCCATCAATGTGGTGGGGGCGTCACGGATCTGGACAGGCCCCAACAGGACGCAGTATCCCAAACACAGTTGGTCCTGGGGGCCCAGGGAGCAGCAGAGCTCAGGAGAGCTGCTTCCGTAACAGAAGATAAACCGGATGGTTGTCACTAAGCCTCATGAAAGCACCCAGGAAATAAAAATTGATAATACTTATCAGGCCAAATGAGAAAACTAAGTCCTGCCCCTGACCTGAGTCTGTAAAGAAGGAAAAATCCTCTGAGAAATTTATTCTTGTCGATGAGTAGGAGATGAGGAGACAGACAAGAGTTTGGCTGCTTCCTTCAGTTTGGCTTAAAGAGGAGAGGAGAGGCTGGGATGGAGAGGCTTAGGCAGAATGCTTAGAACTGAGCAAAGTGCTTCCATTGGGAGGATAAAAATATGGGAAGGAGAGAAAAAACCATAAACTCAGTCCCTAATGAGGGCCCAGATCCAGAGTGTAGACAAATGGATTAATCCTTGACAAAAGAAAGGGCACAGTGCAGGTTCAGGGGAGCCTGGAGTGTTAGTGGTGGAAATGCGTGTGGGGTGGGCTGTGTGAGTGTATCTGTCTGGTGACCTCATTGAGTCTGTGAGGAGGAGGTGGGGTCATCTGCTGAAAGTAGGGTGGGGGCACTGATGAGCACGGCCACCAGGATATTGATGAAAAGGCAGGGTATCTGGGAGTGGCTCCAGAATTATCCAGGGGAGTGAGAATTGGACAGAGTTCAGAGGAAAGAAGATTGGCCATGAGGTGATAATTGCTGAAGCTGGCTAATGGGTGCATATGCTTTCACTTTGTTATCTCTATCTTTGTATATGATTGAAGTTTTCTATAGTAAAAAGTTGATAAAAATAAAAGCACACAGAGAGTGTTTGAAGTGGCTGCCTGGTGAATGGAGAGAGAGCTAACTAAAGGGACCTGAAAGGCCAGCAGGCAGCAGGGAGGACATGACTGACTTGGAGACCATGGGTTTCTAGGGGCCCAGGTGTGCACTATGCTTTGACTTCTCTCCAGCAGCACCCAGCAGGCAGAGGTGGCCAGACAGCTGCTTGGATTCAGGCCTGGATAGTGCAGTGGAGGGAGAAGAGGGTGAGGGAGTTGAGGACGTTCGCCAGATCTGGTGGACGTGATGGACCGTGGTGTCCTGGCCGAGTGGAGAGGCTGTGAGGACCAGAGGGAGTGAGAGGGAAGGGGAGGACAGTGGTTAAGAGTCTGGAGGTGCTGGGGAGCTCCAAGAACCCTTGTCTTGGGAGTGGACGAGTGAGCGAGCTGGAGGGTTAGGAGGATGCAGTCAGGGAGATGGTGGCCGAGGTGATGAGTTTAGTGGTGGAGCAGTCTCTGGGGATGATGGAGGACCAGGGTGTGGCCTTGGGAGTGGCACCAAAAGATCTGAGATTCTTCTCACTTAAAAGTCGGTGATGGTGCCTGTGTTGAAAAGTGCTTTCATATACTAACTGTGCAGACACATTTATCTGTATGCCTGTTTCTTCTTTCCCTCCAGAAACATATGACGACTTTGATACCAGGATACTTGAGGTAGGCACACTGAATTAAATACCCAGTTAAGCCTTAGGGGAAGCTGGGGTGGGCGGTGGGGATGGGGCAAGAGGAACAGTGAGGAAAAGCTTTGGTGCATGGCTTTTCTGAGACACAGAGCTGATCTGAGTAAGTAAATAATGGAACTTGAATTTCAGTCACTTGTTACTGGCTTTCCTGACTGCTGCCCTTCGTGGGGGTTACCAGTTGAGGTCTCATGACATGGTAACTTTGAAGGTATTGTCGCTAACAGAATTTGGAGATGACCTTTAAATTTCCACCTTCCTGAAGCTACATTAGCAATCTGTCTTAGAATTAGAAACCATATGTATGTGGCACTGAATTCAGGGAGCAGAGCCTGAGAGGAGCCGTGGGGTGGGGGTAGAAAGCTTGGAGTGGCCGTGAATGTCCAGCTCTTGATGGGAAGTGACCTTCTGGGCTGTTTGCAGGCACCTGAAACTAAAGCCTGTCCCCAGTGAGTTTCGGTCACTCTTTCCGGGGTGTTCCCTACAGTGGTCAACTTCCCTCTGAGCTCGTGCTGCACACGTGGTGTTAATACCACATGGAATGATCATTTACTGAGTTTGTGATTGAATATGTATATTGTTTCTTCAATATCAATTGCGTTATAGAATTTAAAATATGTTTAGGGGCCAGCCCCTTGGCTGAGTGGTTAAGTTTGTGAGCTCTGCTTTGGTGGTCCAGGGTTTTGCTGGTTCATATCCTGGGTGCAGACCTAACACCACTCATCAAGCCATGCTGAGGTGGCATCCCACATAGCAGAACCAGAAGGACCTACAACTAGAATATACAACTATGTATTGGGGGGCTTTGGAGAGAAGAAGGAGAAGAACAAAAAAGATGATTGGCAACAGATGGTACCTCAGGTGCCAATCTTTAAAAAAAAAATAAATAAAATATGTTTAGAAGTATTTTATGTATTTGGATCCCAGTTTATACCTTTTGGAAGTTAATCTCTGAAGAATTCTTGTGTATGTGGTGATTTCCAGTAAAATTATCCATGGGCGTGGGACTTGAGCTCCCTTTTCTTTTAAACCCATTTTATGGGAAAGGGGCCGCCATGTGAATAGTTTAGTTAATAGTTTGGCCCTTCTAAATATGCCCATAAATGCAGATTTTCCTGTAGTTCATGATAAGCAGATATTTCCAAATTTTCTATTCTCAATTGAGGCTAATCCTTAGCACAGAGATCCAGTCCTATGTTGATTCCTTCTATATACTGCATTTCATCATTTGTAAGATGCACATTTTTCCATATTTTAGCATCTCTTGATATTGGGTATGTCTTATAGTCAGTCAGTTATAAACCATGTCAAAGTATAATCAGCAAGTTTCTTTCTTTCTTTTCATTCATTAAAATAGTGTATAATGAATTGTATAGTTTCAGATCCATTTAAAATTTATCTCAGTCGAACCTTCTAAGAAGCTTATGAAATAGGAAGAGAAAGACTTATTTCCGTTTTGCTCCTGAAGAAACAGTCCCGACAGAGGTTTCCTTGGGGAAAGTTTGCAGTTTGTGCTCGTGGACTTGGAGGACGATGGACGATTCACCACGTGTGCGTGTGTGTAAGGTCGTCACTCTAGTTCCTACTTCAGAATTTTATTAAGGTGTAGTATTCATGAGACACTTTGTCTTTTAGGTCAGAAATGTCTTCAATATGACGGCAAAAGAGGGAAGAAAGAAATCAATCCGCGTCCTGGTCGCTGTGGGGAACGGCAGAGGAGCTGCAGGTGAACAGGGTGCCATGGCACACGCGGTGCTGGTGGTGGTGGCAGAGGACAGACGTGGCCGGGCTGCACTGTGGGGTCAGCGGGTTCACGCTGCGGCCAGACTTTTCCTCCTGATTAAATCTGTTAGTGGTTCGAGCGCACAACCTTGTTGAAGCCCGTGAGATCCCTTAGAGGGACAAGAAAGACTAGATCTTCCTACACCTGCCCTTTCCTGTGAGGACACTGGATATTTAAAAAGGCTCAAGATGCCATTGTATTATAATTAACAGGAAAAATTAGGGGGAAAAACATTAGATATTCAACAATGGGGACATAGTTACAGAGAGAGTATAGCCACACATTGTAATATTCTGTACCCATTAAAGAATAACGGAAAATCATGTACAAAATAATGCTAAATTAAAAAGAAAAGCATTTCATGTAAGACTGTATAATATAATCCCAATTTTTGTTTTTTAAAAAAGTATGTTTATATGCAAAGAACAGACTGGAAAGATATGCAATGAAAAGGTTAATAATGTTTACTCTAATTTGCCAGTCATTTAAATTTTCTTCTTTATACTTTTGTGTAAAGTTTCCATAGTGACCATCTGTTTTTGAAATGTATATGTGAATGTGTAAGCGAAAGAAAACTGGAAAACTGTCCTATTTAACCCATCCTGACACTTTCAAAACAAGTAATGTGTATAGATAGTGTTTGCCCAAGGAAACCACTCTTTATTTGTTTATTTATTTTGGAGAGGAGGTTTCTGCCTGAGCTAACGTCTGTGCCAGTCTTCCTCTGCTGTGTGTGTGGGGTGCCTCCACAGCACGGCTGATGAGTGGAGAAGGTCTGCACCAGGCCACTGACTGTGAACCTCGGCCCAAAGCGAAGCGCGCAGAGCTCGAACCACTCGGCCATGGGACTGGCCCCTAAGGAAATCACTCTTAACAGTTACTTTTGTATACTTCTAGATTTCTGTATTCATATATCATCATATATCTTTTCTAAAAAATTGACACAAAGGGATCCTATCATATCCATAATTTAGCACCTTGCTTTTCATGCTTATTTTTATACCCAGAGAGCTTCCTGTATCAGCATAAAGAGATTCCCCCTCATTCTTTGTACTGATTGCATAATGTTCCATTGGGTAGATAAATATAACTTTTGTAACCTTTTCCCTATTGTTGAATATTTATGTTTCCAAGTTTTTACTGTTTATAAAAAATAGTGAGCTTCTTGTACATGTAATTTGTTATACTTTTGCAAGTATATTGACTGGGGAAATTTCTTGCTGAAACTGCTGCCTCAAAGTTCTGTGCATTTTAAACGTTGATGAGTATTGGCAGATTGCCCTGCCAAATGTTGCATCAGTTTATCTTCATCTGTAGCATCATATCCTTGGGGCCCAGCATATGATCAAACTTTACTGATTGTCAATATGATGTGGAAAACATATCTCTTAGTTGTGATTCGCATTTCTTTGATTATGCGAGTTTGGACACCATTTCACATGTTTATTGGCTGCAGTTATTTCCCTTTAGAGACCTGTTAGTTCACATGTTTTACCCCTTTTTCTCTTAGGTGTTTGTTCTTCCTTATTGATGGTATAACCTGTTTGTAAGTTAAGGACATTCACCCTTTGTCTATCATATACTTGACTTAGTTTTTAGTTTTTTTCTACACAAAGTTTTAAATTCACAGCAGTCTTAAACCTTTATATAGCAAGTTTGCCAGTCTTTCATCACTTCTGTGTTAGTGTCTTGCTTAGAAAGCCTTCATTTGAAGATTATATGTTCACCTGTGTTTTTTCTCCAGGACTTACATGTTTAGTTTGTTTTGTTTAAACTGTGAAATGGAATCCTCAGCCCCTTTTGTCCCAGGTTCTCAAGTGTCTTGCGTATCTCATGGAGCAGTATCCTCTTATGTTACTTTCCTGTGTATAATTTAAACATAAAAGACATCCTTCAAAATAAATAATTAATGGTGACAGCAAGTAATGGAAGCATTTCTGTTAACTTGTGATAAAGCCTCATTTCACAGGGTTGAGCGTTCACAAACTCAGGAATTGTTGATTTTATTTCCTGGTTAGTTGAAGTCTGAATTGCATTTGAAAGTTCCAATGAAATCATAGTTTTATGCTATAGCAGTGTCTGTTTTTTCCCAACCCTTCTGGTTATTTTAATCTATTTTCCAAAATGCACAAAACCATATACCTTATTAATTTAGAGCATGGTTAGTTTTTTTATATTGAGTGTATTTAGTTTGTTTTAACATATTTTTATTTTATTTTATTTATTTTTTGCTGAGGAAGTTGACCCTGAGCTAACATCTGTTGCCAGTCTTCCTCTTTTAGCCTGAGAAAGATTGTCCCTGAGCCAACATCCTTGCCAGTCTTCCTTGACCCTGTATATGGGACACTGCCACAGCGTGGCTTGATTAGTGGTGTGCTGGTCCACACCCAGGATCTGAACCCACGAAACCCGTGCCACTGAAGCAGAGCACACAAACTTAACCACTATGCTACTGGGCTGGCCCAAGTATATTTAGTTTTATCTATAGATTTATAAAAAGTAAAGTTATGCATATAACCTTGGATTTCATAGATGCTTTCAAGTGTAATATTTCCCAAATGCCCCAATACAGAGAAGCAAATCTCTTTAGCCTCCTGCTTTGTCATTCGTTTTGCACAGAAGGTTTTCTCTGGGCAGAAGAAAACTGAAGTGTGATGAAATATGGTAGGAGCTGAAACTTAAAATGTGGTGAAAGACATTATGTGCCAAATTCATGCCCCTTGTCATATTTTTGCTTTTTCTCTGCCAGGTTTTGCCATTGGGAAAGCCACTGAAAGGGCGGACGCTTTCAGAAAAGTATGTACATTTTTCCTGTCTTGACAGTAAATAATCAATGAGCTATGTGCTTGACACCATCAGAACCACAAAAAAAAAGGAGCCCTCCCCCCATGCTCACTGTCAAATGTTACTTATCTCATAACAAGCAGTTTAGAAGTGCCTGTATTCTTTTCTATCATTTTTATCAGACTTGTGATTGTGACAAGATTATGAGACAACTGGGAAAGTTTGAACACTGACAGAATGTTGAAAGATACTAAGGAATTATTCTTAATTTTCTCAGATGTGATAGCGATATTGTGCTTATGATTTCTTTTAGTACATCCTTAGCTTTTAGAAGCTGAGGATTTTAGAATACTGAAATTATTGTCCTAGTTTGAAATTTTCCGTAATATAATATTTTATGAAAGCTGCTTTTTGAGGTCTCTGAGAAAATGTAAATTCCAACAATAGATTTAAGAGAAATATTTCCCTTCTTTCAGGCAAAGAACAAAGCAGTTCACTATCTGCATTATATAGAACGATACGAAGACCATACAAGTGAGTGTTAGTCTTTTCTTTTAAAATTCGCAGGATTACACTTGTTTCATTATGGGAGGCGCAGGATTACACTTGTTTCATTATGGGAGGCAGTGTATCTCTATGGGTGTCTTTGTGTTTCTCTGCTTGTTGCTACGTTCTTACAAATCAATATGTAAAGTGTAGAAACATATTTTCTCTCCCGAGAAGGTTACTAATGAGTGAAATCAAAGTCTGTTGCTCGTCCTCGGCCAGTGTGTGCTGGCTGCTTGGGGTGGTATTAGTTGTGCTGTGATATTTGCAAGGTCATTAACACTACACGCCTAATCCTTCTTGTGTTTATGTGTTTACCCTCCAGTATTCCACGATATTTCTTTGACATTTAAAAGGACGCATATCAAGATGAAGAAACAACCCAGAGGTAACTAAAATACTAAAAAACTCTTATAATCTGTTGAAGATAAAGCAGAGAAATCTCACATCCATCCTGTCCTCTACTTTTGCTCACCTTTGCTAGAGCTCATTTTGGAAATACCAGAATCGAAAGGCCTAAGCTAGATTGAAAAAGGCTAAGGCCCTCAGGGAAATAAAATTAGCCAACCTACCCAGGCTCCCGTGGGCACAGGCATGTTCCAGGGGTAGTTCCAGGCGGGAAGAGCACACCATGAAGAGGAAATAGCCACTGAGTGAGTAGCTGGGCTTGGATGAGCGGGAACCAGGAGAATCATTGACGCTCTGAGATGGTTCTGTTCTCAGAGCTCATTCGGTTCCAGTCATGACTCTCATCATCAGGGGCTGAGGGAATGTCCCTGTGAGCCAGGTGCTGTGCCAAGCTGTGCGGATGCAGAGAGGGACCTTCTTCCCGTCCTGTGGGGGAGCAGGCGGGAGGGCAGGCAGTGCCCAGGGTCCCGGGGCTGTGGCAGTCGTGCCCAGTGGACTCTGAGTGTAGAATTCTTGAACATTCTGATTTGTGTTTTGCTTGTGGTTCCACAGTAAAAATGATTTCACATAACTCTAGGTACATCTTGAACAATTTGGATCGGAAGAAGATGAAACATTATATTTAAAATTTTTATGTCAAAGCTTCTAGCACAGCTGTGCTAGAGTTATGGCATGCAAATAAATTAAAAAAAATCACGTGGAGTACCGATTGTATTTGTATACAATACTGTATACAATACAAATACTGATTGTATTTGTATATTGATAGTATACCAGATCTTTCTTTCTGCTTTAACGTCATAATTAATCATTCGTATGCCTGATAAAACTACTTATTTTATCATTAGAGAAAGTACTGAGCACTTAGACACCAAGGTGTAGACCTTCGTGGGCCCACATCGTAGGTACTGGCCTGACTGACTACTGAGCACTTGAAATGTGTCTACTCAGGTCGGCTGTAAGCGTCAAGTACACATCAGAGCTCAAAGGCTTAGTGTGAAAAAAAGAATGTAGAATATCTCAAAAATATTATTAATATCGTTTACATGTTAAAATGATAATGTTTTGGAATTCGGTTAAATAAATATATGACTAAAATTAATTTTACTTTTTAAGCTTTTTTTTAATGCAGCTATGAGACTTTAAAATTACATACATGGCTTACATGTATGGGTGGCATCATATTTATGTTGGACAGTGTTGGTTTAGATACATTTCTGTCGGAATGATTTTTGAAAGACTGCTACAATTTTAATTTAATAGCAGAAGCTACCTTTTTAATCTTCCCTGTCATCTAATCAAAGCTCTATTTTTCAGGCTGCTATATATAGTTTAACCCATTACCTGGGCATTGAGATTGAATATTCTGATTTTGAAGCTAAAACATATGATAAGTTATAGACAGCATTTCCTAAATTATGGTTCTGTGTGTCACTGTTTCTATGAGGAGATATTAATAGGTGTTACTCCAAAAAGGGTTCCAAATTGGAAAATTGGCTTAAGGAAAGTAAAAAAGATGCTTGTAGGTGTTTGTGATCGTCACAGTCTTTAACGCACTACTGTGCAATGGGAGTCTCCGAGAGGGGATGGAGAATGCAGTGTCCCAAACTTACTAACCCTGGGACGGGACACTTCTACCTTGGCTGCAAGACAGCACTTAACTCCTCACACAGCACTGCAAAGCATTTGCCATATAATAAACACACACACAGACACGCACACGCACACAGACACAGAGACATAGACATTAATTTGACTTTTATGAAACAGGTGTTCCTTGACACAGTCCCTGCCTGGGAGTCTTCACGATCGCAGTACAGTCCAATAGTTACCACAGGACAGTGACCACTATTATATGGACATTTGTATATGTGCTAAACAGCGGCTGCCATTCATGGAGGGCCTCGGGTGCTCCAGGTGCTCTGCAGTGGGCGTGCTCCCCCTGGAGCTCACCTCCAGCTCTGCTAAGCAGGTGTCGCAGGGAGGGGTGGATCTTGCCCAGGGTCATCCAGCAGGCAGTGGCAGGGGACAGTCTGCCTCCCAGGCCCTTCCAAAGGTCTGCCTTGCACTCCCCTGTGTGTGCACCTCTCTCTCTGTGCATCTGTGCACAGATGTGTGTGCACGCATGGACACGTGTTCTGTACGTGTCTAACTCCACACACAGAAGAACCACCTGGCTGTTACCTGCCCTAGCTGCCCTCTGAAGTCCCCAGTTCTCACGTGATCTGGCGTAGCTGTGGAGTCCACATTTAACTGGTTCTTTCAAGTAATAGGGACAGTTCTGGGTAAGAATATGTTACATACTTTATCCGAATACAGCTCTCACATGCATATATACAATTACCATGAAAAATCTGAAACTGGAAAGCCAGTGATGTTTCCCTTCTGGAGCCGACCTTCTGCCTTAAAGCGGGGAGGGGTGCAGGGTCCGTGTCTGGCTAAGCACAGTGTGGGGCTTTTTTCTCTCCTCACTCCCGCCTGCATTTGCCGGGTGCTGACCCAGGCCCTGGGGATACAGTAGAAACAAACAGTATCCAGCCCTCGGAGCCCACATCCTTCTGAGGGGAAACTCGGATCAACAAGTTCGGCTGAAGTGCTGAAAGCGGCAGTGGAGATGCTGAGTGTTGAGAGGAGGGTGGGGAGGACGCCACCTTCAGTAGCGTGGTCAGAGAGGACCTCCCTGAGGAGGAGGCATTTGAGTGAGACCTCGAAGGTGAGAAGGAGCCATGCAGGGTAGCAGGCCCAGGGGAACACCCAGTCAAGTCCTTGAGGTGGGAAGCCAGCAGGAGGAGGGTGGTGTCTGGACGAGGTCAGCGAGACGCCAGATCATGAGGGGCTCTGTAGGCCGTGGAGCTCTGTCTTAGTGATTTTACTGTAATTCCGAGAACAGCGGGAAGGGAAGCTCTTTAAGTGGAGAGTGAGGTGTTTGTTTTGTGTTTCTAAAGCTCTTCCTGGAGAATGGATGGCGGGTAGGCTGGAGTGTGGCCAGTAGCTGCAGGAGAGACCACCCAAGATCTAGAGGCCAGCAAGGAGCGGGGAGGCCGGGCCAGTAGCTGGGAGAAAATCCCGGAGCGGGGGCATTACCGAAGCCGAAAGAGGAGTCTTTCCAGGAGGAGGTGGACTCCTCTGCTCAGTGCTCCTGAGCAGTCAAGGAGAGTGAGGACAGATTGTCCCCGATCCTCAGTTAATGTGGGCGTGGGTGCCAAGAACTTTCAGGCGTCTCTGCGAATCTGCATAACTGTCGTGTTCTTTGCCCACGTGTTCAAGAAATGTATATGTATTGTTTCTTTAATCCTTACAATATCTCATTTTAATAAGTGTCATTATGGATGTTTAGTAGTCAGGGGTCACCTGGCTGGGAGGTGATGAAGCCAGAATGGGAACCAGGGTCTCCTGCACCCAGAGCCTGAAGTGGTGTGAAAGCCAGCAGGGTGACAGATGTGTCTTCTTCCCATTTCTAGGCTACGGCCTCCGCTGCCACCGGGCCATCATCACCATCTGCCGGCTCATTGGCATCAAAGACATGTACGCCAAGGTCTCGGGATCCATGAACATGCTCAACCTCACCCGGGGCCTCTTCCGTGGACTCTCCCGCCAGGTAACCCTTCCCTGGGGGCTGAAACAGAACTTCTAGTTTGCGCCTCACTTGTGTGCGTTGGGACCATGACGTCCTGGGGTCCTCCTGGAGTGGCTCTCCCAGGGCCCCTTGAGGACTCGGGCATTCTCTGCTGTCTGTGGCTGCACTGGGTTAGTTAATCCAACTGAAGAGTCAGTTCATGAAGTTTAGCCTTTAGGAAATACCTCATGGGTGTTCTGAAGTTTCAAAATTAAGTGTTTTTAAAGGCCAGTAATTAGAGTCTGTGTTTTGTTATGAAAAGAACACATGGTTTTTCTAGAACTCCAACAGTGTAGACATATAAAGTGAAAGGAAAAGGTCCGTTTCCTAATCATCCTTCCAGTTGAGACTGGGGTGACCTGGGGCACCTCCTCTCAGGAGAGCTGTCTCCAGGAGCAGCTCAGTCAGTCCACAGGTCACCTGCACAGGTTGTTCAGACGGACACCTGAGTCAGTAGGAACCATGAGCGTCGATGTGCTAGGGTATTTCTCTTCATGGATGGAGGCCTGGACCACTGCCCAGCCGGCCCCTCAGCATGGGCTTGGCTCACAGTCAGTCCACTCCACAGCAGAGAGGAAGGCCTGTGACTGCACGGCCCCCTCATCCTGGGCCGCCCTCCTGCCTCTCAGCACGGGTGGCCCATTCCTCGAAAGGTTGAGTGGACCTTAGAGCTGATGAGCAGAAAGATGACCAGGTTCATGAGACTCTGTCTGCTGACCTCCATTTGGTGAGGAATTTGACAGACTTCCTGACACTTAGTGTGATGGCTGTTTCTGAATAAAATGATCCATGGAATAGTTTTCCATGTCTCTCTTTAAAATAGGAAAATTAATTAAAAGAAAACGAAAGCTTTGCTTAAAGCTCTTTTTTTTTGAACTGCTTTGTGCGTGTGTCTATTTGGTACTATCTAAAACATCCTTCTAAAGCACTTCTGAATCCAAACTCATTGTCAGAGGTTTAATTGTTTCATGTAACTAGGTTATTGGTTCTAGATAGGTCATATTTATAATCACATAGACTTGTCCTTTCTTATGATATTTTTTATTTATTTTAGCACTTTGAATGTTCTGATGTAATTACCATGTATCCTCTCGTCTAGAATGCCATCAGCTATAAAAAAGTTGCACTATTGCAATGTGCCACTCCAAAAAAAATGCCACCAATGTAAGCAACATGCCATTGATTGTAAGACACGCAAATTTAAGTTATTTTATTTTGTTTTTATGAAACAGCATCTCTTCCAATTTCAATCATCTATAGAGTTAGAATCGTACAAGGTGGCCATAAAGTCTGGAAAGGTGAGATTGAACATGTCAGGTATTTCAGTGTTCTTCAGTAAGCCGTCTACTGCATTATTTGCCTGTTTCCAGACTTTGTGGCTCCCTTCTCTGCTGAATCCCCACGGCCCTCTCACTCAGTGTCAACAGTCAACAGCTGGTGGCCAGTCTTGTTTCTCAATACCACCCCAACCCAGCCCCAGTTATTTTGAACCAAATCTCAGACAGCATTTTATTTCATCCATAAATATTTCAGTATGTATCTCTAAAAGACAAGAATTAAAAAATACCCCACAATACTATTGTCATACCTAAAAAGTTAATACTAATCTAGTATATCATCAAATATCTAGTCAGTGTTCATAGAAACGTATCCATTTGTCAGAATTAAAAAATATTTTTTATACAACTTGTTTGAATCAGGTTGCAGGAAAGGTCAATACATGGTAGGTCTTTGCATGTCTTCTAAGTCACTTGTAGTCTGTGACTCTTCTTTTTCTTGCAACTCTTTTGTTGCAGAAACCAGGTTGTTTGTCTGTAGTTTCCTAGTCTGGTGCTGACTCAGTTCCTGTGGGTCCTCACCGTCTTCTCTCTCTGCGTGTCCTGTAATTGGCAGCTAGAGCTGGCAGTGTGGGGCACAGCATGGCACAGAATTACGAGGGTTTGGAAGGCAAGAGGCCAAGGCCCTTCCGCCATCCCAGGTGGGGGTGGGGGGTGGTGCTGAGGTGGTTCATCCACGACAGGTCACCAGAGTTTGCCCACAAAATGCATTGCCCAGAATTACCTGAAATGGTCTTTAAGTTCCCCAAGTGGTCCGGTATTTCCACTGCTGACTTCCCTCTGGCTGATGGAAGTTCCCGCTCTAAGTTAGAGACGCACCTCAGAGAGCTAACCTGCCGTTCTCACTCGGGTCTTGCCCAGGAAACCCACCAACAGCTGGCTGATAAGAAGAGCCTCCACGTGGTGGAATTCCGGGAGGAATGCGGCCCTCTGCCCATCGTGGTCGCCTCCCCCCAGGGGCCCTTGAGAAAGGATCCGGAGCCAGAAGATGAGGTTCCAGACGTCAGACTGGACTGGGAAGAAGTGAAGGCCGCACAGGGAATGAAGCGCTCAGCGTGGTTGGGTTTAAAGAGAGCCGCCACCTGAGCGCCCCTCTGGCCTTGTGCGGCCGCAGTGTCTGGAGCCCCTGAAAGATGCTCGGCCCCTCACTCCTTGGAATGTCACCTTTTTATTTAAAGGAAAGGCCAACATTCTTTATTTACAAATAATAAATAAATATAGCTTTAATTCATTGAGCATATGGTATATTCCAGTCACTGCAATAGGAACTTTACAGACACACCTTAGTTCAAGGCACCTTTAAATATTCATTTAAACTGACAAAAATGAATGAATCAGGGAGATAGGGCTTGTAGTCTGACCTAATCAAAAATAATGTGCAGTCAAGTTACAGCTACTTAACTCTAGTCACACAGCTAGAAAGTAGAGGAAAACAGGCAAACCTTATTCTTTTTGACTCTGGAAATTCTTTGTATTAAACCTGTTTGTATAAATATTTTAGTGGTTGTTCTAGGTATCACATTATACAGACACCACTTACCACCTGGCTGCTGGGGTTGGCTTTGTGCCAGTTCAAGTGAAGCCTGGAAATCTTACCTCCCTTTAGATCCCTTTACCCTTCCTCGGTTCTATAATTGTTTTAAAATTTCGTCTGCCTGCCTTGAGAACCACATTAGCCAATGTTACAGTTTTTGCTTCAACCAGCAAACATACTATAGAAAACTCAAGAAGAAAAAAAGCCTATTTACCCAGATTTTTGCCCTTCCAATTGTTCTTTCTTCTTTGCTGGTGTTTCACGGTTCCACTGACATTTTGAGTTGGGAAAACTGAGTTCTTCTTGTGTGTTTCTTGTTTGCTTTCATAACACCACCACACTCACAACATTTGACACCCAATGTTGTGGGATTTTCCCCCGAATAAGCAATTCTCTGCAGCACCAGCTGCGTGTCCTACAATTTAACTCAATTCTGACACTATCTCCCTGGAGATAGCATCAGATCCCACAGGTGAAGGGCTCAGTCCCACAAGACTGTCCCCGCCCCACTTCAGATGCCAGTTCCAAGTCTGCTTGTCACCTGTGCTTCTGACCAATTGGCTATAAATCAGAGGTTCTCACAACTCCCTTATTGGTTTAGATTAATTTGCTAGAATAACAGTTTTAATTTGCTAGGGAAACAGTTTACATACCGTTTACCAGTTTATTAGAAAAGGGTATGATAAAGGATACAGATGAACATCCAGATGGAAGAGAGGCATAGGGCAGGGTGTCTGAGATTACCTCACCAACCTCACGGCCCTTCCCCAGGTGCAAGCAAGCTATGGATTTAGGGGGATCTGGGGAGTGTCTGAATTGCTGGCTCAATCGGATGGCCACTGAAAGTCCCACATGGCCCCTGCTGAGAGATCAGACCTTGTTTCTGTGAGTCCCAGGACACAAGAAGCCCTGACCGTGCTGCCATCTCCAGAGCACACGGGACACCGGAGGCGTGGGTGTGAGGTAAAGTCTGTATTCTGAACTCTCTGGAACCCCTTTTCTCACAGTCTTTTCCCCAAGCCCCATTCACCCAACTGGAAATTGTATTTGGTCCTGAGTCAACGCAGAGCTTCTGAGAAATAATCACTCCTGCCTTCTCAAGGAAACTTCAGGGTCCTTTTGTTTTGGCTCCTGTCCAACCATTGTCCCGTTTTGCTAGAACCTGCCTGACAGGATGCTTAGGACTCTGCTCCTGTTTCCATTCTCAGAAGTTCTGCCCTGGCGCTCAGAGGGCCTGCAGCCCCAATCTTGTGAAGGCCTTTCCTGCTCTGGCACTTTGACACCGGCCCTCTGGCAGCTGTCGTCCCTGCCGTCAGGGTCACAACGAGGAGTTCCTCCAGGTCATGTTGATTTCAGCAGAGGGAACGAGGGGCCGGACAGACCCGGTGGGGGGAGCGGTTTCTTGCTCTGTGGAGGCTGCCAGCTTTGGGGTGGGGCTGCCAGTCTGAGGGCTGCCAGGATGGCTCTGGAAGGAGAGAGGCCCTCCCCAACCCTGGGAGCAGAGGGTGGGGGCTGTTGTGGCCTGGTCACGGCCTATGGGCTTGGGGTAAACAGGGATAAGGCCCTCAGGATGGTGGGTGAGGACAGCTCGGGGCTGGACGGGGAGACTTGCTCCCTAGGAGAAGGCTGGGACCCAGCAGGGCAGCACCACCCAGATCTCTCTGGGTCTCTGGAAAGGGCAGGACAGCACCAAGCAGGAGGAGGGTGTAGGTGGTGGGACAGCTGGTCACCAAGGAGACAAAAGGAAGGATGCAACTGTGGGTTTCCTCTGAAGACAGCTATGGTCCCAGCGTTAACAGAGGGCCTGAGTGAGGTTCAACTCCCCTTGCAAAGGACAGAGGCATCCAAGGGTTTCCTGAGGGCCATAGAGAACCCGGCTCCTGGGCTTCTGTTTGCCTTCAAGGAATGACCTTGACCACGCTGATGGGACGCATCCCCTGGCATCTGTCCCAAGAGACTTCTCCCAGGCCTGGCCTCAGGAGGCAGAGAGTACCCATTCTGAGCCTCTCACCCTGGCCCTGAGGATGACGTGCTTTTAGAGGGTTTGTTGACACATGTTGTTGACGGTGGCTAAAAACCTCTGAATTGTTGAGAAAAAAGAAGAAGTAATAATGGGAGAAAATTTCCCAAGTTTGGCAAAAGATAGATAAACCTGCAGATTTAAGAAGCTGAGCAAGCCCCAAATAGAATAAACTGAAAGAAATTCATACCAAGACATGTCATAAACAGACTTCAGAAGACAAAACGCAAATGAAAACTCATGAAACCAGAGAGAATAACAATACCTTGTTTGTAAGGTGAAAACAATTCAAATGAAAGCAGATTTGTCATAAAAAACCATGGAGGCCAGAAGGAAGTGACGCATTTTTCAAGTGCTGAAAGAAAAGAACTGAATTCTTGGATGCCTCTGTCCTTGTGAAAGAAAAGGCTTGAATTCTCTACCTGGTGAAATTATTCTTTAGGAATGAAAGGAAAATACATTCTCAGATGAAGGAAACAAATTCATTGTCAATAGACATATCCTTAAAGAATAGCTAAAGTTCTCAAAGCAGAAAGGAAATGTGTGAGATGATAGAAAATATATATATTGGTCTCTGCCCCTGGTTCCTGGCACAGAGCTCGTAAAACCCTTGTAATTTCCTAAGTGACAAGAGCACTAGGAGCATCTCTTGTTCTAATATTTGGTCTTTGATCCAGATTCCTGGCAGAGTTACAATATCCCTTGGAATTTCCCAGGTGATAGCAGTCTTTTGTTCTAATGAGGTGACTCTGGGTGGGCTCCTGGGTGGGGGCTGCTCAGCAGAAAGACTAAGCTGTGATGAGAAGCTTGGCATGTTCAGTCTCACCTCCCATTCTCCAGGGAGGGGAGAGGGGCTGGAAATGGAGTTAACGATTGATCGCGCCTGTGTGATGCAGCCGCCATAAAATCCTGAAAGTACAGGTTCTGAGAGCTCCCAGGTCGGTGACCACGTGGAGGTGCTGGGAGAACAGCAGTTGGAGAGGGCGTGGAAGCTCCACCCTTCCCCCACACCCTGCCCTGTGCGTCCCTTCCACCTGGATGTTCATTGTATCCTGTATCATGTCCCTTTGATATAAACTGGTAAACAGCATGTAAACTTTTTTCCTAGCATATTAAAACTTTTTCTAGTGAATTAATGTAAACCAACGAGGGAGTTGTGGGAACCTCTGATTTATAGCCAATTGGTCAGAAGCACAGGTGACAAGCAGACTTGGAACTGGCATCTGAAGTGGGGTGGGGACAGTCTTGTGGGACTGAGCCCTTCACCTGTGGGATCTGATGCTATTTCCAGGTAGATAGTGTCAAAACTGAGTTAAGTTGTAGGACAGCCAGATGGTGTTGCAGAGCATAGCTTGTTCCAGGAAAGGTAACAATGGAGTGGTTCTTCTTCTCTGTGTGGAGTTAGACACATACAGAACATGTGTCCATGCATGCACACACATGTGTACAGATGCACAGAGAGAGAGGTGCACACACAGGGGAGTGCAAGGCAGACCTTTGGAAGGGCCTGGGAGGCAGACTGTCCCCTGCCACCGCCTGCTGGATGACCCTGGGCAAGATCCACCCCTCCCTGCGACACCTGCTTAGCAGAGCTGGAGGTGAGCTCCAGGGGGAGCACGCCCACTGCAGAGCACCTGGAGCACCCGAGGCTCTCCATGAATGGCAGCCACTGTTTAGCACATACACAAATGTCCATATAATAGTGGTCACTGTCCTGTGGTAACTATTGGACTGTACTGCAATCGTGAAGACTCCCAGGCAGGGACTGTGTCAAGGAACACTTGTTTAATAAAAGTCAAATTAATGTCTGTGTGTGTGTGTGTGTGTTATACAGTAAATGCTTTGCAGTGCTGTGTGAGGAGTTAAGTGCTGTCCTGCAGCCAAGGTAGAAGTGTACCATGGTTAGTAAGTTTGTGATGTTGCATTCTTTATCCCCCTCTGGGATGCTCACATTGCACAGTAGTGCATTAAAGACTGTGACATTCACAAACACATACAAACGCCTTTTTGACTTTCTTTAATCCAGTTTTCCCACTTGGCACCTTTACGGAGTAACACCTATTAATATCTCCTCTTAGAAATAGTGATGCACAGGAACATAATTTAGGAAATGCTATTTATAACTTATCGTACAGTTTTAGCTTCAAGATCAATGTGTTTAACCCCAATGCCCAGGTAATTCGTTAAATATATAGCAACCTGAAAAATACAGCTTTGATTAGGTGACAGGGGAGATAAGAAAGGTAACTTCTGCAATTAAAATTGTAGCAGTCTTACAAAAATCATTCAGACATAAATGTATCTAAACCAACACTGTCCAACAGAAATAGGATGCCACCCATACGTATAATTTTAAATTTTCTCATAGATGCATTAAAACATAGTAAAAAAATAAATTAATTTTAGAAATATATGTATTTAACCCAATGTTCAGAACATCATTTCAACAAGTAATGAATACAATAACATTTTTGAGATATTCTGCATTCTTTTTTTCATACTGGGTCTAAAATATGGTGTGTCTGTGATGCTTACAGCCGACCTCAGTAGCCACATTTCAAGTGCTCAGTAGCCACTCAGGCAAGTATCTACGATGTGGGCCTGCACAGGTCTACACCTTGGTGTCTAACTGCTCAGCACTTTCTCTAATGATGAAATAAGTAGTTTTATCAGGCATATGAA